TTTTTTTTTTTTTTTTTTTTTTTTTAAAATGGTGGGCTCTCGCGCCACATCTGCTCGAGCTCCTCGAGCTCTTTGCTGAAAGGCGGGCACGTTAGCATGTGCCAGAACGGAAGCAAAGACGGAATCAAACTCACCCCACTGGCTTCTTCTCCTTCTCCTTCTTCTTCTTCTCCTCCATTTTGGCGCGGACTGTGGCATTGTCAGTGAATCTGTCATGAGAATGGAGAGGCAATGAAGAGGGGAGACGTACGGAGGGACATGGTGGTGGTGGTGATGGCGGTGGTGTGTTGGCGACACACCAGCGCGCCCAAGAAAGCGGCGAGCTTGTGGATCATTTTGTGTGCTATTCACTCGCGTTAGCATGTCTCTGCGAAGCCGTCGCCGGCAACATAGGGTGCGTCTTACGATGTGATGTGTTTGTGATTGAGGAAGCAAAAGAGAAGCGCTGGAGCAACTTCAATGAGCAACTTTCACTAGCGCGTCACGAGCTCTGGCCAGATGTGAAACACGCGCTAAGGCAACAAACAGTGACCGTTGAGCACCTTCCTCGTTGTTCTGCATGGTGGGATCGATTCCAACTCTGTAAATACGCTATCTCTCAATGCCATGAAGTCTCCAGGTCCTCCATTCATTCAAACCATTCCACGGACAGAAAGCTCCCCCTTTTCGCTTTGGCCTTTTCGATCGGAGACAGAGTGATCCACTGAGCCCGCAGGTGAGTTTTCACCATGCGGTCCACGGTCAGTAGTAGAGCCTCCTCTCTCATGCTTCGCCGGCTCAAATTGACCAGGCACGATGCGACTCCGAGCCAGGTAGCTTGGGCTCTGAGTCTTGCCCACCCATAGCATCTGCTCATGCTCGCGTAGGTATCGATGGCTGGAAAAGCTGTTGAGGACATTGGCCCTGCCCATCATGCCCAGCTTGCGGCGTTGGTCCTCTTTAGCATACATTCGCTTCGTGATCTGCTCAACTTCCTCCTTGCCTGGGTGGAGTGGCAGCTTATGGCGCTCGCCTGGTGCATCTTCAGCATACTGACCCCACTCTCCGAGCAGAGCGAGAACCTCCACCTGCGCACGAGCAAGCGAGTACGAATCGTTCGGAGCAACGACGGCGCTGAACTTCTTCCAAGTGATAGGGTCAGTGACCACGCGGAAGCTTGCGCCAACATCAGTACAAACGACAGGCACGCCAGTCAGCGCAGCTTCACCCATCGCCAATGGAAGTCCTTCAGATACCGACGAGTTCAGGAAGATCCATGCCTCCTCAAGCACCTTACTCGGGCTTCCAAGGCCGCGCAGCGCAACGTAATCTCTTAGGCCCTTGCTTGCAAGAATCTCCTTACACTCAACAGAGTAAGCAGGCGCTTTCTCCATATCGCCGTACACATCAAGCTGATAGTCTTTAAAGCCCCACTCATTGACGATGATATCCGCCGCTAAGATCGCGTTCTTGATATCCTTCACAAAGCGCACGTGGGACAGCATGGTGATCGTTGGCTTCTTACTCTTGATCTTCTTGATCGGGATGAAGTTCTCCATATTGCAGATGCCATTGACGACCGGATCGATCTTTCTCGCGAAAGCCTTTCGATGACCGAGGATCCCCTCCTGCGTTCCGTGTTCCACTTCCCACCCCGGATTGAAGAAGTCGGCGCACGGCAGGACTACGTCGGCGTAGTGCAAAATAAGGACAGAAGTCATACGCGAGAGGTGGATCAAGCTGGTGCATACGAAAGGAGCATCGAATGACATGGCGGACGACAAGAACACAGTCACCTCGCGCCAGGATATGCAGTGGTCCCAGACATGAAGCGTGCAGTTACGTTTGAGCTTGCAGAGGACACCATAAGAGGCGCCACAGAAGTGGTGAGATGCTTGAAAGACATCTGGGATGATCTCGGGAACGTCCAGGGTGAAGATGAAGAGGAACCGATGCCACATGTCAAGAGCATTGTCCATGTGAGCAAGTGTAGGCAGCTCTGCATCCCACCACTTGGAGATAGGGACAGCATTCTCGACATCTTCAGCTAGCCACAACTCTCGCCATCTCTGCTTGACGGGCTCACTCATCCATGTTTCCGTCCAATGACGGTCTTTGGCAAAGTAGTTGCTCAGATCGACCAGTGCTTGCGACGCTTCCTCGATGTGCTCTGGCCCGAACTTAATTGCACGAGCGCACTTGATAAGACTGGTGAGGATTGGCAGGAAGTTCTTCTCGATGTCTGCGTGATATGTGTGATTCGATCGGCGCTGCACAGCAGAGTCCAGAATATCCTCGAAAACGCCGTGATGAGGCGTCAAGAAGTCCATTCCCCATAGAGGCAGTACTGTCAATGATTGGATGTTCCGCTCCGTCTGGAACTTTGGTACACCGAAGTCGTTGGCGTTTTCGGCAACAACATGCCATCTGATTGTGGAAAGATCATTGACCATGTCTCGTCGGCAAGCAGACACTCCTCCGCCCTCGTTTGGCCAAGTACCAGTGTCCATAGCCAGGACGTTGAGAGTGTCATGAGTGTCTCTTATCTGCGTCGACTGGTCTCTCGTATTGATTCGAGCATCTCCACCTTGCCCAAAACTGTCCAGATCACCATACTTGAAGGCTATGGAAGACCAGGAGCTGACCTCAGGGTCTAGATCCGTGCGAGCTAGGATCGAATCGGCATTAGATTGAAAGTATGCTCGAGCACTGTGCAGCAGCCCAAGGTCTCGTCGCAGCCAGTATGCCGTCAATACGCGGTCTCGTCGCAGAGCCATCTCGTCCAGCCATCTGATTGATACAGCGTCAAGATCCTTCGTGCCTTTCCATGTCTTCCATAGAATGTTACGAGCGGCGCCTGTGGAGATAGGATACCACTTTTCGTGGAACTTGAATAAGCGTGTGAGTACATTGCTTCGCTGATTTCTGAAGGAGATCAGCGGGTTGTCCACGAGAAAGCTGTTCTTGCGCGGTTTGGCGAGGATATGATAGTGGTCGAAACGAATCTTCTCCGGTGTCATGACTGTCTGACCGTTCATGGTTGTATGTATCGTGGGGTGAGAGCGGTGGTCGTAGTTCCACCAGCATCTGTACACATCGGAACCCAGTGTGTAATTGCACTCCACGACCTTCGGGCTGGGAATCCATAGCATCAGGTCGTCCTTCTTCTCCGGCGGAGGATAGCACCAGGATATGTTCATTGTCATGTGAGCCATGGTGTATTCAGCTCTGATCAGCTCGTCGTCGTACTTCGCATTACGGCGGTAATGGTATTTGAAATGCGTCAAATTGTCGTCCTTGGTGTAAGATCCCGACGTGACGTATCCGCGGTCATCGTAATGCATTAATTCTCCTTCCTTGTCTCCGCCATCGCAGATTCGAGATATTGGGAGCTTGGCAAAGTCGTCCTTGGAGTTATCGTAAAGATATCGGTAGGAGTTGCTGACCTCTCCATTGGCGTACTCTTTACGAGCCTTGAGCTGCAAGCACTTGCTGATATAAGTGCTTGTCGAGATCAACTGTGCCGTGTCGGCAGGTTTCACCTCGTGCTTGCCGTTGTACAAGCTGAAAGTCGTTACGCCGTTTCCTTTGGTGTGGAGAAAACCAGTCTGTGTACCATCGAAGCTTTCTATGGTAACTTTCTCTCTGGTCATCGTAGACTTGGTGCCTCTCATGTATTGCTGTAGCTTACGCACGCTTTCGCGATTGTGAAACATGAATTGCGGGATAATCAGCCATTGAAGGGCTTTGGCATACATCCAAGCTCCATTAAGCAGGAATGGCACGATGTACTTCGCGAACCATGGCTTGTCCGCGATGAAGAAATCGAGCTCTCGCTGATATTCCGGCTCGCCTGTCAGCGCGATGATGTAGAACTTGACAGCAAACCTCCAGCCCTTGTAAGTGGCGCGGACACGGTATGTTATCTTTCCAAAGAAGCTGGTCGGTCGCTTTAAAATGATGGGGCCAGCGCTGAATCGTTTGAACCGGTCCTTGAGCTCGGAGCCATCATCCTCAGGGCCATAGAATTCTGCACTCTTAGCCTTGGCGTATTGTTTGGTAGCATTGACAAGTATTATGCTGAGGTTGCAACGCGCCAGGTATTTTTGTATGGTCGTGAATCGTTCACCAAAGAAAGTGCTTCGAATCCAGTCGACCTGAACATCGCTCATCTTGCAAGCGCGACCTAGGCATCGGTCAAGTAGGAACTCACGAATGGCCGAAGGCAAGTTGTCCCATTGAGTATCGGAGTCAAGACCCAAGAGAAGATCGCGGAGTACTTCGGCGTTGCCGTACTTGGTGATCCTCGTACGTTCACTTGCCGTAGCATCGAGATGCCTTTTAATTCCCTCTGGGAGAACGATGTTACTAGACGCAGAGCTCTCCGTGACCAGCAGTTCAGCAAGCGCTGCCTGGTCTCTGGAAAGTGCTAGCTTAATCTCTGCTGTGATACGGACCACGGCTTCGGCAATGATTTGGCTCTGTTGGCTAACATCGACGTATCGATTCACGAAAACAATGAGTTGCGTGTGGTCACGTTGCACTTTGGCGATCGTCCGGATCTTCCTCTGATCTTGAGTAATGTATCTTGAGGATACAAGAGTGACTTCCAGTCCATTTTGTTTCCAGAAACCAATGGCCGTGTTTAGCACATGTTCTCCATTTGGAAATGCAGCTTCAATAGCAGAGGCTTTCCGGAGACCAATACTACGTTGTAAAATCTGGACTGCTTGAGCACCTATGCCATTGTTCGGATCGACCAGCAAGCGCTCTTCATCGGGAAGGGCCTGCATTTCTCTGTAAAGGTCCGAAAGGGTCCGCTGTGAAAAGAATGGCCAAGGTGCCACTGAGCTGAATGTGTGCACATCAGGTTTATTCTTCTCTTGCGCTTTGTCGGTGGGAGGTCTAGGCCATCCTACGTTGGCGGTCCTCCACGATAAGATCGCTGCCAGCCAAGTGGCGGTCGCGAGCCCGACTACTGCGCCATACACGAAGTCGGGTGCGTGAGTCCGGATTGCAACACCTACCGCTATACCGCAAATTGCAGCACAGATAAGATCATTCATCGCCAGTGGTCCAGTGTATATTCGATTGTATTGATACCACAGCAGCCCTGCGAGAAGTCAGAACCAGCAATCGGCTCCTAAAAACACACTCACCTGAATACGCCCCAGTATATGCCATGAACATGATAGTTGCGCTCTTGGCTGACTGGAAAATCCACATCAGCGATGCACTGATCGCGAAGCCCCACAAATGAGAGAAGAAGAATTTGGCCCAGTTCGTCCAGTAGAGTTTTCGTCTAGCTTTGGCGTCGTTCAGAGCAGCTTCTTTCAAGAACGCTAGCGACGTGATCTGTTGAGGAGTCTTCTTGTTCGCCATGGGCCAGAGCGGTTGAGCCACAGCATCGAGGCAGACAGCTGCAATGAGGTAGTAAGCCAAGCTGAAGCCGACTGCCAATCTGTACACAGGATTTCCTGCATCTGATAGACCGACCACGTTGTGGCCCGTCACGAGCGACACCCATTTGTCCATAAGAGCAATGAGGAAGTACAAGACGCCGCACCAGACTTCGTCGCCACCAAAGCGCCAGTGTATGAAGGCATTGTGAAGCTTGAGCCCTTTTTGCATTTCCCGAATGGTGTCAATCGCAGTCTTGACCATGAGATTCCAGGTCGGACTGTAAGGATAAGGCATTGCCGTCCGAGAGTATTTGCAGTACCAATCCATGAGAAAAACGGTTGCATCATAGCCGGCGACGTGTTTCTTGATCAACTGACCAGCCTCTGACTTCTGCCAAGGCCACCTGCTTCGTTCTTTCTCGAGTGCGGCGAAAAAAGCCCTTCGAGGCAACGGAGTAGCTGCAAGATCGGAAATGTTTGGGATTTCCTCTGGAGGTGTGACCTCGTTGTAGAAGTTCACCACTTCCGTGTCGCTGATTATGGGAACTTTGAGGTACCACGTGCCCCATTGTGATATGACCTTGCGGGCTCCGAGCAGGAGGCAGCATATGAATCCAGTAACAACGCAAGGATAGATGACGATGTCTTTATGAACCCACAGAGTCAGGATAGGTGAGATGAGCAGGATTGGCAGACACATAACGACTGTGTTCCGTCCAGACTGGAACATGAAGCCTGGAAACTGATAGATAGCCAAAGTCGCCAGAATGGTGAGATAGGTATCCAGTGCGGCAAAGTAGAATACGAAGATGAAGCCGTCGTACCAGCTGCGTGCAATGCCAATAGTGATGAATGCAACCAAGCCGATTATGGAAAGCAGGGCGACTCCAGCCACGAACCTAGTAAGCACGAACATGTTCATGGCTGGGAATGACATTGCATGGAGGTAGTAGCTTCCTCCATAGCCGATCCAGGTTCCAATCCCGCCGCAGAGCAGGAGGCCGGACATCAGACCAGCTGTCGCCATGATCTTCTCGCTCTCCGCCATGTAGTTGCTGAGGTACAGACCACGCCCGAGAATTGTCAACATCATGATATCAAACAATGCCGGCACGGCGAATATGCCGAGGAAGGTAATCTGGTAGTAGATTGGTAGCGTTGGTCGTTGTGCGTCCGGATCCTCATCAACAGACTTGGAAGCATAGGACGTCGGCAGCTCACTGCTACCATCTTTACGTGCTGCCGGTTGATGCTTTGTGTAGTAGGCCTGATACTTGTCTGCCAATATACGGCCCAACACATTCGAGGTCATATCCAGGTAAGTCTCGCATTGAGAGCCTGTTCCGAACATTTCGGCAAAGCATGCTGCTTGGTCCGGATGTCGATTAGGTAAGGGATTGCGATCCAGCACTTCCAGGTAGATCTCTTCGAGGGCCAGTCTTCGATACGCGCAGAATACTGAAAGTGCGAAAATGTCGACTGCGGCATCGATGCCTTGTTTCTTGATGGTCTTGGATAGGATTGTCTCAATTCGTTCCACGAAGCCATCGTCTTGATCCATGAGCGCCTTTGGTAAAAGGCGATCCATTGTTTCAAACACTTGGAGTGCGGCGCTGTACTCTGGAGCATGACAGCCTTGATCTCTGTACCAAGCAAGTCGGTTCTTTATCAGATCTGCTGTACTGATTTCACCACGTAGGTACTGCTCAGTGTTTTGCTTTCTGAGTTGATCTCGAGTCGGGATAGCCATAAGCTGATGTCGGCAGAGTTTTGCCATTCTTGCGCACAGTCCCGCAGAAGCCGCATCGCTGGAGAGGGTTAGCCTTTGCAACAGCAATATTAGTTCTTGGGAAGTAAGGCCAACGATATCATCAACCATTCTCTTCGGCAACTCCCATCTCTCATCCAATAGCCGGCCACGCTCGTACAGGAGCCACTCAGCTTTGAGGCATTGTGTCCTTGAGAAGCGCTTTATTGACAGCCAGGTGTGGAGAATGGCAAGTGCTCGATCACTAGCACGCAACGAAATGAATAGATCCAGGTACCCTGGATGACTTCCTCTCCGCTCAGTGTTGGAGAACATTCCATTGTCATAGAGACCCCAAAATTGCTCGCTAGTGTTCCTGTGGAAGCCAGAATGTATGCCCATGTATATGCGCAACCGGTCAGTATCCTGTCCATCGCTCACAGCGAGCAAATTGAGTAGCTCTTCAACGGCGTCAGCCATGCCATCAAAGTCTTTGAACTGCTCACTGAGCTCTAAGAGTGGCCTCAACTTTGTTCCAATCTCTTGCAGTGCTTCGGCACCCAGTCGGTCGAGCATGTTCAAATCTCGAAGCTTGCGCTGACCATCTCGAAGCATATCGAAGACTTCCTGGGAAGCCGGCAGACCGGTCTGAAAGCAGCCAAGACCCGTGTAGTCTTCTCCTTCGGGGGAGAACGAAAGGGCATCGTTCTTGAGATTATATTGCAGGTCCCCGATCGGAAAGCCAGCGTCAGTGATAGACAGTGGTCTGCCTTTTGGCTGCTCTGGAGTTTCAGTCTGGTGGAGCTCAAGCATCTTGCCAATCCCTGGCACATAGTCTTCTATTATTGCGAAGGCATCATTATCATGGCAGGAGTTCTGGACAATAGTGTCATTAAGCCTCCATGTATCGTGCATGATCATGACTTCCCAGCCCTTCATCCACATCAGCGCGCCAAGTGGCAAGCCTGCCAGAGTTTCTTTCTGGGCAGCATATGTGTCAATGAGCGCCTTTTCGGACCCGATCCAGCTGAGCGCGGTATTGAACCGGCACCACAGATAGCTCCTGTTCGCGACTGAATGTGAGAGTGTCTCCATATCGTCCAAAGTCTCCCACATGGCGAACACGATACCTCCAAGAGACATGTGCTTGGCCAGCGCTCGTTGCGCACGACGCAGGTTGGACATCTGATAGTAGTCTCTGCGATCACCATTTCGCAGTATCGTGCCATTCCTACAGATCAACCCTTTGATCAAGTCCATGCCAATATGCCGACATTCATCATCAGTGAGATATTCAGGCTCGGAAAGCTCAAGGTATACATCAAAGTTGAGACTTCTCAGGTACCTGATCAACTCCTGGCAAATGACTGGAGGCAGCTTCGATTGCCAATTCGCAAGCAATATGCCTGTCATCGGAGAGTACATTCGGTTTGAACCCCGAAATCGTGACGATACGAAGTCTGTGATGGTTTTAAGTGCCGGCACAAACGCTTCTTTTGTCTTTGCTGTTTGCTTTCCGACCACCGATTGCACATCGAGCCTCCCAAGGGTCTGGACAGAGGTGCAGTGAGAAGCCGCAGCGTCAAGCACACCATTTTGGGCAGGATCCAGCACGACGATGTCCCATTTCCTCAGAACGGCTGTTTCTTGCTGGGTCGGTGGTGTTGCAAAACTGCCAAGATATACACCGAATGTTTTGGGTTCCTGTTCACTGCGCGCATCTGCAGAGATTGATTGTCCCTTGCTCTTCAAGCTATCAAGAAATTCTGTAACCCCTCGCGGCACTTTTCGTACTCGCCCTCGAAGAGCCTTCCGCCTGTCGTGGACTTTGATAAGCAGTACCGCGGAAAGATATAGTAGACCAGACAGGACACCGAAGAGTGCGAGCCCAGCAAGTATCTGCCAGGTGTCAGCACATGCATTTCTATCACTTGGTCATCCTACTCACGATATCGAACCAACTGCCAGTCATCACGTGCCAGCCAACGGCTGACAGTCCTATGTACTCGGCCCTCATCGCGAGCAGTGGCGACAGCACAATCTCATCTGCTGCCGTGCTGCTGCTGCCACACAAGAGATGTACAGATGGCAGCACTAGCAGAGCGAATGCGAGTCCCAGCTGCTCGTGCTCGTGCCTGTCGAGGAAAACGCGTAATGCAGAGCTTGTCCGCTTTCCACCTGAGCTCAACTGCTCGGCCGCCGCTCCTGACATTGCCAGTCGATCGTGCTCAGTCGCAGCTCGTCCATCGTTGCATCATACAAAGCCGAGCGTCGCCCATAGCTCCTGTGATACGCAGACACGTTGAACGATGGTTTCATCGAGTCAATCGAGCAAATCGAGTTTGATCCACTTTCAGCATATAGATCCCGCCATTCGAATGCGACCAGACTCGTATTACGAGTGATCTGGACTACTGTCGTGTGCATGTCGGGCAATGGTGCAATGGGAGGTAGCCAATGGCACTACATGAGTCTAATGTTCTTCCGGAGCTCCCGAGCCGTGGGTCGCAGGTTGCTGCGTGCTGCTGGCTTTATGCGAATCGCTTAGATCGAGATGTTCCATTTTTCGCATACTCACGATCCTCGATTTGTAGACTAGATCAGCCTGTGTCTGGTTTGAAGATAGACCATTCAATTGCTGTCAAGGGCACGCGAACTGACGCGCGAATGTAGTCTTGGCTTGTCAAAACCCCAAAGCTCTTTCTTGGGGAATAGTGAGTCTATACATCGAGAACTGCATGTCTGATTTCGCTGTTGCTCCTTGAATGCCATGGTTTACTCCCGGTCGAAGAAGAATTCCAGCACAGCACATACCTGAATCTGGCCCGAAATGCAGTCTCCACAACATCTGCTGTCCAGGCAGAGGAAGAGGTCCAAGGCTCTGTGGTGTTGCCTTATAGCGGTCATATTGGCAATTCTGATCCTGATAATCGTGCCAACAGCTGTGGTGTTGTCCAGGAAAAATCGCAAGTATCCAGATGGACTTCCTGCCAAGGTGTTGCTTCCTCTGTACGAGTTTCCGGAGGACAGTGCCTGGGATCCTCTGTACTCAGCGTGAGTTGTATCTGTGTCATAAAGTGCCATCAGCGATGGAGTCTGATAATTCGTAGCATCGAATCGAACTCCAACCTGGACTTCATTGTGATTATCAATCCAGATAGCGGTCCTGGCGGAATGAGCACAGCGCCTGGCGCCGAGTTCTCTCCAGGAATACAGAAGCTCAATAATTACTCAAATGTGCAGACAGTAGGCTATGTCCGTGAGTTTGACGCGTGAAATCGTTTGCGGCGCGTGTACTGAGCATGGATGCAGGTACGGGCTATGGCACTCGACCCGTGATGGAAATTGTGCAGGACATCGAAACGTACGCTCAGTGGGCCGATGTCCATTCGAGTCTGGCGATGCACGGCATCTTTTTCGATGAGGCAGCGTATGAGTATTCGCCAGAAAATGTCGAGCATCTGTACATCATCAATCAGTTTGCCAAGAATTCGACAGGCATTCGCGAACCTCGCACGGTCAGTCTTTCATCCACTTCTGCCCCGATCATCAACGCAACATCCGCTCATCCCATCGCAGGTCATCCATAATCCGGGCATCTTGCCTGATGCGCGCCTAAACACCAACAACACCGATATCACCGTGACCTTTGAGCAGTCGCTGAAGGAGTTCCACAAGATGGACGCGTCACTGCAGGAATCGCCTTTCAACCGGACTTCCAGCGCGTTTATCGTGCACTCGGCAGGCCCCGCGGATCTCAAGCAGTTCGTACCAGAGCTGAGCTACCATGCTGGTTATTTGTTCGTGACGAGCAACAAGAAAAATTATTATAGCAGCTTCGGGAAGAATTGGCAGAAGTTTGTTGATGCAGTGCCCACAAACGCAAGCGCAGCCACGCGGTAGGAGGCTGATGCCGATCGTGGATGTTAGTGGCTCCCAGTGGCTGGAAATAGCCTTAGCTACTTCCTCCTCCTCGAACTTAGACAATAACAACAACAATCTTCCACGGCATTCCTACAAATCTGACGAGCCCCCTAAGTCTGCCATGGGGCTCTTCTCGAGATTCAAGAGGTCCGGAAGCACCAAATCGCCACAATCCACATGCATCGTCCCCTTGTACATCTATCCAACCAACTCTACGACATGGCAGCCACTTTATGACGCGTGAGACCACGGGCGCAGACAGCTTGCACAATAACGCTGACTAGCTTCCTCAGAATCGACGAGAATCCATCACTCGACTTCGTTGTCGTTGTCAACCCCAATAGCGGCCCAGGCGAATCCCCATGGTGGCCCAATCTGGACTATTTGCGCGAAGTACCCAAGCTCAACGCAAGACCCAACTGCACCACACTCGGCTATGTCAGGACTGACTACTGCAATCGAGACGTCAGCGAAGTCTTGGAAGACATTCGACGTTATGCGAAGTGGCCACATGATTTTGGCGTGAAAGGTCTGCACGTCTCGGGCATCTTCTTCGACGAAACACCCAACGAATCTTCACAGTTCAAGACCACATTCTTGCAAAAGATCAACCATGATGTGAAGTCCGCTGATGGCATATTCGGCAGCAAATTGGTGCGACCTCATACCTTCTAGAAATGGACCTCGGCTTGAGACTTACATGGTTTGTAGATCGTTCACAACCCTGGCACGCTACCAGATCCTCAACTCACCAGCAAACGGCCGGACAGCACAGCGGTATTCGAAAATTCATACGCACGACTGATGGGATCCGATCGAACTGACGACAATGACCTGATCGAATACTCTCGGCAACATGCTTGCTACATGGTGCACTCGGTGCCGATAGATCGGGTCAAGGATGTTACCCACGAGGTTCGGAAGCGAGCACAATATGTCTTCGTCACAGACTCCAACGAGCGGTTTTACGAGCAATTTGGCGCCGGTTTCAAGGACTTCATCGATGCCATGTCGACCGATTGAACAACTCGTTGGAGCACGACCATGATGTTCCTTTCTTCGAACCCTTGCTTGGCGACACAATTTGAACTTCGCCAGACTGTTCGATCTGGCCTTGGCGAAGGAAGGCGCTGCATGTGCGTCTCGAACACAATTGCACAATCTCAGCATCGGCAACCGTCTGCGAGACAGTTTGCCTGATGCATTTGGTGCCAAATGCCGAAAGCCCGATATGCCGCGCATTTCTACCTTGGTACTGAGCAGGCTTCCTGGGCCAACAATCCACAGTGCCTTGCGCGAGCGAAGCGTTAGCCCACTAATGGTCACTCGACTGTCAGAATACAGCATGGTCAAAGATAATGCGGAGCTCAACAAGCGATTGGAGCAGTTTTTGCCAATGATCATCTGGCATCGCTTCATTTCTATGTCATCTATGTTCATCCTAATTCGAAAAGGTCGTTACGCTAAACCGCCCAGGCGGCGATCACGAGAAGGTTGTTCCATTGAAAGTTGCACCTAGACTTTGCCAACCAGACTCAATGCATTCCACAGATCCACCGCGCAGTCATCGACAGTCTTCTGCGTTCTCCATCCAAGATCTCGCTCCGCTAGCGCAGTCGCAGCAACACAGCTCCCAACGTCTCCGGCTCTCCTCGGCGCCATTTGAGCTGGTACCTTCTTGCCGCTGGCCTTCTCGAGCGCCGAGACACACTCAGCAACGGTCATTCCACAACCTGTGCCCAAGTTGAAAGCTCTGAAGGACTCTTGTCGATGCGGATCGTTTGCGGCTGCGACTGCCGCAATGTGCCCTTGTCCGAGATCGACGACGTGAATGAAGTCTCGCACAGCCGTTCCATCGCGAGTGTCCCAGTCGCTTCCGTAGATGTAGAGCGCTGGTCGCAGGCCAGTCATTGCTTCGGCAATCACAGGGAACAGATTTGTCGCTTTCATACGAGGGTTCTCTCGCAAGAGACCTGATGCATGGCAGCCCACGGGATTGAAATACCGCAGAGCTGTGATTCGCATTGAGGGATCGGACTTGGCGACATCAGCGAGAATGGCCTCGGCCATGTATTTGGTTCGTCCATATGGATTGGTGATGCCAGTGATGCCGTTGGCCCGCACGCGCTCCAAACCATCCTCTTCTGTGTATTTCTCGTCGAAATGCACGAGATCATCTTCTCGAAGCGGCTTTCCAAGATTGGCTTTGCCGCCATATACTGTGGCAGAAGAAGAGAACACGAAGTTCTTGATGCCATTCAGCTGCACTATCTCGAGAAGATCAATGAGACCCGCGATATTGTTTTTGTAATAAGCAAGCGGTTTCTCGATGGACTCCGACACCGACTTGAAAGCCGCGAAGTGGATGACTCCGGTGATCTTAGACTGACAGGCCTCATACATGTTGAACACATGCTTCATCGCGGAAGTTCGGTAATCCAGTTTATGGAACCGTAGCGTTGGAGCGACCAGCCCCCTCTGGTGACAGTAGTCCTTGGAAAGGAGCTTTATTCGGTCCAGGACATTAACATACGAATTGGAAAGGTCATCTACCACAATGACATTGTAGCCTTCTTGGAGGAGCTCGAGTGTGGTATGCGATCCAATGTATCCGAGGCCGCCGACCACCATGACATACTGCTTGTTGTCATGGGCCGGAAGTTGTTCCTGGACTGGCTCGACTGCTTGAAGAACCTGCGGCGAGAAATAGTCAAAGCTCTCTGTAAGAGCGAATCCCGGAGTATTGGGCCTTGATGAGAACGCTGTGGAGTGCCCGCCGCTGTCCAAGCTGTCTAGTGACAGCAAAGATGAACTGGAAGAGACCGATCGTAATGTGGCCGGCATGATGTCGTTGCTGTCTAGTCGATGATTATGCTCCGTGCTCAGCGATGTGGAAATGAGTACTTCGCTGGCCCGATGCCAGCTCGAGAGAACGAAGAAGACTACACTACTTAACAACGATCTCTCCTGTGGCAAATCGCCAAAAGGCCGAACATTCAGGGCCAGACATCAACGCTGGACGATCTCCGTTCCTTCACCATTTCCAATTCAATCGCAAGGTCCGAGAGGCTGTGCCGACTGACTGGACGAGGGTCTCGATTCTAGATCTGCTCGGTCCCCGTCAACTTCTGCTGGAGAACGGCATATGAGGGTCCAGAGCGGACGAAGCACCTCTGTGGTCCTTCTTCCGCACTTGGGCATATCCGACGCCATGCAGTAGCTCCCATCAACTGTCCTCGCCGGAAGGGCACTCACTCCTGGAACATTTGGGCTCTGTATCCTACCGGAGAAGCAGATTTTCGCTGCAAGGGCCATCTACCGTCATTCACGAGTGTGCTATCGTCAGTCAATCCCTTTGAGCTGGCTGCCCTCACGCTTGCATGGGATTGAGATTGCTCGTCAGAATGCAATGAAGGTCAATCTATTGATGCTATTCTGAGACGCAATGTATATTGGCTGGACAATACTCTGGATTCCAAATGAGCGAGTTTTTCTATGTCTTTGGCACCACTATCAAAGATTCAGACCCTGATCTGTTCACTCGCCATATGTGGGAGCGAGCTGGCCCTGCGCACGACGACAGACTCAACGCCAGCTTCACCTCGCTCCGCTTTTGGCAACGAATTCGAAGCTAGTAATCCTCCTAGTGCTAGTGCCTATGAGCTTGCGCAATACCGACACCAAACGGTGGTTCGGCCCTTGAGCCGGTCGAAGGTGAAAGACCAAAGCTGTGAGGCGTCGACCTTCGCCTCATCATGAACGGTGCTTGCATATTCAAGCCTGTTGAGCCTTGCCATGACCATTTTCACCTACTATCGCACGATGCAAGGCTTCCCAAACAGGCGTAAAATGCATTACCACTTCCGAGTAATGTAGCAGATCCTCGAACCATTTGCTCTGCCTGTTTCGGACGCTCATACGATCGCTGATGATGTCTTTGAAAACTGGCCCGCTTCTGCTTCCGGTTTCGAAGTCTGCTATGTACAGGGTCAACATACCGTTTGGATCGCCAACACGCGTCGCGTTTGAATCGGAATCTCAGCTATCTCAAGTTCAGCTGAATGACGCAGTTCTTTCGACTATCTCGATGAGAGCAACAAGACCGGCGGAACAACTCATTTTAGTTGAGCTCAACTCGCACGGTGAAGAGTATCTGCCGTTGATCAATGGACTTGTCAAAAAGGGGAGACTACTCCTGGTACACCAACATCAACGAAACAGTCCCACAGATCCGAGACTCTCCCATGTGAAGACGACCGTACTGCGCTTCTCCGCTTGGTCGTACGAGTACGAGCTGTGATACTCAAAATTCCGCGCTGAGCCGAGTGGTCCACAAATTTTGGTAGAGCTTGAAGCAACCGCTTTCATATCGATCAAAAGTCAATTGTTGGCCTCAGGCAATAGATCTCGCCCATCGACACGAGCCAGACACTTCTAGCCTGATCCACTGGACCATCGAGATCCCCACTGCTACCAACATGCGGATCAAACGCATTTAGCTGAAGAACGCGCAGCTGATTGTCAGCACTTCTGGGAGTGGATAAGCCCCGCGCACACTTTATTGAGTCCGCCACGAAGGGGTTTCCTCCATGCCCATTGTCACTATTCCTGGCTTTGCCTTTCAGTTTTTTGTCAACACTCCTGCGAGCAGGTCCGAGAGATGCCGAAAAATTCTTGTCTCCGCGCCACAGATTCCTCAGCCATGAGCCCGTCAAAGGCCGGGCACGAGGGATGTCTTCCTTCGCTGTTTCCCACCACGTTTCCAGGCCATCAGTCCCTCGTTGCAGAATATACGCATTGCTACGAAGACGCGCGGTGAATCACACATCGAGCGTCTATCGTAGATGTTCGCTATCCTGCAACTGCCATCATGCTGATCAATCGGCTGTTACACCTCGCCATACTTTCGGCAGGCGTGGCTGAAGGACAGAGGACTACGACGACCAGAACGACAACCGTCAGGACCACATCCACCTCGACTACCCTCACAGCATCGAATACTCGATATGGTTGCGGATGCGTCTCTCCGACAAATTCTCTTCGCTCAACATCGCGAAGCGGAATCACCACCATAACCACGACTCTTCAGCCTTCCGCCACATTTGCCTGTAACTGCCGGTCTACCGGCCTGGTATCGACAACTAGATCGAGCACTACCAGGACATCCAGCACACGGTAAGCTCACCCCAAACCCTTCACACAGTCACCTCTACGTAATGGACCTCAGATCGGCTAACCCCGAGCAGAACCTCTAGCACCAGGTCTGCAACTACCAGCTCAAGTTCATCTGTAATTGCCAGTTCAAGTTCATCTGCAACCTCCAGTGGACCGTCTTTGACGCCTTCGCAGAATGCCACTGTCGGTGGTCAGACCGTCAAGAACACTATCTTAGTCTTAGCTCGCAACTCCATTGATGCCGAGCTTGCCTACTCCGGTTTCCAAGGCTATGGAATCCCTTATGAGGTCCTCCTAGTCCCTCAATCTGGCGTTTCGCTGCCAACACTCAATTCTTCTGCGACGGAAGGCAACTATGGGGGCTTCATCATTGTGAGCGAGCTGTCTTACCAGAACTCGGCTGGAAATTGGGTGAGCGGTCTCACAGATGCCCAATTCACTGCCATCTACAATTATCAGAAGGCATTTGGCGTTCGGATGACAAGACTAGACACATACCCTTGGTCGGCCTTCGGCGCTGTATCACTCGGCACTAGCGGAGGCTGCTGTGACTACAACGTCGAGCAGCAAATCAGTTTCACCAATACCAGTGGTTTCTCCACTGCCAATGTCAAAACTGATGCGGGTATGAGTACAAAGGCTATCTGGCACTATCCGGCACAGATCACTGACCCGAAGACAACTTGGGAGATTGCAAGCTTCGGCCCTTCCTCTGACGGCAAGTTCAGCAGCAAGAGCACGGCCGCGGTCATCAACGACTTTGACGGGCGACAGCAGATGGTGTTCTTCACCGGTTGGGCCTCAGAATGGTCTGCAACCTCGACCTACCTCCAACATGCCTACATACACTGGATGACTCGTGGTCTGTTCGTCGGCGCTCGCAAGATTTACCTTGCTGGCCAAATTGATGATGTTCATTTGCGAACGCAAACGTATTCGCCACTGAATAACTACTATCGTAGCGATCCTCAGGACTACAGGATGCATGCTGAATGGCAAGACGACCTCAATTCTCGCCTGCCAGCTGGGTCAAACTTCTTCCTGGAGCTCGGCCATAATGGTAACGGAGACATCATTGCTGCCACAAATGGAACCAATAATGGCGCTGTCTGCAAACCTAATACTGCCATCTATTATATCCCGAATGACAGCACGGCGCTTGAGTATCAGAAGCCACTGGGCACTGGTAAATCGGTGTGGCCCACAACACCCACGAATTACACTTGGACCGTGGCTTGTGCATCGAAGGATGCCCTCGCAGAGTGGTTCATGGATCCCATCAATCGTGACCACTTCGCACACGTCTCTCATACGTTCACCCATCTTCATCAGAACAACGCCACTTATGATGACATCTACAAAGAGATCCTCTTCAACAAGGTCTGGATGGAGCAGCTTGGTATTTCCAAAGCAAAGAACTACTCTCCGGGAGGCCTCATCCCGCCCGCCATCACCGGTCTACACAACGGCGATGCGATGCGCGCGTGGGCAGACAATGGTATCATATCTGCCGTAGGCGATAACTCCCGTCCTGTCCTGCGCAACACTAAATCTGACATGTTGCCACTCATTTCCACGACAGCCAACAACGGCTTCGACGGCATGGTAATTCTGCCACGCTGGCCAACAAAGATCTACTACGACTGCGATACTCCAGACTGCACCACCAAGGAATGGACTGATCTCTTTGGCGGAACTGGCTCATTCACCGATCTAATGGAATCAGAAAAGAGCATCACCACTCGCTATCTCATGGGTCTTCATCATGACCTTTACATGTTCCATCAAGCCAACATGCGTGTCCACGACCTGCCTGTCGCGACTGTGGGCTCCCAGACACGGCAGATGTCTCTCGTCCAAATTTGGGTCGAAATTGTCACGCAAGAAATGGCGCGTTTGACAAACTGGCCGATCGTCACATTGAAGCACGATGACATCGCTCAAAAGTTCCTGCAGCGCATGGCAAGAGAGCAATGCGAACCCAACCTGGTCTATCGCTACAATCAGGATGGATCACGCATTACGGGTGTCACTGTCTCTGCGAAGGGGAACTCCTGCTCGGCACCAATTCCTGTGACGTTCCCGGGTGCAGCAAGTGGTGCAAGTGCGACTGATGATAAACTGGGCTCAGAGCCTTTGATCAAGTGGGTTACCTTGAGTGGCAGCACGCAGACTTATACTCTTGCTACGCCAGTTCCTGTGAGGGCATAAAAGTGTTATTGTATCATTTGCATATCTATCGAGCGCGGCGTTATTGGGTCAAGATAGAAGAACGTACATAGCATTGAAATCTTTTTCATCTCTTGCGATAAACATCTAGTCGCCGATACCCTGTCTTCTCTTCAGTCCGCCAGTCGTGCTTCGTTGAGTTGCCTCTGGGTTTGTTCCATTTGGGTTGCCTTCAACTCACTGCCTACTTGCGATGAAGAAATATTGGATCCGAGAGTAGAGATAACAAATTCTAGCATTCATTAGAGACTGCTTACAAGGGTCAAGAAATATATAATGATTGACACGAAGCTAGCCACAATGCTACTGCTTCTCCACTTCTCTCTCACTCCATTTCCACCTGGGCATGATAGCCACCACATTTACACATTAGTATCTGTTCTGTTCTGGGATCATAGTCTAGATTTCGTTGCAGATGACACCTTGGCCGGCCTGGAGAAATGTTAGCCTGCGAGATGCGGCGTTGGAGAAGGGATTGAGACTTACAAGTGGAATCAGACAGCAAGCAGCAGTTGTGCCGGTAGCAGCGCACTGTCCGACGAAGTTCCTCTGGGAGGTGATGGTGTTGGGGACTGTTCAAATGTCAGTATGGAAGCTTGTATCAGTCAATGCAATGTGAGGATTTACCATTGCCACAGCTCAGGCCAGCCAAACCAAGGACGTTGGTCGCGCAGCATTGGGCGAAGTAGCCGCTTGGGCAGACCATTGCTTGGCCACCTCCATTGCCACCATTGTTGCCACCGTTGTTGCCACCGTTGTTGTCGCCTCCATTCTCGCCACCGTTCTCACCACCATTCTCACCGCCGTTCTCCCCACCATTCTCGCCGCCGTTGTTACCTCCGTTGTTTCCCCCATTGTTTCCGCCGTTGTTTCCCCCATTGTTGCCACCGTTGTTGCCGCCACCATAGCCGCCTCCGTAGCCTCCCTTAGAGGAGCCGCCACCGAGGCTAGCAAGGGACAGGAGACCGCCTTGGCGAGTCTCAAGGGCCATTGGGCTGGCGACTGCAACAGCAGCAAGGGCGATGAGAGAGAACTTCATTTTGTCGTTGGTGTATTTATTTCGAAGGAATGTATCAGTTGAATGAAGAGAAGTGCTTTTGGAGAAGGAAGTAAACTGTTGATTGCTGGAACTGCTGAGTGATGATGGACGATTCTGAGGCCATGATGTCTGCTATTATATGTTGTCCCTCTAGGCGCATTCTTCCTGAATGGGAGCACTCGTCTCCGAGCATCCGGTCTGCCTGTGATATCGCTAGTCAATTCCGTCGTTGTATCCGAGAAGCATATGTGCCTTTACGAGGTACGATTGTGAACTTGGTTGTTGCCGTGCGGTGTACGTTGGGCGCAGTTATGCTTCTTGTGATGAAACGGGATAGTGCTCGTGACAATGCATGATCGCCATGACTTGGCTCATGAGGAAGCATTAGGCGTGCTTCTAACCGGATTTGGCCATGCGGGCACAATTTGGCCCGTATTCGCAACGTTCGAGGCCACTCCAGCGAATGTACGAAGGTACGAAGACACCTTCATTATAGATTGCCACGTCGTCCGCGCCCTGCGAAGATGTCTGTGGAAACTACAGTGAGATTGTGCGCTCCATAGACTGACCAATGCTGCTCAAAATTGGAGCCGGAACTGTTCGGCGTCCTCAACTGTCGCTAACGCGTGACAGACGTGACATATGCGTCTGCCAATGTGAAGAGTGAGGGCTTGCGTAAGACGGTGAGCCGAGAGCCTGGCGCAGGGCAAATACGTCAGATGCACCCAGCCAGCAATTTCCGGCGCGTGTGCCTAAACGCAAGGGCGTTGTTGATAGAAGGAATACGCTGCTGTAGTATGACAGGCCTGCTGACTCATAGCCGCGACCCGCTCTCCTGCAGCGGCAAAAGAATCAATCGACTCTGCAAGCTTTTGCAGCAATTCCGGATGAAAGTTGCAATGTGACGCGACTATTGCTTCGCTGCCCGGTGGCCAAAGGCAAGCGGAATACTGCAGTATTTGGTGGCGTCTGGTGCGTTGCTTTCAGGCAGCGCTGAGGTTCTTCAGGACCTGCGCATCGAGAGAGATGGATTGAACTCCCGCCTCTCGCAGTTCAGTGCGAGTCTTGGACAGGCTCATCTCGTCTTGCATAACAGCTTTTGTACCTTCCTCAATTACGAAGACTTCATAACCATGCTCGACGGCGTCAATTGCTGTAGACTTGACGCAAAAATCATGGGCCAGACCAACCACGAACACGTGGGTGGTGCCTGCATTCTTCAACGTGGCATCGAGGTTGCTCATACTGACCCTCGGACTTCGAAATGGAGGACCAAATCCAGAGTAGGATTCCACGCGTGGATCTTCACCTTTGCTGATGACATCCGACAGCTTGTGCTTGTGCAACTCTGGGATGAATTCCGCGCCCGATGTGCCTTGGACGCAATGATCCGGCCAGAGCAGCCTGTAATAACGTCAGCGTTCAAAGGACGCGCTGCCGTGCTGTAAACTTGTAGCATCTGACTCACGTAGTTTGCGATTCCGACGCATTCTCCGGGCTGGTAATGGTATGTGACGACGTGAACGGCTGAGTGCCTGGGTGATTTGATGCAAAGGAAATGTGCTCCTGAGGATGATAGTCCTTCGTGCCCACCTTGATCACGAAACCGGGCCAATCCAGCAGATCGTTGACGACAGACGCGACCTCTCTGCCCCCTTTGACTGCAAGTGAGCCGTTTGGCTCGCAGAAGTCCTCTTGCATGTCCACCACAATCAGCGCTGCCTTGAAAGAGGCCATACTTTCACACTTTGCGCTTTGCGAACGGCTGGCGGCGGTGATGGCCTTCGCGATCACGACAACCCGGTCGAGCGCGAGTCAGCAAAGCCGTTGCCGTGAGTTTGAGGGGCCGCCGAGCTGGATGGCGGCTGTGGCCTTAATCTTGCACCGTTTCACTCAAATTGATGTGCAGAAAGTGACAGAAATCTCGCAATGTTCATAAAGCGCCCAAGTTGTGCGTGTGGAGTTCGCGACCTGGAGTGTCGTAGTGTCTTGATCTCGATGTGGTGCAACAGTGGGTTGTCCGAGGTCGTGTGGAACGGAAACGCAATGGAACGGAACGGAAGGACGGGATGTTGGTCCGGGCCGGCTCTTGGCATTCACTTCGGCACGGCTGCTGCTGCTGCTCTGTCCTCCTTATCACCGGTTGGCTCATCAGTTCATATCTGAAGTCATCACTTTGTGCCCACTTGTCACTCTCCGGAAGCTCCGCACATGTTTCTGCAGACGAAGTGAAACACTAGGCTGCGCGCTTCTGCGAGCGCTGGCTGTGACCACACGCGATCAGCATCCAGTGCGCGATGTCGTCCTCAGGGCCATTAGTCGGATAACAGTAATGGGCTAAACCCCTTAGGAAGCGAGGTCATGTCCTGTGCTGGAGAGACTCTGGTCTCACTACTGGGCCTTTGGCTCGTATCGGAGGAGGATGATTGCACGCAGAACAGTCGCACGAAATCTTCAGGGCCAGCTCAGCATCTCACGCCGCTAGAATCGTCGAGTTCTGGAGAACAAATTTGCTCAGAGGCCGGGAAAGTTCGAATATTGGAGAGAACTTGATGTTCACAGTGATGATGTGCTTCACTCACCACAAGACTTCAAATAGCACTCGTTTCCAACAAGGACACTTCATCGGGCTTTGGCGACTGGCTGCTTGTCATACAAATCTCTCGAACTATCAGAGGCAATATGCGGATCTGGAATGTTGATCAGCAATACCCTCCTTACCTCTGAATAGTTTCATCATGGTTTGAGCTCGACGCATGGACACAACGTGGCTCAAGAGTAAAGCATGCAGAAAGAAGAAAAGAAACACTCGAGGCATGTGGCAGCAAAACACGCAAAATGTCATTTCAGGCCCGAAGGCGCTCTGCTATAAGCTCAATGGTCTGTCGCATACATGTCAGTCGTCTGATGGCATGCTACAAAGCGAGGGAAACAGAGATACTTACAAAAGCGATGGTATCTATGCCTACCATTTGCTCAGCCCGCCATGGCCTGCGGCCGCCACCTCGTCGCTGAGGCACTCGTACCGAGTGTGCGTCCACTCGGTCTGGCAGCGGTCGCAGGCCTCGTGGCCCGGTGCTGGCTCTCGCTGCGGCAGGAATTAGCTGGGTTTTGTGCTTGAGATTTCTCGAGGATCACATGCCTCGGCGATCTTCGTGTTGCAGTAGCTTGTGCCTCCTGCTTCTTGTGCTTTGTTGCACTTGGGTGGATTGGTGGGGCTTGGGTGAATGGAGTCAGTATTCGTTCAGTATATGATGTGCTTCAGGTGAATGTCTTACTAGGTGGTGTAGATGACATCGTCACCTTCTTCCTCGCACTCGACGAGTATGATGTTGTGGCACATCTACACATATGGTCAGTTCACATTCGCTGAATTCACTTTGCAGCTTCGGGCGAAATTCGAGGAGTGAAAGCAAGGGAGTGCCGTATTGCTCAGACAAAGGGGTGGCATCGTGGCCGAGTCTCGAAGGATCCTAACTGAATCGCTCTGTGGGACGACCAACATGAGCAGCATTCGCAGGTAGACCTTGTTTTGCTTGGACGATGTACCCTTCGTGAGAAAACCCCAAGATCTTCTCGATCAAGAATGTGAGGGCTTGCACCGACGTGGCCCAGTGTCTCAACAGGTTCGAATGGGATAGGCTTTTGCTTGTGCGGATGGAGGCTGCTTCGAAGTGGCGAGCTAGCGGTTCGAGCGACTTACGTTGGTGGTGGTTGGCACTATCGAATCGATTCAATCAGCAACATACTCAAAGACAACCTGGAGTCCAGTTCATGACACCGACTCCACGCTGGCAGGGGTTTGGTCGACTTACAGGAGCGGAGGTGGTGATGTGTGAGATCTTTCAAGGCAGACAAGTCAGCAATTGCTCGCGAACACCCCAATTGCCCTGTCTGGCTAGCCGGTTGACCAGTTGCCTGGCTTCTTGATCAAGAAAAGGAGGTGCCTTACAAGTCTTTAGTGATGTGGTGAGGAGGTTCTGCCAGGAGCGGTGCGGAGTTCGTGTCGCTATGTCGAGCTGGCTGTTGTGGTGTGATCGTTCGCTAGGGCAGAGAAGAAGAGCAAGAAGAGCACGAACGAATTTCACCAAGGCACCAGCAAGGGGACCCTTATCGAGAATTCGGCGGCGGCGGTGGGTGACGACAGCGACGTGCTTAGCTGCATAAGGCCGTTTGTCAAGGAGCTGAAGTTCAGCATGCGCGCCGCTTCAATATTGAGCAGTGGATCTACGTGCAGTACATAACTATCCGCACATATCTCGATTTCACAAAAAGCACGCTCTTCGCGCGACATTAATTCCACCGTGCGTAACCAAGACGGTCCACAAAGAAGTAGCTCTGGCATCTTACACTGACACGATCGAATTCTAGCAGCTTCAACAACCGTCGAGCATCGAAGACAAACCGCTTTACGCCCACAGCGTCCCCTTGAGGCTCTTCCCTTAGTTCTTCATCTGAGCACTTTGATCGAGTACCGTCGCCACACAGCCAAACCACCATGCCTCCCTCTCAAAAGCTACCCAAGCTCAAGGCTCTCCACGTGAGACCACCGAATACCAGCACCGATAGTACAAACGCGGAAGAATCGGCGCCGGACGCGGCTCGTCAGGGAGCTGTTCAATCACCACAGTCCAATTCCAGGCGAACACTCACAGCAACTCTCGCCCACGCACCAAAAGTACCGTCGAAGTTGAGGAGAGAGTGGACTTTCCCTGGAACACCAGAGCGGACGCCCGATCGAGTCGAATCAACCTCGTCAACTGATGAGGGCCCCCAAAGCACGCCGAACAATCACGCCAAGTGCGCGCAACGCTTGATCGATGCCCTCAAAGCCACCGCAACAGAGAAAAGCACACCAGCGGACGGGGATGCAGGAGTTCAGGCCTGGGTCGAGAGTATTCTCATGTTAACAACGGCCAAGCTCGCAGGAGAAGAGGGCGACGATTTCTGGCTTGCTTCGAGCATGGAAGATGGATACAACAAAAACAGGGAGGCTCATGGCGAGATGTGGTTGCTCCTAGCTCAGTAAGTCCTACAAAATGATTGTCGATTAATTGATTGTGATTTGGGATTTTGCTGACAAGCGACAAAGATGTCTCAATCGGCAGGCAACCGAGCAGCGAGAGCGAAGACTGTGCCGCTTGGTAGAGGCATTCGTTGAAGGACGCGTTCGTATCGACAGTGAAGAGTGAGGTATTGCGAGGCGGATGGGAATGGGAGCATCAGCAGCGAGTAGGCCGGTTTACAAGGAGGTTATAGTCAGTTAGACACTTGTGCATGATGTCTGCAACTGCTCGTGTGTAACAGTCCACCTTAATCACTGCTGCTCACGTTCTTCTATATGTCTTGGATCGATTCGACTTTAACCTGCCGCGTCGAGAAGGAATGTATTTCATGTGGCATATCGCCCTCCCTAATCAATCGATTCGTGGTTGACACTCATATTCCTCGGTTCCACCTCTCAATTCCGTCGACGTTGTCTTGTTGCTTGCTCAAGCAAATGAACTCTGAGTCAGCGCTTGCGTCGTTGCTGCTTCGATTTTCAGCGAGCGAGGGGTCAGCCTCGCTGGTAACAGCAAACGAGTCCTTCGCGTTGCTTCTCTCCCGTCCATCATCTACCTCCCCATCACTCGAAGTGCAGACAAAGCCGATCAGACTCGACAACTTCCGATAATGGCTTCTCCCGTCTGCCTGAACTGCGCTGCGGAAGGACTCATGTGCATTGCCAGAACGCCAGACTGTTGGCAGTGCATGGCGCGCGAAAGGCAGGTAAGTGAAGTTGCCTGATTGCCATTCCTCTCCTCTGTTCCTCATCGATCTGGCAAGGCTATGCTCCCCAGGTTGGCAACCAGAACCAGTCAATCGAGCACGGCTGTCCGAGAAGTGGTAGTGATCTGCTGCTGATTGCCTCCAGTGTATGTGGTCTCAGCCGGCACCACATCAACAACAAAATACTGCGCCGATCAGCGTGTCACCGTCTGCAGCACAGCGATCACAACGAATTACTGCAACGATTAGCATGCCAGTGCCCCTGGCACCACGACAACAACAGGATACCGCGCCATTTAGCGCGCCGCCGTCCCAGGCACCTTCACAACAAGAAAATGATGCACCGAACAGCGTGCCATCGTCCCCGTTCATACCCTACGTACCAGAAGCTTTCGGCGGCCCACTCCATCCCCTGCCGACACCAGGTCCAATTGCGACTTGGTATGATGCTCCAATACCTGAAGCTCCGTTTCCAGCCCCAGCCTCTTCTCCAGGACAAGCTCCGGGACCATGGGACTTGGTGGCCAACTCCAGAACCCACGAGCTTCTTGGGCGGAACGAGAGCCAAGCCAGAGTGCTTCTCTCCTGGCTTCTGGATATGGCCAAGCAGCCAGGCCCGCCCTTTACATTCGTCCAGCTTCTTGAGCGTACGAGAGACCGGTGCATCCAGAATCGAGACGAGTACTATGACATCTTCGTGAGAATGCTCTACCGGAACAGCCTGCCAAATAATCGAAGGTTCTCGTCCGAGGCCTCGCTTTTCGACTTGTTGCCAATGTATGTCCGGAGATCAAGCCACTTGTGTGTTGCGAGCTCGCTGACATGATCTCTAGATATTTGAAGGGCAATCTCAAACGCGAAGTGTTCGACGAGATGGTGGAGCTGTTCGAGGATTTTCTGAGAAATCAGCAGCATCTGGACAGGAATGGGGAAGAGTGAAGAGAGTGGGAAGGGTGAAGCTTGACAGAACCGGTGGAGACAAATATCGTCGACGAGGCTATCGACCATGCTCAGTGCATCGCGGAGGATTGCATGCCACGAGGCATAAATACGATGAAGGAAGTGGGATTGCCGAAGGGCTGAAGTTGCCATAGCCAAGGCGTCCTGAATCGTGCAGCGATATACATACCGCTTCCAGCCGGACCCGCTCCTCTGCATCTCCAGCCTTGTGGCCTGAATCTTGGGTATCGCGACAACACACTTCACATCTTGGACGAGTGTCTAGCTCTTACTGCAGCTGCCTCGGCTGGCTGGTGCCGTCTCCCCTGCATCTAATGCCTCGTTGAGGCTTTCTTTTCCATCTAGAGCCGCAATAGAACCTCACGCTGCGGATCACTTCGCGATTCCGTGCACCGCTCTGTCCGCCTCGGAACGCGACGTCTGTCACAACCAGTCGATGTAGCGCATTCAGGGTAGCTCCCAGCTCAGCAGGAAGAAATCGGAGGACGACATATCGTGCGAGAGATCGTGTTCTCCTATGACCGAGGCATAGCGATGAGTATGTGGTAGTGGACAGAGGCAGACAGCTATGCTACGAAGCCATAGCAGTCAGAATAAAGACGAGAGGTGAAAGTGGACAGCTTCAAGCTAGGCAGGCCATGTCAGCCGATGGTTCCTGAATGCCTGATGATAGCGAAACTGTTGGCAACCATCGCAGATGCAGGAGGAGCTGTCACCGGCACCGTCACCGCCGAAAAGCAGCCGGAACGACGCCAATGCGGAGCCCATGCGTCATTCACGAGGGAGCATCGCTGGGCCAGGCCATCCGGTGCTGCCACTGCACTCGCAGCATACCGTCGAACAGATCCATCAGCGGTGACTAAGGACAGCTGTATGCAGAGAATGGCAGCAGGCGGCAGGACGACCACGAATATGCAGTATACCGCAGCGTCGATATGCAAGTTGGGCCCGTTCAATGGTCGCCCAGACTTGGTCAGCATGCTGTCAACACTCCTCCCAGCTGCCCCACCACCGCGATGAGGGGCACCCTGCACCAATGAACCACAGCTACGTACCAAGAGGCGCACTTTTTCGCGATGCCCTGCGTAGATGCGTTGACCTGGAGGACAGCTTTAAAAACTTTCACGCGCCCGCCATAGACCGCTTCTCTCCCATCTCACTTTTACCACAAACCATCCATTGAAACCTCAACTCAACACCAAACACCACACACACACACCACCCAACATGCCTCAGAGAATCCCAGAAGCCGAGAGCTTGAAGGAGCTCCTCTCCCTCAAGGGAAAGGTCGTCGTCGTCACCGGTGCATCCGGCCCCAAGGGTATGGGTATCGAGGCTGCTCGCGGAGCTGCTGAGATGGGCGCCGACCTCGCCATCACATACGCCTCCCGCCCCGAGGGTGGTGAGAAGAACGCAAAAGAGCTGTCGGAGAAGTACGGCGTCAAGGTCAAGGCCTACAAGTGCCAGGTCGACAAGTACGAGTCCGTTGAGAAGCTTGTCAAGGATGTCATCGCCGACTTTGGCAAGATCGACGCCTTTGTCGCCAACGCTGGTGCCACCGCCAACAGCGGCATCCTCGACGGCTCCGTTGAGGACTGGAACCACGTCGTCCAGGTCGACTTGACTGGTACTTTCCACTGCGCCAAGGCTGTCGGCCACCACTTCAAGGAGCGAGGAACCGGTTCCTTCGTCATCACCTCTTCCATGTCCGGCCACATCGCCAACTTCCCACAAGAACAGACCTCATACAACGTCGCCAAGGCTGGCTGCATCCACATGGCCCGCTCGCTCGCCAACGAGTGGCGCGACTTTGCCCGTGTCAACTCCATCTCGCCTGGTTACATCGACACTGGTCTCTCCGACTTCGTGCCAAAGGAGACTCAGAAGCTCTGGCACTCTATGATCCCAATGGGCCGTGACGGTCTCGCCAAGGAGCTCAAGGCCGCTTATGTCTACTTCATCTCCGATGCCTCCACCTACACAACCGGTGCCGACCTCATCATTGACGGTGGTTACACTTGCCGATAAATGCACAACACGATGTTTACGAGACACGAGACGAAAGAAAAAAAGGCAATAGTTTGATCATTGCGGTGTCGTGACGAGCATACCGACACGCTGCATGGCGGATGAGCTGGTAATTATACCGTTCCACGGGCAAGCAACGTGGAAATTATGTATCGTAGTTACACATCTTCAATTGTATGCTACGTTCATGGACGAGACCTGTCTCAAATTTTCAACGCTGCCAAAACGTGTTCACAGCCGTGAGGGCCGGTGATCGTGATCTGACTGAATCGCACGATCACAACACATGAGGTCGAGCATCGCTCCACTACGTATTGACCACCAACCCACACTCACATACTGACCGATGTTTTCCCACGATGTGATGTCACGAACTCAAGCCCGAACGAGAGCTGAGGACATACGCGGGGATCATGAAACTGGACGACAAGTTCCTTTTGCTATGCAAGACGCTTTCGATGGAATCATGCTAAAGCCAGTTCCATTCGAACTCAGCGATGCTGTGTCCTCAGTATGCCGATTTCCGCATGGCCATCATTGTTCTTTGATAGCAATTCGACTCAACGCGGGGCAATGATGATTTTTCCGAAAACTTTGCCGATGTCGCTGACTGACGTCTGTCTGCCAAAGTTTGTTCCTCCTTTCGATCGTCCTTACAACTCATCTCGCTGTTCACAACCAGTCTGAGCGCTGTAGAGCTCGATGATCTTCATGCTTCAATGGTATCCCAAGGACGAGACTTCTTACGACTGCAGTGCGACAGCGAGCTTTGTCTGACCAGCTCGAGCAGCCGCTGCCTTTGCCGCGAGTCTAGAACGGGATGACTGACCGCATTTCGTGCAGCAGCTCATTAGTAGACTTCGCAGCTATGATGGTGAGCTTACATGCCGCGTGCCTTTCCTGATTGAAAAGCATGCGTGAGACTGCTTGAGCTTTGTTCAATTGCAGTCTGGTTCGTCAGAGTACTCAAGCTTAGAATTGATTGAGAGTCGTCCTCACGGCGTCATTGTTCAGCATTAACGAACTACGAGCAAAGGAACAACTCAGAAAAAGCAGGCAAAGCAAGAAAAAGAGTCAGCAGGTAGACACGAGGCCAGTATACGCCAACAGAAATGTCGACCCACGCTTCCACAGAAGAGGACAATCAGGAACAAACATTCAACTTACTCTCCCAAATCGTCCTCTCCCGACATTCCATCCGCCGCTTCACCTCCGACCCCGTCCCACCAGCGCTCCTACACTCCTGCCTCTCCCTCGCCCAACACGCCCCCTCCAACTCCAACATCCAAAACTGGCGCCTCCACCTCGCAACCAACACCGCACGCGACCGCATAGTCTCCACCCTAAGCTCCCACGCCTCAACCCACGGCCCCAACATCCCACCCATCCCCCCAAAGTTCACCCACTACCGCTCCACCTTCGGCCAAATCCTCTACGGCCCCCAAGGCTACAACATTCCGCGCTCAGAAAAGACAGCGCACCGCTCTGCCCAACTACGAAACTTCTCCTTCTTCGATGCCCCGGTCGTAGGCATAATCACACAGGACAAGATCCTCGGACTAGTAGATGCCTTGTGCGTAGGCTTGTACATCAATACTTTGATCCTAGCACTTACTGCAAAAGGGCTGGGAAGCTGTTTACAGATCTCCGTGACGGGGTTTCCGGAAGTTTTGAGGCAGGAGTTCCAACTTGACGAGGATCAGGAGATTTTGTGCGGTATTGCGATCGGGTGGCCGGATAAGCAGGATCGTATCAACGATCTGGATGTTCCCAGAGAGGATGTGGAGACTTGTGTGAGGATCTTGGACAGTTGATGAGATGCCACGACAGTGTGTGCATTTCGGAGCCGAATTGATTTTGAGGGATACGCAAGAAGCGTGCGTGATTTCGAGACATGGTTTGGGAACACGCGAGTCGGGGTTGTCAAAGCAATCCTTGGAGACATGCTGGGAAGGTCTGAGTAGTGCTATCTATATAGGGAGGGTTATGATCGGCTGTATTGCGGCACAGACTTATGGAGATGTGAATTTGGACTATATTTTGATGCTATGGAGGAAGTGCAGCGTCCAGCACTGCCTACTTCCGACAAGTAAAGTTCCTAGTCAATAGCCATCATCATGCATAGCCCAGACTCGCCGGTTCCGCATCGTGTCATGCAGGCAAGCGCAACCGCATACTGCGCGCGCCTGTGTATTAGCCCTATCCGCTGAGTCCAAAAGGCAAATGCCTGCCCGGCCGGCGTGCTGCAAGAAATGCCGAAAGAGCAGGCCATTGCCGGGCCTCAAGTTACCGATCGTTGCAAACGTTCCACGGTATCGGGTCCGGAATCAAAAGCTACGACCAGGAAATATCCGGCGTCGTGTCGACCAAGAGGCTTGATTCGACCACGTTGGCCAGGCTGAGTGATTGCAAAGTTACAATGCACGCCGACCATGGTGCCACGAGCGATGAAATTGCCTCGCGTGGACCGTGTGCTGTAGTGCTCTCTCGCTGGGATGGCGACATTCCTAGCATCCGTGCACGGGTTGTTGGTTGGAACTGTGACAGTTGAAACCGATACGTGCCAGGGTATGTGAGTCCCGAGACGGGGAAGATACCGTAGGCATTACGGTATTCCGCGTCTACGATTTTTCTTGGCTCTACTGAGGTTGCACGACGTCTTTCCTTTTAAGGGAATCCTTGTCCTTAGAGTGAGAGCGCGCCCAGAGAATTTCGTCTGGCAGAAAGTTTCGCGCGCAGCTTTGCCCGCTTGATGAGCTATCGCAACCGTGCCTCGTCTACTCGTGATTTCACGATCTCAGTCCGGGACCTCCCTCCAGTCTGCACTCCTGAACCTACCATGGTCCAGGATAGTTGATGCCGGCGAAATGGACTGGATCCGGACGGTTGCAGGCATTGTTGCCGCTGAATTACTTCGTCAATGAGCCGCTTCAAGGCTGGTAACGGGCGTAAGATTGACCCTGATGACGATGTGAGCCGGAACAGCTTCATCTTCATCCTTCCTCGGCAGCGACCAGAGCAGCAATGTGGGTAGTTGGATGGCCGATGCCCTTGGCGTAGCGTGTGGGTTCACCCATACCCACGCTGGGATCGCGAGCGACTGTGCTGTTGTTTACCGCTTGCCACAGAGCATATGCTCTGCTGTCCAGTGAAGCCGGATAGATGAATTGCGTCCAGCTGCGTCGAGCTTCCTCCCAACTTGTGATTCCAAGTTCCAGTGTGAACCGCTTGAGTGATCGCATGTGCTTGTGCTCGCATCGACCAGTAGTAGCGCTGATTGTGCTCAAACACCAGAAAATGAGCTCTTCGAAACAAGTTCCGACAAGAAGATCTGATTGCAACAGCAGAGCTTCGTTGTACAGGCTCTGTAGAAATTGTTGCGCATCAGTGTTCATCGCGAAACGAGTGTAGCCACACAGGGCCAGAGCGGCGAGGCGCATGTGAAGGTAGACCTGGCGAATCGCGGCATCTTCAAGCACTGTTCGCAAAGGACAATATGTCGTTGCGGTAACGTTTTCGACCTCCCATTCGAGCAGAGCCTGCTGTACTTCGTCGAGCCGTACTCTTGCAGCTGGATCTTCTGGCAGCACGTTCGATAGCCTGCTAATCAGCTGCATGAAGCTGGGCAACAGAAGGTGCTGTGTCTTCAATTTCTCGAATGCAGCGGGAAGCGTGCTGGGAAGGAGCGGGGACGCCGATAGCGCTGGTGCGCCAGGGATATCAAAGAAGGGTCGCTTGGAAGCGTAGACTGCCAGATCGTGTCCGGCTGTGTAGATCACGTTGATGGTCGCTGGAGGGAGTATAGTCTGAGCGCCGACAAAGCCTCCAGGTAGATTATTGACGATGGCGCTCAAACCGCCCATGTGGGTCTCGTAGGTGTCCGCCGTGCCGTATTGCTGCCAAGTCGTGCTGGTCAGCTAGTGTACCTTTTGTTTATCGAAGCTTCAAGCCACATTGGGGTACTCACCAGCTCCCATGCGCCCACAAGGGCGATCGCGTCAATGATGGCCTCCCCCACCTGTGAGAAGTCGAGGCCGGCGATAGATTCGTTGATGCCTTCGAGCGCGGTATGCTTGAGTTGGGCCAGTAGAGATGTAGGCACATTCAGTGCACCTGTCACGACTGCGTGGCTGGCGGCATTGAGTAGGATCGCGTGGAAGAGGCATGTGTCGGAGAGCGCTAGCGGCCAGAGTTGCGTGCGCATCGCGTCACGTCCGTAAGCGTCTTGAGGTGGAGCTGCATCGGGCAGAAAGTATTTCGTGAAGTAGTCGACAATCGAAGGGATGACAGGATGCCATTGTGATATGGGGTATATTCGCGTTGTTGGATCGATGGGGCTGACATCTAGGGACTGTGAAGGGCTCCGGGAGGTGATGCTTTTGGTTGGATCGCTCTCTGCCGCCGACGTTGATGAGGCTCTCCGGCTTTCTTCGCTTTGCTCTGTGGAGGAGGTCGGACTTGTCTCTGTTGAAAATGTTTGGCCGCTCTTTTCTGCCAGCTTCCGTGCAATTGTCTGTTTTCTCGCTGCAGCACTAGCCTTGGCGGCTTGCACACGAACAGCTCTTCTTGTCTCATCGCTGATGCCGGAGGGAGCTCCTGCCGAGAAGGGAACGAAGGCGACTTGTCGATTGAGAGGGTCATCTCGTTCCAGCGTTGGTGAAGTGAGCGGACTTTTCGACACAGATCGAGACCTAGGGTTCTTGTATGACCGTGGGTTCGGCATCGGATCGTGATGCTAACGAGCAGCGGGAGATGTTAGCTTAACCGTGAGAGGAATTCGGAGTGCCAGGTGCGACTCCATCCACCTGTGCTAGGGGCATTGCCAACATATAGTTGTCTGACATCTGCCAGGCCATCGGCTAAGCTTTCGATCTGCCCCATTGGAGGCATGGTACCTGCTCCAGCACTTTCACCCTCGTCCCGACGTCCAGGACCCGCTGCTGCGCTCACAGGGACATGCACTGCTATGGACAAGCGGTCTGTGCTTGTGCCGTAGGCGTAGGGCTGCATATCTCAGCCCTGCGCGCATGACCGCGAGAGGCACCAAGCGCGATGGTGCACGTTTAGACGCAGGCGGGCGCACTCTGACACTCCGCAATAGACTGCGCAGGACATGAGGACGGACAGTCATTAGCCAGCCAAGGATACTAAACCAACGCCACAAGCCCACGCTCGTGGAGCAGCGTGTCCAAGCCGGGCGACCACGTTTTTCAGTGCCGGCAGCCCCAAGCGTGCTGCTATGGTAGGAGCTGCCGACCTGGGCGGGGAGCACCAATGGCAGCGTGTGGCGGAGCTGCGGTGGGTGTACGAGATATCAGCCACCGACCTCTCGTAGCAGGCGAAGAAGCATGGTGGAAGATTGGGAGGCGTGTCCAGCGGTGAGAGGGGACGTCATTACGGTGCGGCGGCCGCTAAGGTGAAGCTCACGTTCCTCCCGAAAGAGCAACCGGACGTGATCCCGCGAGACATTGCAGCTGAATTGGTTGTTCGGGTGGGCGATGGGCAGCTGCTGCGCACTCGTCTCGTGCGCTGAAAGCGTCGATGGGAGAAGAACCAAGGATAGAGGGGGCCGAAGGTTTGTTGCAGCTGTTCGGAGAGGCCTGTGGCAGACCAGCACGCCCAATCGGTTGGTCTGGCGGCGCCCTACAGCGGAGCCAGACGCCAAGAAGGCGTTTTCTACAGCCAACCTTTGTGCAGCATTTGTGCTTCGAATGCAGCCATGTCAGCCACGACAGCCACGACGAAGAGGCTTCCACGATGCCAACGCAAATGGCGCACGGAGTGTCCGTCAGCTATACACTTGCCCACGAGCTACGCCAGCATGCCTGTCGGGCTGAAGGAATCGCCCTTGGGTCTGCAATCGTTAGTCGACAACAATAGCCTGCACCAGCTATTGGCTGTAGTGATCCTGTGATGCTCGAGCCATACACTAGCCGCACGAGGAGAACGCGATCGCAATTTACCTCGTCACACTCGTGGTGCTGAACCGTATTTCGAGATGGAAGTCTTCAGCACGCGTTGTCCTGCGGAAGCGCAGGGGCATCAGGAGAATATCCGGGGTGCCTGTCCTGTCCTTTCCTGTCCTGCTGCTGGCTCACAGGCATGAGCGATCGGTCTCGCAGCCGATGGAGGACCTCGATGTTCGCACCGGGCTGCAAAATATGACCGGGCGTCCAGCGACTCGTGCCCGGCTGCACACATTTTAGCGAGGGATGACGAAAGTGCAGATTTGTCCCAAAGAAATAATTATGTGGGCGGTGCGGTGTCGTTGGTGCTGAGGGGTTGCTTGTCGACAGCCCCAGAACCTCCAACACACGAGGGCAGACACGACTCTATATACTTCAACAATCATCGGAGTCTCCTATGCAACCTGCTTCTAGAACTGCAGAACTGCACTCGCCACTGGAAATGTGCTATGTAGCGGGCGGCCCCAAAGCTGAGAATGCGGCGCGTTGCCCCGAAGAAGTTGTGTACCTGACGATCTCGGTCGCTCCTAGCACTGACAATGGTAGGGCACGAAGTAACAGTAATGCTTGACCAAGCACTCGAGCACGACTTGACGGGAAATGCTTGACCGACACTCGGGCACGAGTTATTAGTGATCGTGTCCAGACACTCGGAGACGATGTAGTCTAACAGTAAATGCTTGCCCAGAAACTCGGACTTACAACCTTGATCATACATTTAAGAGCCTCAAAACTAATACCGCATGCCCTAAGCCAACTTCCAAAGACCCTGGTTCAAGACCTCGAGACGGTGGAATTGGAAGAGGAAGAGAAGTTGGAATGTACAAGACCAGCACATCTTCCGAGTACTCGGGAAAGACAGGGAAATGTAGTTCACGAGGATACGAGCCTGTCTACAGCTGGCAATTCTACCTCCAACCGCTCGAAAGCGCTTCGTTAATCCGGCGACTGCAGCCGGACCCTGTGAAGCTGGAAGAATCGGAGATATTCTGCAAAAGCATCGGCACACCATTGAGTGGAAAGACACGAGAACGAGAGGCATGAAATTGGGGCATCTTGAAGCTCGCCGGACAGAGAGTGTTCATGTATGAGCATGAAGAACGCAGGACGCGAGCGGAGGGAAGATCATGCTATCCAAATTCATTTCCATTCGTGATTCGTTAACGCTCCTTTATCCTGGCCCCTAATGCTTCAATTCAATGCTCTAATCAAAGTGTGGTGTGGGACAACTCCCTACTCCCTTCCTCTCCCACCATCCTCGAATGCATGTCCTGTGGAAAAGGCACAAACACTCCATGCGGCCCAACTCGTCGCCCGGCTGAAAGTCCTCGTAGCAAATCGGGCATTCTCGAGCCTCCCCACTAGCTTCCACACAGTCTTTCTCTGTAGCAATGCTCTTCACCATTCCGCGTGGTCGGAAGCTCGTGGTGCGCGGTCGAGACCCCTCAGCTTGAGGCGGAGTAGTGCCGCTGGTGGTGCTGGGAACGATGTTTGCTGCTGCGGCAGGGGCAACTGGAGGTGTGGAGGAGGAGCTGGGTGCCATTCGTGCTGCTATGCACTCGTTGATGTGTCGTTCGCGCACCGCTTCTCCCGGTGGCATTTCGTTGCCGCAGACAGGACATTCGTCTTCTTCAGCGACCTGCCGTCGCGGTGCTGGCGGTGGTCGAGAGGTGGGAGGCGGTATTGGCGCGGGGAGTGCCGACCGCGAGTATGGTAGATCTCGATTGTTCAGGCTGTGCCCGCGACGATGCATTGTGTCGATGTGCTGTGGGTGTGAGTGCTGACCTGGCTCTGAGCCGCTTCCTTGCGTCGATGGCGCTCTTATATCGTGAGGAGAGTAGCGAACGTTGCGTGCATAGCGATCGAGAGCGGCGGAGCTGGAGAACAATCGCGAAAACTCATGCTGTCGCCGCTGATCGTTTGTCTGCTGGTGACTCTGAGCTCGATTGCGGCCGCCGGGGGGCACAGGGATCGATCTGTAGCGATCCTGTGAGCCTCTGGTGGCCGAGTCCTGCCGTGGTGGATGTGTTACGGATGGTGGGTGAGTGTTGTCGTGAGGGAATTGAGTTGCCGCAAGTGATGGTGAGCCTGCGTCTGGCGTCCACGGGTCAGGCACGCATGGATTGCACACGCGCACGACTTCACCTCCGCCTAGCGCGGGATTCCTCAACGGCGAAGCTGGATCGTCGGCGTACAGACTCACGATATCCGGAGGCTGCACAATGTACTGTCGGGGGATCGTGATGCGGTGCGGCGAGCATCTTGCACAAACCACTCGTCCGCACTTCCTGCAATGATGCCGTCGATACAGCAAGCTGAACTCGGTCTCGCACACAGGACATTTGTTCACCTCATGGTCCGGCTGCCACCGTGGAAGCACGATATCACTCTCTCGCCTGCCATACCGCCCGTAGCTGCGATTGCTTGGAAGACTTCCGCTGCTGTCGTACATTCTTGGATATCCAGGCCTGGCCATCAACGATGATGGAGGGGACGACGATGTCAAATCTATAGCGTGTTCTCTACTGCCGCCCGCCAGACGAGGAGGACTGCCGTCCCCACCACGCACGCCTGATGGCCTTGCAGTGTATGTTGGGTATGGATAGTTCCTTCGCTCTGGATCAGACCCAGTATGCCGCCTCTTCCGCTCAGCCGAGTCACCGCTATTCTGTCGCTGTTGCTCGAATGGGAGGTTCTGTCGCTGCCGCTGCTGCTGGGACGACGACGATGAGTGATCGTGAGATATGGGTACCGTTCCGCCAGCGGAGCGCAAGAAATCGAGGAAACTTAGATCGTTGCCATGTTGGCCCGTCTGCCCATCGTCCTGGCGATGGCCTCTACTCATCGTAAGAATATGAGCTGACCGATCCGCACGTTATGCTAAGAGGTCGCGTGCTCCCAGGCGATAAGGGTATTATCGGCTGCCGAAGGAAAGGGTGGTCGGGTGATCTGTGGTTCGTGCAACGCAGCAGTGGCTCGGCCGTGACAGACAACAACAAACACGACAGCTACGAGAAGGAGCTGCGCACCCTCGTGCCTGAGATCACGAATGGGTGTCTCGATGTTCAGAACATGAAGAGGGAGAACGAACCAACTCGCTCCTGACGACAACCACAATTAGCTCGCCATCATCATTCACGTGCAAGCTCAAACGCCAAGCCGACGGTCCGCGTCCCGCGCCGCTGGTGGCGTTGTTGATAACAGCGTGGTCTGCTGTTTCCACATATCACACCACTACAACAAGATTTTCAACAACGTGACAATGCTGGATACTACGACTGGCCAAGGTACTTGAGTGAGATTCCTGGAGCCTCCCATCGATATGGACACAAAGATCCGCATGTGCACCTCCGCTTCAGTGTTCAGCTTGCATTCGTATAGGCCGATAAATGCTGGTGTTCGATCAGGAGCCACATTCACGCCAGTCCAGCGACAACGGGCTGCTGCAACGGAGTGTCTCACATGGAAATCATCCGGGATGCATCGCAGGGCGGCATGATGCCAATGCTCGACAACAATGCACCACGCCTCTCGAAGATCGGTATTCTACAATTTGGTCACAGAAGAAATATCAGATACGACATTGAGCTCGCATTCATGGACCCTCGTCGATGGAACACCTACGCCAAATGTCAACCAGCGTGTCATGCCACTGAATATCAAGCCTACAATTAGTAATATAACTCATCCGAGTGACTTTCTTGCCCCTGCGTTGGCGGTATTAAGAGCTGGCTCCTGTATACAGTTCACAGCCCCAATTTCCCGACAAGCTGCTCACGCTCTGTAGCGTTCTTCCCATCACACGATAGCCTGTACGATCGGCCAAAACTGTCACCACGGCAGAGCTCTTCGAATGTCTGGCTATGGAAGCGATTCCAGGCACCCAACTAGCTGTTCTTCCATGGCCTGGTACTCTTCATCCATATTCAGTGACAGAGTGCCCATCATGGCCAGGGATTCTTCAGGTCTGAAGCAACTCGCTTGATGCAGTGAAGGCTTCTCTTGCAGAGCCTTCTCTCAGTCTTCAGGCGCTGATGCACGACAACGCCACAACCTCAGCCCTACCCAAGTCACCACCCACTTCTCCCCCACGTCCAATTCAACACCTCAATCCCTCTCCCTTCAGATCCAAACCACCTGTCCTTCTCCCTTCCCTCTTCTTCAAACACCTCCCACTCACCACTAGCGCATTTCCTCAGCCGCAGCACTCCAACAAGGTCTTCCCTGCAAAACCTCAAGCCGATTTTCCCAAGCCCACCAATGACACAAAATCTCGCGGCAAAGTCGAATCCTTTGCCAAGTCGTATACGGCACAATTAAGAATGCGAAGGATCAACAACAATGATGAGCTGTCATGTCGTTTGTCGCGCTAGTCGAGGTGGCACCGTGGCATCTCACCATTGATGGCTTGGATTGCCACGTTGTTCAAAAGGACGCTACGAATGGTCTAGAACAGCCGATGAGGTCGCGTGATAGAGTGTCATGCTGATCGATAATGCAGGTGTTTCGTATGCGACAGAAGAATTGCTGATGTCAGGTACGAGTACTTTGCAGCTCGTCACGAGCTTGATTTGGGGAAAGACTTGTTTCTCGCGCTGGCACTCAGACCTGACACGGCCGCGGAGATCGATGCAGGGCAGATCAGATTGCACAATAGATACGATAGATACGGAGAAATCATTCGTTCTAATATTACCAAAGGATTAGAAGAGAGCAGATCAGATTCCATTACCCAATTGCTGCTGCTACGACCTACTTCCTCCTTGCATGAACGCTCATTTGCTGCTATTCGCTGCTCATCTGTTTGCACCACTCGTCTGTCTCCTGCTCTCACTGCCGCCTGACCTCGCTGTGTCATCGTCCTCGATATCCTTCTACATACACCAGATCTACCTTGCGGTATCGCGACTCCTCTTATCCCATTGCAAAGTGAACAGAAAGCCTCCGCCAGTGTGTGCAAATCAAATAGACGTTGGGTCAATTTCATGTCCGGTGAAAGCTGACAGGAGGACCGATCTTTCGGATGATGAGAGACTCCTCGAAGAAAGGAACGCTGACTCATTATTACCAAAGCCAAAGCATCGTCCACTGCTTTCCAGCATTATCCTGCCAGTCGGATTCACTCATTCGCTGTCCTCTGGGCTCGCGTACTCCGATATCGCCCATAGTGTCATTCCAGTCACTTTGGCTGCCTGCTGCATCTGTCTCTCCCGCTGCTGTTGGTATCGCCGTCATTACTTCCTCCTCTGAGAACTCTTGGGCCCGCGTTCGCTCCGGTGAATCCCACGCGGTCCCGCGCCTATGCCATGATGTTGGTGACCGCTGCTGCCGCTGCTGCTGATGTGTTTGTTGCTGCCTGAGCCGGTCTTGTGACTGCTGCTCTTGTGATGTGATGATTGTGCGCTGCTGTGATGGTGACTGTGGCGGGGACCGCGGATCTGAGAAAAAGACTGCTGGACTACTGCTTGTTCGACTGGGGATAGTTGCTGACGATGAGGATGATGTGGCTGTAAGATCGGTTGCTGCTGTAAAGGGAAGTTCGTATTGATGGGTGTGAAGGCTACCTGGCCTCGTCCTACGCTGCTGGAGGATCCGGGTCTGTGATATTGAATGCTCTGTTGTGGGTGCATCTGAGGTGATACGTGTGTCATGTATGTGCCTGCCATCATGCCATTCGTGGTATATGGCGGCGCTGTCACGACCGGAAAAGGAGCAGCGGTGACTTGACTGACGGGTATCATTGGTGAGGGAATGTTCGGCGTAGTGGGATTGGATGTGTGAGAGGTGTTGGCACTGCCTGCCATGTTCCAGCCCAGTGGCGCAAAAGCCATCGGGTCGAAAGACTGCAGGCCCGTGTCTTCGAGGAGGAACATACCAGTATTGCCCATGACGGAATCATTCTGGAAATCCGTCATGGATGCTGTGTCAATCTCAAGCTGGGGGTGGTATGCAGAGGCACCTCGTGTGGCTGCTTGTTGTTGCTTTCGCTGATTTTGTCGCTCGTGTAGCACTGAGAGCCCTAGGGAAATTCGTGCAACGGCCAGATCGGCCAGCTTGTGCACCCCTTTCTTGTCCAATTCGTGAAAGACCGCAAAAGCTTGATTTACAAGCCAAAGATTGTTCTCGTTGTCCGTCTCGAGTGCGTCGAGAATGAGTATCATGCATGCATTGAAGCACTGTTGGCCCATCGTCCAGCATATGAGTACTTGTGGTCTTCGATAGTGAAAGAACATGAACGCGTTGATAAGCGCAATCGATGAATTGATCACCAGCGATCTCCCTCGCAGTGGTGCAGGATGAAGTGGCTGATCGCCGTACATCGAGCTGGTCATGATCGGTTGTGGGCGTCGCGGAGGTAGCATCGAGCCCGGCGACGATGATTCAGTGTGTGCGCCTTGTGTCTTCTCTAATCGTTGTCGGTTCAATAGAATGAGGAAAGATTGAACTTTGGCGTACAGCACTGAAGAATGTCAGACAGTCATCATGATACATGTCGTTCAACACTTACTCGCTGACATGACTTCTAGTGGCCAGTCCGGTAGTGAAGTCTCCTGCTGCAACCATGTTTCATTGAATTGCAGAGCTTCGGGCATCGTGTCCCAGAGCCCAAGAAGTTTGTCCGTGTACTCATCTATCCTGCCCACGTTCATCATGCCATCGCTGCTGAGGATCTGTCGCCCGAGAATGGTGAAGTGATCGACGAACTCGTTCAGTCGCAGAATGGTCGGGTTCGTCGTAAGTGGTTCTGGAGGCTGGCAGTCTCCGATGCCTGAAATTCCCAGTGGTCGTCCGAGTGTGACCGAATACTGTTGGTCCATGTGCAGCATCCACCACCACAGCGTCCGTCTGATCATGCTCTCTCTGAGTGGAGGTGTTGCGTCGAGGGCCTTTGGATCTCGATGGAGGCCAATCGAATGCGCAAGTCGGATGGTCGTCCCAAAAAGAGTCCATGCATCGAGGAATCGGCCGCTGTTTGTGAGGTAGGGTCCGATCATAACGAGCGTCTGTATCGCAAGAAGAGTGGGCGTATTCATAAAGGACGCCAGGCGAAGGGCTTGCATTGCCGCTGCGACTGTTTCGTGATCAGCTTACATCGCAGACCAGTGGGCACTTGTAGAACGTACTGTAGACATCGCTTCTCCGTCGAGACTCGTCCACAGCCCCTTCAGCCCACTCGCCATGGCGGTCATACACTCCCATCTGCATCGCCGTCGCTACCATGGCAAATATGAGCGCGAGCATGTCGGGATGAGCCTCGGCGTTGTCCTCTGTCCGCTCCAGGAAGCGGCTGACTTCGCGTCTGGTGAGTAGATCTGGTGTCTGTGGAAAGTAGCACGATTGCGCGCGCTTCTCGAACATGTCAAGGCAGCTGTAGACTTCGTCAGGCGATGCGAGGAGGTCGCGGGCCATGTCTTTGGCGCCGCTGCCACCTCCCCACAGATTCATGAAGGGGTAGATCGACTGCTGGCCATCGTGTGTATAGATGTCCTTCCCTCGAGGGATGGTGTGGGTGAGCGACTGTGTCCCGAGTTGCAAGTTGGCGAACTGTGTGAGGGGTTAGCACGCGAAAATTTGATCGAGCTCAAGGATGAAGCGCACATCTGCAACGATATTCGTGAGCCCTGGAGTTCCAAAGTAGAGGTTGTCGACCCTGTCGCCGGTCCGGAATCGTCGTTGTCGTGATGCTGCCGCTCTCGCAGAGCCTTTCGAGACCTTTCGATCGGATGAGTCTTCGTCGTCCTCATCTTCACCAGATTGAGTGAGGCGGGCAGCTTGGAGTTTCTCCTTCAGCCGTTGGTTCTCAGCTCGCAGCTTTCGGATCTCGTACGACTGCTGGATGGGACTGTAGTCGTTGCCCTCGCCGACGACGAACTCGCACTCCTTGGGATGGCCTCGTGCGCAGCAGGCAGAGCACGGCTTTGTTCGATCGCACTAGAACGCATCCCGCGTTAGCAACAAAGTTTGTTCGTTGAAGTGAGGCTTCACCGCACCTTAACCTTGCGCTCTCGACACTTTGTACACGAGAGCAGCTGTCGCGACTGTGGCTTCTTCTGTCGGTCCCCGGAACCACTGCGTTGCAGCTGGGTAGGCGGTGCTTGAGCCGGAGCGGGCGCCGTGGGGCCGTAACCAGCCCAGGACGAAGACGAGCTCATTCTAGGATGAGCAGAGAGAGTGGTGAACGACGAAGAGCATCTCGTCCCAGCTGTCAGGTAAGTGTGCGGACCACGATCAAGATAAGCGAGCGCAGCACAACAGACTGTCTAAACCACGGCGGTGGGACGTGGTGCCCGGGCGCGAACATATAGCATCATCAAGGGCCGTGTGCAGTGATGGACGACTAGATCAAGTAGGGTGCGTCCGACTACGACGACTATTCCAAACCAGCTCCACAGTTGGGCTGGCTAGGGGCGTCATTGACAGGACGCTGAGAGGTTCCCAGTCCGAGCAGCTGGAACAACCTCATTTGAGGAGGTGTGGCTTCACAAGCGCGTGCGAAAGCGTCGAAGGGTGTCTACTGGAGGAGGACCCAGGCAGACAGGCCCATCGCCTGTCCTGGTCGGGCGCTGCGATATAATCAATCGCATGGCGCCGCAAGCGAACGCGGATGAAGAGCCGGGGAGAGGGTGGGCCAGACTAGAGCGCTGCTTCATTGACCCGCCGTAGCACGAGGCCAATACCATCGATAGGCACGAAAAAAGCCCTCGATCCGCGTGTGACCGGGGTCGAGTTGCGCTGCCAGATGCGGGCGGACGGTAGCGGCGAGCAGGCCTGCGCGGCGAGGGGGAGTCGTCTGCAGCAGCCAGCGCGCTGAGGAGGTCGAGGCAGAGCGTAACTGGAGGCCTTTCGGTGCATTCTCATTGCTCGGTGCCTCGACGTCGCATCCCAGAGCAGATCAATCCAGCTGGCTGGGCCCGACTGTGCTTGTCCCTGCAACACGGTGGCCCCCGGACGATCTCATTCGCACGCCCGGCGACTGCATCTGTGGCGCGCTGCACGGTGGCCAGACGATTGAGCGGGCGATGGCATGCGCGTAATCGTCACGAACCAGGTCTGGCGGGCTTGGGGACGTGGGATCGATATGTGTGAGATGGGTCCTTCAGGCACGGCCAAGCTGAAGACGCAGTAGCTGCTGCAGACGCCGGGGCCACTTCATCTGGACGGTGCTATGAATACCGCCGCAGCTGCTGATCGTCGTCGTCGTCTCTGCTGCAGGCCCAAGCCCCTTCACTCCTCCCCCCAGGCGCCCGCTTGGCGAGCAGAGCTGTACAGTGCTGTCCAGTACCGGCCACCGGGTGCACGCCGGCTGGGGGTTACGCAGGATGGATCTGGAGGCACCCGTGACAAATCGCACGACCGCCATGCGAACGGCATGCGTACTGAATGCGCACACCCGCGCATGCGACGTTGCCGAAGCGGTGGGAGTGAATGACGCACGGGAGCTGTGTCGAGGAACAGCTCTTCGTACGGCCGCCGGCACGTCGTCCTCCACGATTGTGCCATGTCTGCATCCGAACCGCGCGGGCGGCACAGCACAGCGCATCCTGATCACCCTGCCGATGATGGGCATTCAGGGCGGTGGAGGCGCGGCAGTGGAGTCGATCGAGTTGGCCCTCCGCAAGCAGTAATCGCGCTCTGCTGCCCAGCCAAATTGCAGGCGTTAGCGAAAGGAGACGGTTACACATTGGCGCCGCGAGTGTGCTGCATGGGCAGGCAGAGCAGGGCATGTCGTCCTGCGCATCCTCCCGGCGTGGAGCCATTGCAGTGAGGCGCTCCAGTCGTCGGCCTGCCCATCGTTCGCGAGCACACGTCCCGGCCTGCTGGCCCTGGATGATCCCAGAGACCAGAGTCGGGGCGGGCGGTCGACGACATTGTTACGCCTTCAGGACCTGGTGATCGCCACTAAGTTAGACAGTGCTGGTGTCGTCGTATTTGCAGGGGCAGCGCGACATGCCCAACTGTAACCACTGCGCCGGGACGCCCTGCTGTGCCCACGCCGCACGCCCGCTCATTTGCCAGAGCGGCAATATTCACTTCAGCTGTCGCACGCCTTGCATAATGAGATGAATAACTTTGACTGCCCATGTTTCTGAGGCGGACTATCACGTCTGCGAGAAGTATGGTAACGGCGATGGCGACAGCGAGTCTGGGCGAACGCTTTTTGAACGGACTTGGCGCCGACGACGGCGAGGTGCTAAAATGTTCCCTGTCCTCATCTCCAAACCTCGCTTTCTGGTCTAGCGTTCACTATTCCATCGTGCACGTCTACGCATCCCCTTGTCGAGCCCAATAATATCAACAGTGCCTCGACTGCAGGCCTGCTACGCAATCTCCTCTTTGAGCAACGCTGGGCTGGGCAGGGCGGCAGAGTGAGGCGTGGGATGCTGCAGCAGGCGCATGACGATGTGGAGCCTTCCCCCATCCATTATCGGCAACTCCATTTTCTCATCATGATGAACTCAGAAGCGGCTACCTCCTACAGACTCTGCCATCGCCAGAAGTGAATGCATCCCAGAAACAATGGCATTTCCCTGCCACACGCGATCTTGCAGCAAGTTCGCATGATGGAGTTCGCACACGCCGATGGTGGCAGACAAGCCACGCTCGATTGACGAGGTGCTGTGTTCCCGCCATGTACTCTGCCTCCTTTCGGCGCAGCTACGCAAACCGATACTCACGCCGCAGTGGTGTCGACATGGCGAGCAGCATGTGACAAACGACATTGGCAAGACCCAAACACCGAGCATTCGGTAAGACATGCAGTGACAAACTGCATACCAGCATACACCCGCCCTCGCCATCCTTCTCCCCATCCGAATCCTCCTCGACCCGACATTCTGGCCCTCCTCCTTCCCAGATCTGCAACTCAGCCGCCACGCCGAAGCACGATATGGCATTCGCGTGGTATCTGATGATCAGATCTCTCCTCATGCTCCAAGCTGCAGCTATCCGCCTGCAAGCCATTGTGCAGCTGTGTGCATGAAAAGGCACAACGCCTTCTTCCTTTCGGTGCCAAGCTGCAGCAGAACCGCCTATAACTCGCCAGACGGATCTCAATGCGGCCAGCAAGATCTCGGCATGCCGAAAGGGTGGCGCGTATGAACCAGCGTCTATCTCAAATGCGCAGGTTCGGCGCATGAACCATCAATGGCTCGTGGCTCATCTCACATGCACAAAGCATGCCTCCTCTCGCTAATAAGACCTATCTTCAGCAAACACATAAATGCCTTCTTCAGACTGATTACTGAACAGATTCATTCGTCGCCTCTGGCCACACACCTTCAATGACCTCCAGCAAGCATCCATAAGCCATAACCACACGAACAACTCGGCTTGCCGAAGAGCAACGCCAACATCGGCTACATGTGAACGCCTCGAACCAAGCCTGCCCAACAGTGGCAGTAGCAGACAATCTTAGGCTTTCCGCTCAAGCTGTCTGTAGAGCGATTTCTGCTCCCTACGAAATGGGACAGAGTAGATAAAGCAATACACAACAATCTTTCACCTTCTTCTCATCTTGTGACCTGATTTCAACATCTCACATTCTCAAACGAATCACGTGCTCCGAATCAGACAAATTTGGAACTGAAACAAATTCATCTTGATAATATTCAATCTTCTTCAAAATCGAGATGACCAAACAATGCCGATCTAACCGAACCATGAACGAAGCATAACAAGGTTCATGCTTGCGAGCTTCCTCGATTGACAAGTCCCCTTGCCATGTGATCGACAAATGTATTTGCTGGCAGATGTGCCGCGTCGGCAGACGGCACCCAGAGCAGTCAAGATCCAGAGCAGATCAGATTGCGTAGTATGCCTTGGAGATAGGTGAGATGGTAAGCGTACGTTGTTACCTTCTGTTTGATATAACATTACGAAATGACTTGGCTATCTGTCTCTCCACGCAGATATCTGCATAATAAGGATACATCCAAGTGAAAGCTTGTCGTGTATCACTGCTGCCTGCTCCGTTCATAGTAGAGGAGCTAGAGAAGCAGTGAGCGGGCGTGGATGTCCTCCGTGTTGTACCACCTCCAACGACTCCAATGCCATGCTCAACTCCCATCATCACCCATACTCCCTTCCCTTCCATACCATACCCTCCCATTCTGTCGAATGCCACATCTCATAGGAAAATCCCAGATACGCTGCCAAACCAAAAAGAACACTCAAAAAGAGATTCGTCGCATCACATCTCCTTCCCTCACCTAGGCAGACCTCTCCTCCCCTCCGGAAGCGCCAAAAGCGCAAACCAACCCCCAACAACTGGCCGCGCTCTGAACATCGTACCAGAAGGATAATCTCCCGTATCAACGTCAAACAAGTCCGTAACAGGCCCAGCTGTAGGCGTCTCATTAATGAACTTGACCAAATCACTCAAAAACATATCTCGTGTCTCATCGCTGGCAATTGCCGCGACAAACATTTCCCAGTCATTCTTGCTCCTCCTCGCACGAGTATCCAATGGTACTCCGAAACATGCTTGGACAGTGGGGTAGAAGTCGCTCTGCTGTTCGTAGATTTCCTTCGGTACGAGGTTGGCTTCCAAGAGGGCGTCGCCGTAGAGGTTATACAGTAGGCCCCAGGATTCCTCGTCGCCATAGCTGAGAGAGGTGCGAGGTGGATTGGCGTTGGGTAAGTTTCCGAGATCTTGCCATTGTTGAATCCAGTCTCGAGACTGCTCGTCGTACTCTTGGGCTTCGGTGGAGCGCCCAGTTAGGTTGGCGATGATGGAAGCGGCTTTGAGGCCAATGATGCCTTTCAAAGCGAGGTTTGTCTGGTTGGCGAGTGGACCAGCGAAGTCGTCTGCATGCGGTCAGTATGTGAATGCGACAAAAAGGCGCTCGAGGGCATACCTGTGGAGATCTGGTTAAATGGAATGACAGAGTTGTTGGTGATGAGCCATTGGCCCCATTTGTGCAGCGCATCCCAGTGCGCGTTCAGGTAATCGATATTATTTGTGCGCTGAGCATACGCAAGAGTCATGATGAGCATGTTGCCGCACTCTTCAAGAGGTTGCAAAGCCGCAATACCATCTGGATGGCCTGTGGCATTCGGGTAATGATCGCCGAGATCGTGAATGGCATAGTCCTGTGGCCACAGGCCAGGTGCCTCCATGTTAATGAAGAGAGGGTCCAAGATCAACTTCATCCAGTCTGGGTTCAGGTACATCAAGATTGGGTGGAAAGGGAAGACCACATCGACAGTCTGGAAGTTGCCGTTGGAGCTGATTTCCTTCAAGAAAAGGTAGTTCTCGTCCTGCGTGCCAGCAAGCTGCACAGATGCAAACGCTTGACGCACAGCGAGAGATGTGATCGTAGCATAGTCGGCTCCGCCTACAGCACGTGCATCTCGGTCAACCTGGGCATCAAGACCGGCACTCGATGCTGATGCGTCTTGGTAGTCGTAGTACATCGTCGCGACAGCGCTAAGCTCATCGTCGCCGTAAACTGCACGCCAGTAAGCTGGCATGGACTGGATCTGGTTGACACCTGTGGCGAATTGCACGCTGTTCTGCTGCAAGAGATTGACCGTGAAAAGGGTCTCGACATTCTGGTTGCCAACACATCCGAGATTTTTGGCGAAGGCGAAAACTGGAAAAGCTTCACTGATGGGTCGGAAATTTGTGTCGTCGGTGTTTGCCAGCGTGCCATCGTCAGTGAACTTCTTGCGTACGTTGACATCGGCTCCAGACTGGTAAGTGAGCTGCTCGGCATCCTCGGTAGTATAGTACCAGTTGCCCCAGGCGGCCTGATCAGAGTCCTCAGAGAACTCCTGTTGCACCTGTCTCCAGACTTTGTGATAGGCAATGTTGGCATTGCCAGCAGCAGCTCCCATTCCTCTGGCAGTGCCACGGCTCCATTCAGCGACCTTGCTACGATCGCCCGACGTCCACTCGGCGCTGATATCAGTGTAGATAGAGACATCGTGCTCTGCGCCGTCCGAAGACTGCACGTTGACCGACATGTACCTGTGACAAGTCAGAGACTGAACGAGGTAGGGCTACTGACTTTACGTACGACACTGGCAGACCCTGTCTCTCCTTGTTTGTTGGAGAGACCGGAGATAGGAAAGTAATGTTCATCGAAACTTTGCCGTTGACCTCCATGGTGAAAGTGCTTCTTGTGGAAGTGTATTCAAATGCTGTCTGTGTCACAATCGTAGGTAATGGGTCTGGTTTTCCCCTGCTTCAAGTCAGTAATGCTACAGCAATGGCTACAGGTCGAAGCACTCACATCCATGTATAAGTCTCGCCATCGACTCGAATTAAGCCGGCCCAGCCATTGATCTGACCTGCCCAGAAGGTGGGCCATTGGCCTGCGAGGTAGCCTCCATTACCACCATTGGAGCCAGCAGCCTGCCATGTGCTGAGGTATGGCGTGCGGACGGCCAACGGAATCGCAGGTGGTCTAGCTGGTGTGAAGCTTGACTGTGCACATATTAATGGAATTAGTACCGCTATGCTAGATAGAAGTGAATACATTTTGACAAAGAAGAACGAGTGACTGTAGAACGGACAACCAAACCATGGAGGAGAGCGGCGGGGCTCGACATTTTATTCTAGACCCCTCCCAGTGAAGAGGTCAACGGGTGTGCCGTGAAATGATGAAGGACGGGTCCGGGCTCTCCACAATGCAGTTGCGATGCGACTTGGCAATGAACGCAGGAGAGCATCCTGACGACATCGATATGAAAACGGGGACCAGTCATGTTCGATTCTTGGAATTCACAACGTAACAGGCATACCATGCCCTGCGATGTTGTGCGGCTCTGCGGGCAATTGTGCGCGGCGAGTGGATCAGGCGACCCGGGATGACATGTTTGGTATGTCTGTTCGACAGAGATTCGGAGTGTTACAGAGACATCGTTTCGTGGTATGGCGTTGCAGATCCCTTTGAAGTGTGCCGCATGTCTCGACCACGCGCTTCCGGAACACTCTTGACACGCTCTCGGACATTAACTTGCGGCATCTGGAGGTCGGGAGGGGAAAGCGACGGAGGAGGCACAGTGGAACCTGGAGAGTCAGCAGTGCGGCCGTATAGTCCGCCAAGCAGATCAGAAGACACAACAGGCAATAGCTCTCTGCATTGCGGTATAGAAGGGTCGCTGTCGATCCCACCCTGGTTGGAAGACCACGAGACGTCGGGCAGGTGGGCATCACACAACATGGCGCGTGGCCGGAGCGAGTGCTGCTCGCCATGTCCACGTTCTCCCGTGCGACTCTGCGCGCTGCATGTGGAGAGCAGCGGTGGTCGACGGTGTTGTTGGCTGTGCTCCGCCGCGGCCGCTCACCATCACGCGGCGCTGGGCTGCTGGTTCCGAAGAGGACGAGTCGAACGGTCGAGGAGCGTGCAATTTGGGCAGAGTTTGGACGCTTTTTGTGCCAGACCCCGGTTCGTGCTGCTGTGAGTGGACAGAGGGAGCAGAAGTCAGGATGTTACAGTTGGCAGACTCTGCGGCCCTGCCAGTTTCACAGCAGGGCATCCATCGCCGTCATGAAGAAGTTAACTAGTCACGAGTGGGAGTGGACTGCTGTTGCTGTCGCTTGGTTGCTTTCGGCACGGGGAAAATCGACGCCGAGTTGGCCCTGGATCGAGGGTCAATACTTCTTCACCAAAGCTTGGTCGGAGCAGTCGACACTCCAACACCTCACTCTCGTCTGCCCTCGCATTGCCTTCATACCGCACGAACATTCACTTCTATTGCGAACACGAGCTGCTCACACCCAACTCAGCGACGTGCACCATCCGGTCTGCGCCATGTCAGACGTCGGCAAGCTCGATAGCGAGGCACTGCGCTGCTTGCAGGCCTATCTACCAACCGATGCCGGCACCACTCGCGCAGATGAAACCACATCGACATCATCACCACCAGCGCAACCTGCTTCGCGCACCGCAAGTCCAAAGAAAGGCCTGCCCTTCGTTACTTTGACCTACGCAGCCTCACTCGACAGCATGATCGCGCTCGCTCCCGGCGCTCGAACGACTTTGTCAGGCCCTGAGACCAAGTCCATGACCCATTACCTGCGTCTGCGCCATGACGCGATCCTCGTCGGTGCCAACACTGCTGCAGTCGACGACCCCGGCTTGAACTGCCGCTACCCCGAAGCCACTCTGCTCGACCAGCCGCGCCCCATTATCGTCGACCCCAATGGCCGCTGGAAGGGCATCGGCAAGAAAGCATATCGGCTCGCAGCGGAAGGCGAAGGCAAAGCTCCGTGGGTCGTCACGACCAGCAGGACCTTCGAGAAAAAGAGCAGACTGCACGACATCGAGGGCGACTATGTGATTGTGGACGAACAAGACTCCAATGGAGTGATCGATTGGGAGGGCATTCTGCGTACTTTGTTTGTGAGAGGCATCACCAGCGTGATGATCGAAGGTGGAGCGACAGTGATCAACTCACTGCTCGCGCGTCCCGAGCTCGTGGACGCCATCATCATCACCATAGCACCGACCTTTTTAGGTCAGGGAGGCGTGGCTGTCTCGCCCGCTCCAACGACCGCACCCAATAATGGAGAGCGCATTAACGCGGCATGGCTGGACCAGCCGTTGTGGAAACAATTTGGCAACGATGTGGTGCTGTGCGCTCGCTTGCGCAAGTGAGGTAGGAAAAGTTACGTGAAGTATCTTCTGTTCCGGCTCTGTCTCTCGCTCATCTCGTTTATGCCTCTGAGAATCACTGACCATCTAGGGCGTCGTGTGGGGAGACTGAGCAACACAGGTAGGACTAGAAATGGCGGAGAGTCCAGGATATTACCGCGCATCTCTCCTAACACGAACAATTCGAAGCCATGCTGGAGCGGGACGAGTCAGATCGAACGAGCGTCATCGCACTGAGCGACCGAACGATATTCACGCTGCCTCCAAATCAAGAACCGCTTGCATGCCAGCTGGTGTGAATATGTCGTTATCGTCGAGCGCGATGGAAGAGCAGAGTTGTTGGCGGAGAAAGAGATGGCACGTGCAACGGGTGTTGCGAAGTACCTTGATGGCACCCGCCTGTGATACAAAATCACCGCTCATCCGGCAGACTCTACGCCTAGACTCTTGAATCGCTTTGCTTTCGAGAAGCACTTTGCTGCCCGCCGCGGCATCGTGACATTTTCGAAGCAGTACCACATTGCGTCACAGGTACACGAGTTACCCCTCCACGACTCGCTCCTCCACACCATATCCGATCCACCCACAATTTGTCACGGGTGCTGGTATGAGACAGCATGGCAGACGACACCTGATCTCCGCACTGCAGCACACCTCCACGATCATCAACGACCTGCGGGGAGAAGAGCATGGCGAGCCGATGCACAAGAGGGAATATGCATTGCAGACGCCTCGAGCGTCACATGCACAGCTGCACATACACGTCACGGCTCATGCCTAGACTAATCGACGGCCTCCGCCGAGCACCAGTCTCGGCGCTGTGCCATTGGCTATAGCATGACAAAAGTTTGGCGTTGATGTCAAGGCTGGACGCTCGGTGACTCTCCCGCCAGCAGCGAGTGGTGGAGTGGAAAGAGCATATAAACACGTGGATCCGCAGGAGCCCGCAAGCTTGACGCAGGGATTATTCTATCTACCAGATTCCGCTGGAGAGCCGGACAAGCAGCCAATATGGGTTTCGTTGATAAGATCAAGGGCAAGCTATCTTCATCCTCTACGGATAAGAGAGCTAGCACCATCTCACCCACCACACCTGCCAATCCAGCTTCTGCTACTCCCGCCAACAACGCTACCACATACGCGTCCGAGCCTGTCGCTGAAGACGACCCTCTACGAAGCAAGTCCATCGAAACAGGAACAGGCGGCAGAATGACGACGTATACGGGAGTCTGCCACTGCAAGCACCATGAGTGGACTGTCGAGCTCACTCCAGACCAGAGCAAGCATATTCTGTGGTATGTTTGGCACAAATGAGAAGTGTGATCTGGGTGAGAGCACTGTGCTAAGCATTTCGACATAGCCACTGCGACACCTGCAAGATCCTCGGAGGAGGCGCATACACCATGAACCAGATCATCCCCAAATCCGCTCTCAATATCACCAAGGGCGGCGAGCCGAGCAAGTATACTTATTACGGTGACAGCGGGAAGGTATGCTGCTTTTTGATACATCTCTCAAATCCTCTTGAATTTGACCCATTCCTGACCTGACAACAGGCTGTCAACTGCTACTATTGCCCACATTGCACCACGCATATCTACCATCACCAAGAAGTGATGGGTCCGGATACGATTGTCGCCCGCACAGGCTTGTTGAAGGAAGGAAGAGATAAGTTCCCTGTCGGGGCGGAGATTTTTGGAAAGGCAAAGATGAGCTGGGAGCCGAAGATTGCCGAGACTTTTGAGACTCTGCCGCCTGAGTAGGGCGGGTCGCTTTCTAGGATTTATTGGGGATTCCGGGCCAATGGACATAGGACAATTTCGAAAGAATGAAATCCACATTGAGAACTTTGAAGAATTGTCTGGAGCTTCCGTCTGCGCCTCTATGTATGCAGCCTGTGGCGGGTGAGAGCAGCGACGACTTACTTGACGCGTAAACATGAAAGACTAAGGATAAGACTCATCGTTGTTCAATAGTCATGAGTTAGTTAAATATTTGGATCATTATATACAGTTCCACTCATAGAAATCTCGAAAAGAGAAGGAAAATGCGTATCCCATCCGATATCCCTGAATTCCTCATAAAATGCTCTTCAGTTCACGTTCCTGTGATCTGAATGTATGCAATCCATCCATAACATTAAAAGAAAATTCTGTAAGATCTCATCTCTGTTGATCTTCGAACGCTCTCTGTCGTGAGCCTTGAACGCTCTCAACTCATTATCGTATCCCCATTGTGAAAATTCGCCGCATCAAATCGATCCATTTGCTCTTGCCGACCCATGTCTTCCCATCTCTTTCCAGCTTCTTCAAAAAGCTTGATCATGACCTCACAGACCCTTATCCGCTCTTCCACGACATCTGGTGCAATTTGCATGACTTCCGGGCTCTTTTCCCAAAATGCAAGGCGTTTCTTCGCGATGTCGAGAGGAAGTCCCATTTTCCCGTCATCCATGGTTCCGGATATGAAGGGATTTGCATTCTCGTTCAGCAGCGTTTCGACGACTTGTTCGGATCCTGGGTAGCCTCCCTGAGAAGCTGCGATGCCGAGTGGTGAGCCGAATTTCTCATCGCGTTGGTTCACTGAGGCGCCGTTTCGGATGAGAATGGAGATGACATCGGCTTTGCACATCCATGCTGCACTGTTGATGGGATATGTACATAAGCCGCCTTGCTGGTTGACCTCTGCGCCGTGTGCGAGGAGAGCTTTGACTTTATTGCTGCCTTTGCTGAAGGTGACGGAGTTGAGGTGGCAGACGTTGCAGGCGCCTTGTATGTCTTCTGTTAGACGATGCGCAACGGTAAGAGACTGAACCTCGGTGTGGGACCAAAGTGCGGCAGTAGTGAGCGTCCCGGAGGCGCGGTAAAGGGTGGCAGGGTCGGCGCCGGAGCAGAGAAGTTCGTTGGCTTTCTTGAGGTTTCCACGGGTAATGGCTTGTTGGAGAGCTTTGTCGTAGGTGGCGGTGATTTTGGGGAAATGAGAAGAGGAAGCGTTGGCGCCTGTGCGGCCCATGATGGTGTTCTTGACAGAGGAACCCATTTCGCGTATTGACATATTCTTGAGCCGTTTCTGTAGCCCGTCGATGTCCATTTTGCCGTTGGTCGTGTCGCAGGGGGCGGAGGCGTAGGTGTTGACTGAGACCGCAAAGCTGCGGAAAGACGTGATGGAGTTTCGATTGCTTCGCATGAGAGCTTCTGCCGACCAGCGGTTCTTGCTCCGTTTTTGACGATCAGCAACGAGTTGATTGATCTGTGAAATGTATGCCTGAAGTTGCGCTTGCTCCCAATTGCGGAGCTGATATGTAAGACGAGCGCAGTCCGAGTCGTGAAGTCTGTCAAGGCCTTCCACCCGAATAGGAGGATGATGACCTGTGCAGGGCTGGCTGTGAGGGAATTTGAATCCGCAATGTCCTTTCTTCGCAGCATCCAGATGTCTCTGTAAGTCTTCCTCATGATCAAACCCAATCTGGCACTTCTTGCATTTGTGATTGCCCTTGAAGTTCTCCAGATGTGTTCGGAGATGATCGAGGAGCAGATCATCATCGCCAAACACTCTGCCGCATGGCATGCATATGTGAGGTTCGTAGCCTTCGACGTCGGGTTCGTCCATGATCATGTTGGCCAGAATGCGAGCTTGCGAGTGTTGTCCTTTGGTCTCATTCGTACTCTTCGAAGTAGCTGTGCTTGGCCGACTAGGCTGTGAGCTGTCTTTGCGCAAGTGCCGTTGGTCCTGTAGGTCTTCGCTTGAATGTCTTCGGGTGACTTGCTTGAGATCTCGCGGTGGCGTTGGCGTGAAGATGCGTTGGTCTTCGTCACCTTGCCATATCTTGACAGGCAGAGATTGATCGGAGTTGGCCTCAGTCTTAATCGACGGAACAGAGTCTCTACTGCTGTTGCTGCTTTTGGAAAGGCTGGGCGTCGATCCGTCTCTGGCAAGGCTGAAGTCACCGTAAGACTTGGCACCTCGCAAATGCGGCGGTTGGAGCAACATGTCGTCCGGCATCATCATGTTCGTGATGGGGCCGGTCCAGGATGCCTGCGGCTTGAGTGTTCTGGCATCGTCTGACATGGGACTGCCATCGGAGCGACATGAAGACACGTCGACCGCTGTGGCGCCTGTAGCCTCGCCGTGCTGTTCGCGCCGATGCCGCTGGAGGTCGTGATTCCGACCAAAAGACCTGCCACACTTCACGCAGAGATGTCGTTTGTCCGGCTGGAGTCCTAGTCGTCTCCGGTGCATGTCAGTATGTCGATGCCGGGCCAGCGCGCGCTTCTCGGTGTACGTGGTCCCGCACGCCTCACATTCGTAGTTGACGCGCGCGCGCTTGTTCGGTGGCAACGTGGCATCGTGAGACTGCTCGCTGCTGTCGCTGAGGGGCGACGACTCCTGCTTGGGATGCACCATGGCGCGTCGATTGTTTTCCTCCCGTATCATGCCAAGCCTAGTGCCGTCATCCACGGGCGAGCGTAGGTGTGCCGGCGGTGCGCCGTAATAGTCCATGAGGTATGGAGTCGCGGTGTGTGGCAGCAGAGAGTTGGTCCAAGTGTGCACCGCACACAGAACCAATATCGGCTATAGGGTCTATAGCGGCTCCCTGCTCCCTTTAGAAGAGAGTCTGGTGGTCCTAAGGTCGCCTGCCACTGCAAGGTACGTACGCCCGAAGTCAAATTGACGTGCAGACGGATGATATACTTCGCAGCGCAGCCGAGCGGCGGGCGGCCGGCGTGGATGTGCTATGCTGTCGCGGTGAGGGACCCCTGGCCACGGATTGGGCGACTATGGACGGTGTGTCGTGCTTCAGGAATTGTCAACCTGCGGAGCGAGCAAGCATGAGCGCAGGCAGCACGCGCGCGTGGTGGTGAGCGGCCTCCAACCAGGCGGGTGGCGACTATGGGGAGAGGAAATGATGAGCTGCTCGATCCAATGGCGAATGCGAGACGTCTGCTAAGGAGCGGGCGATCCCTGCAATGCGGTGGTGTGTCGTCAGGCTGTCAGAGGCAAGAGTTTGGAGCAGTGAACTATGCAGAGGGGACGACTGTGCGTTTCACGACGCCGAACCCTGCATGGGCAGCTTGTGCGGCTGCGAGGGATCGACAGTTCCAAAGCCTGGAACCGTAAGGACCGACACGCTTTCGCAGTCGTTAGCCCGCCGCGGCGCCAGATGACCTCCATTACTCATCTGCGCCGAAATCTGTCGGCTCGCCGAGTCGTGGCCTCCGGCTCTGAACTGAACATCGATGCACCTGAAACGTGTGCTGCGCGTGCGCTGCCGTGCTCGTCCAATGCCGTCAGCCAACAGGAGCAATAGCCACGGTTCGGCGGACTCCGGATGTGCCAAAAGGAACGGCTGTGCCGACCGTATCAGGAAGTAAAACTGCCTCTCAGTATCTGGCCATCAGGCGCTGCAGCCTCGCCTACAGTACACCTGCGTTGCGCTCTGCTATTTCCAGATCTTAAAAGCTCTTTCTCCTCGGACACGGTTGACGATGCCTCGAAATGCTTGCTTCGAGTACTTTCCTACTGGTTGTGGCATGCTCGCTTGTAAGCTCATTCCTGCTCGAATGGGCTGCAGGTGTGGCACAGCATGTTTCACCTCGACCTTCGAACACACCATCTTGGCACCCTGGAACTTCACCGACTCCGTCTGATAGACTCGACGGTGGCTAAGGCGAGGCCTGGAGTCCTAACTGAGCTGCTTCGAAGCCCAACATACCCGGCCGGAATCTTGCCTGGTGGTCAACTGTATTGGGGCACGGACCGTCCTGACCAGCATCCGCTGCTTTCACTGTCAAAGCTGAGGTCTGATGACTTGCATTGTTGACGATCGCCACACTGATCTCATGCCGCAGCAGCTGTGGCTACGCATGTCCAGCACGCTGGAGCATCAAGTCTCAGGATGTATACAGGACCTGCACATCAGCCTCTACCCAACCAGGGGCATGCATAGCTGCAGGATATTTTCTGCTCGCTCCACCCGAATGGCTGTGCTAAGCTTCGACTTGACAGCTGTTTAAGCGAGGGTATAGCACATAAGAACAGGCCTCAAATTGTCATCATCCGCCAATGCAGGTTCTGCCTTGATTCCAGTGTTGCAGCTTGCGGCTTCGATCGTTCACGGAACACATGGTCCGAGACCTGTGCGCGGCTCGCCTGCAGACCAGCGCGTGCACAGGCAGCAATGTCCATGCGTGGAAGCATTTTCCAGAGCTCTCATGCCTGTCCCGCGATGCAGACAAAGAAGCAAGCTGACATTTCTTCAGACGTGTGTATCGAGCTCATGAAGACTGGCTATCGTCGGCTAGTTTTCCAGCTAGGAAGACGAAATCTCGGTGTAAGGTCCGAAGTACGACGGAAGATGCGTTATATGCAAGCAATTGCCACTTGCCACAATAAGACGTGTCGTTGCATTTGGCTTCAAAACCAGCGACAAACTTGAATAAGAAAGCAAGCTGACAATTTCTCGTACGTGGTGGAGGAGAGTGCTGATCTCAGCGGGCGAATTCAACTGGAGTAGAGAACGCTATTGGGCTGCATTCTACCTTGTCTGCATGCCCCATGAAACGGTGTCGGGCGTTTTTCCAAAAGGCAGCTAGGTGGTATGGCAAACGGTGCGACCTCCGGCTCTGCGCCTGTAAGGCATCGCGAAAGCATCTCCAGTCGGTAGATCCGGTGATTTCGTCGCAGGCGAGCTATCGTAGTTGTTGCACTGATGCTGAGCGAGCATCAGTGGTGTCGAAGTCGTCGGACGCGCCTGGATGTTGAAACTCAGAGTCGAGTGTGCGAAGTGTCGCGACCGTGAAGGCGGCGTGGGGCTATTTCTGTACGGCGAAGCAGTCGCACGTGCTGCCGATTCCTCGATTGGAGCAAGCAAGTCGGCAGCGCAGCATTTGTCGCTCTTTCCAAAGCATATTCTAGCTGGCAGGAGACGGGGTGGAGAAGCTAGAAAACCACCATACAAATGGTCGTCTGCAGACACGGGGTCCGGAAGCAGTGCAGTCAGAACGACCCATGGTTTTGGCGGGTATTTCACGGTTCACGAGGTCTTCGGCCTGAGGAACGACCGCATCCGGATTTTATGTTGTGAGGAGCCTCATGTGTCTGTCCATCGAACGTGATTGCCAAACACTCATCAGCTGAGCGGCGCTGGCACACGATGGCCATCTCGACGCAGCAAACGAGCATAGACAACAGCATACCACATCCCATACGCGAGAAGATCGAGAGTAAATCGCGCGCATAATCCTGCAGATTGACGTGCTGTTTGTTGGTTCAGTTCATTAATCTATAAACATCGTCGTGCTTGGCAAATGACGTCCTGGTGGGCAGCTGCGAGGCAGTGAGACCTGATCCTGGCTGACTTGTTCTTGTCCATGCGATGTTTCCCTGTGACAAGTCTTCCGCAACCACAGCAACCTCACTCTTCATGCGCTATCTTATTCTGAGGTAGACGTCGCCAATCTCCTTCTCTCCCATTACCACCGACAACGACACCCTCTTTCACCACTGCCGATTCTTTTCAGACCAGCACCAGGCAGCCCCGCGATCATGGTGCTCGGTCACGGTCATAGGAAGAACTCGGTGACAGGGAGCAGTCGGGGCTCGATTGAGGGAGAGCGCAGCGACATTGAGGGCGCCGACGGCGACCAGACGGTCGTCAGCGAAGAACAGGGCAATGTCCTCACTCACATCATATCACAGCTGCGGCCTGGAGCCGACCTGTCCCGCGTCACGCTGCCTACGTTCATCCTCGAGCCGCGATCGATGTTGGAGCGCATCACGAACTTCATGGCACACCCCGAGACCCTTCTGCACCTGCCCACCATCGACGACCCGGTCGAGCGGTTTGCGGCTGTCACCAAATTCTACCTCTCCGGCTGGCACATCAAACCCCCCGGTGTGAAGAAGCCTCTGAACCCCATTCTTGGTGAGGTCTTCACGGGCTACTGGGACTACCCTGATGGAACCAAGGGGTACTACATCAGCGAGCAGACGAGCCACCACCCACCCAAGAGCTCATACTTTTTCATGGCACCCGAACATAACATCCGGATCGATGGAACGCTCAAGCCACGTAGCAAGTTCTTGGGCAACAGCGTGGGTAGCTTCATGGAGGGCATCGCGGTGATGCGCTTCTTGAATCGAGGCGAGAGATACTTCATCACACAGCCCAACATGTATGCACGAGGCATCCTTTTCGGCAAGATGAAGTACGAGCTGGGAGATCATGCGATCGTAAGAAGCCCAGAGTTGGATATGGAGGCAGACATTGAGTTCAAGGTCAAGGGATGGGTCGGTGGAGGATACAATGCGATCGCGGGGTTCATCAAGAAGAGCAGCACGGGGAAAAATTTGTTCGAGCTGAGCGGGCACTGGAACGAGAAGATGTACATCAAGGACCTTGCCACAGGAAAGAAGAGCGAATTTTTCGACGCAACCACGGCCAAGCCGAGCATTCCGAAGGCTCGGCCTCTCGAAGAGCAGGCACCGCGAGAGTCGCAGAGGCTGTGGCACGCAACAACACAAGCTATCAAGAAAGCCGATCAAAAGACGGCAACGGATGAGAAGAGCAAGATCGAGGACGAACAGCGGCGGGAGGCAGCGGAGAGAGGAGACACGCCGTGGCAGCCGAAGCTCTTCCGCGCAGTACCGCCTGGTGACGAGGAGAACCTGGACTGGATCATCGATGCAGAAGTTGACCATAGCGCACCCGTCCAGAAGCAGGTCGAACAGATCCTGGCCATTGCTCCGGTACTGCCTGGACAGAAGCACAGCGAGGCGTTCGACGAGGCCGAAAAGCTCCCCTCTCAACAAGGGAAGACATTGCCGCCACAGAATGGAGCGCAGCAAGAGAAGAACGATCTCATCGACTTTGGTCAGAACGACGGAGCAAATGACAGCGGAGCCGCAGCTCTTCAACAAGCAGAGCGGCAACCCACAAACGCATCCGCAGAGTCTGCTCCTGCGCGAGCGGAGGCTGTAGGCAGCTCGGGAGCTGGTCAATTACAAGAACCACTGGTGCCGACACAGAGTACCCCTGCTGCGGGTGTTGCAACGCAGCCTCTCGACTATCGAAATCCAACACGTCCCGGCAAGGCCCCGAGCGGAGATGAGCTGCGGAGGCAGGACAGCATAGGCGGAGAGGATATCTTCCATGATGCAGAGTCATGAGAGGGCTAGAGCATTTTGCGGAAACGAACTTTCTGGGGCGTATGGACTTCTATGACGATGACAATGGCCCACGGGCTTCGTTTCTCCCAACTAGATTGCAGTTCCAACACGACATGCAGTACGAGGATGGGACCGAGCACCGGGCATGGTCCTGAAGCGGGAGCACGCAGCACATACAGCGGACCTTTCTTCCTTCCTTTATCTTCCTTCCATTCAGGACCGTTGCAGCGGAGCGGAGCAGGGCAGCGAGGGGCAGATAGAAAAAGGCAAAGGGATCGGGGTGTTTTGCAACGAATAGCATGAGCACGGTAGTCACGGGCATTTTGCGATGCACCAATTTCGAAGCGTTTCTTCAACAGAGCCATTGCGCTTCGTTTAATCATGACGGACAATTCTATGTCCCTTTTCTTTAAATTCAGACGTGCTGTAGTGAGATTTCACCTCCCAGAATCATGGTGCCTCAGGATATGAGCTCGCGTCAGTTTCGTGAAGCGGCGCTCGGCCAACCTGCCTTTTGAGCTGCAGCTTGGACAGCTCGCTCGCATGTGAAAGTTGGAGATGAGATCAATGCCTCGTGAAGTTCACCACTAACCACTTAAAAATCCCATACCGCATCTCTGGCCTTGTGGAGATATTCTTCCGATTTGTATCACGTGCCGAAGCGCTGGCTGATCCCGCCTCGCCTCACGCTTCACCGCGCCTGACGCTCGAAAGCTGCATCTTCCCGCGCAAACGGCTTCCCTTCACTTCAGTGGCTGGCGCAAGTCGCGCATTAGTCGCATAGCAAAATGTCCACCGATCCTCGACGGCGACCTCCTCCGCCTCCACCACCGCCCGAACCCGCCGCACCCACCATGGACGCCGCCCGCGATCCGCAAACCGCAGACGAAGCCGCGAGCCGGCAACAGGCCATCACAGACCAAATTACCACAGGCGACGGCCCTCCGCGACCAACTCCGTCGCCGGTATCTGTGTCAGGACAGCAAGAGCAGACATCAGAGGCCAGCCAAACGCAGAACACCGGGGACAGCTTCAAGCTCCGCTTCTGCACCGTCTGCGCCAGTAACAACAACCGCTCCATGGAAGCCCATCTCCGCCTGACCACAGCGCCCTCCCCATATCCTACCATCAGCTTCGGAACAGGAAGTCTCGTCCGCCTGCCGGGGCCCTCCATCAGCCAACCCAACGTCTACCAATTCAACTCCACCAGCTACTCCGCCATGTACGAGGAGCTCAAGGAAAAGGACAAACGCCTCTATTCCGCCAACGGCATTCTGCCCATGCTCGAGCGCAACAAGAACGTCAAATGGGGGCCCGAGCGCTGGCAAGATTGGAGACCTGGCGTCCCGCGCGTGGGCAAACGATTGATCAACGGGGCATATACCGGCGACGACGTGGAGTGGTCGCAGGACAAGGGCGCTCAAGGTACGGAAGCGGGAACAGTCGATGTGGTGATAACGTGCGAAGATCGGTGTTGGGAAGCAGTGGTGGACGATTTGCTCAATAGAGGTTCGCCCTTGAATCGGCCTGTGCATGTCTTCAATGTGGATATTAAGGACAACCATGAGGAGGCGCTAGTGGGAGGCGGAGCGATTCTGGAATTGGCAGATAAGCTGAACGAGGCGGCGAGAGAAGAGAGAGGGGATCTGGTCAGGAATGGTGGCAATGCGGCAGCTTTTGACCAAGGGAGTGCAGGCGCAAGAGCAGGATTTGATGAGAGGGTACCTGACATCTTGGCTGAGTGGCAGGAGAGGTGGCCGCAATTGCCGGCGTTGTGGACGCTGGCGTGGCTCTGAAACGAATAAGATGGATGCTTCTATGTCGAGGAGCAACTGCTTTCTCCGGCATGGCATTTCTTGCGCACGTTCATACCGGTGTTGTGCCAATATCGGGATTCGAGCTGCAGTGACAGCGTTGCACTATGCTCAAGCGTTCGCATTCCGAAGGGGCACACGACGAGCACAATAAGGCACTATTGATTGCCTCACGCACTGCCGGACTCCATTTTGATGCTTGAGGTGGACGCCTGCATTGTCAACGGGCTCATACGAGAGTGAACAAAGTCGGCTGCGAGCGAATGAGACGCATTGCGCAAGTACACATGGACCGCAACCCGTGCACGTCGCCTTGCAATCGTGTAGTCTAATCCACGTACGCCAAGTTGTAACATTAGATCGAGGACGAGGAGCAGCAGCGCGAGGAGAGCTCGTCTCTCAGGACATGCAAAGGAGACGAACTCCGCTTATGGAGCGCAGATGAAGTTCAGCGAGCCAACGCGGAATGAGATGCGACTGTGTGTATGGCCAACAATTGCAAAGATCAGTCTGGCACACTCTCTGCAATATAGCAGGGAAATTTGCTCTTGCGATCTCTTCATACTGTACGGCCTTGAGTCCTTAGTCGAAAATGCTTCGCAGTGCAGAATTAGCACCTGCTTTGTGCCGTGCTTGACAGATTCGATGTCACAATGGTCATGCAGTATTAGCAACAGTCTGTACAAATGAATGTTTGGTCCTGTCCTTCTTTACATGAAATAGCTGTTCGTGATTTTGACGCTAATACCGTCAAGATCGGGCCCGATGCGTGGCAATGGATCCGATCTGCAGGAACCACGATCCACGATCTCGTTTCCAGGAGCTCGGGCCATCGCTGACGTCTTCCAGTCCTCTGCGCCGAAACAATGATCTAGACTTCTTTGTCGCGACATTTGTTCTCCTGTGCAACATTTGCACGCGATGACCGCGTGGATCGACAAATTCTTGGGAAAGTGAATGAAAATCGCGACAAAATCACTCCAAGCGGCCATACTCGGTCGACGAACAGCAATTGCTTTTCACCCTGCGAGAAGATCTTACGCTGCTACGAGAATGCCTTCCATCAAACGCAGAGCGACATCGCCTGTGCGTCCGACAGGTCCTTCTCCAAGTAAGAAGAAATTGAAAAGCGAAAATCAAGAAGATGGTATGCCGCTCGCCGAGAAACATGGCATCATCCAACGTGACTTCTACCCACCCGAAATGAGCAACGAACGTTGCGCACAATATAACAACAACGAGATTCCGCGTCCCATTGAAGTCCTCAACACTGCCCTTTCATCTACAAAATCCGCCCGCGAGAAGATTCCACCTGGCTCATCCGTCGTCCACTGGTTCAAGCGAGATCTCCGACAATCGGATAACCGCTCTCTGGAAGCAGCGAGTAAACTTGCAAAGAAGCATGGCATCCATCTGATCTGCATGTTTATTGTTTCGCCCGAAGATTATCAGGCGCATTTGACGAGTCGGGCACGCGTGGATTTTGATCTCAGGAACTTGGAGGTGTTGAAGCAGGATTTGGCAGAGAAGGATATTCCTTTGTTTGTGGAGACTGTCGAGAAGAGGAAGGATGTGGTAGAGCTTGTATTGGAGAAGTGTGAGGCATGGGCCGCGAAGCATTTGTTTTGCAACATGGAATACGAGGTTGACGAGCTGAGGAGGGAGGCGAAGTTGGTGAAGAAGGGTCTGGAGAAGGGAGTGAGTGTGGAGTGCTTACACGATGATGTGGTCGTTCCGCCTGGAGCATTGAAGACGGGAGCCGGGAAGCAGTATAGTGTTTATTCGCCGTGGTATCGAGCTTGGGTGAAACATGTACACGAGCACCCGTATTTGCTAAGGGAGAGCGAGCCACCGGTGGCGAATGACCCAAGCGCAAGGGAGAAGTTCAAGGAGCTTTTCGAGTGCGAGATCCCGTCTGCGCCAGCAAACAAGGCCCTCGCAGAAGGAGACAGGAAACGTCTGGCATCACTCTACCCGCCTGGCGAACACGAAGCACACGAACGTCTAGGTCGCTTCATCAAACAAAAAGTCACCGCATATCAAGACGAACGAAACCTCCCCGCCGCACAATCGACCTCCAACCTCTCCGTACACTTCTCCGCCGGCACACTCTCCGTTCGCACCGCCGTCCGCGCCGCCCGCACAGCAAACAGCACCCCCAAACTCGATCTCGGCAACGAAGGCATCAAAACCTGGATCTCCGAACTCGCCTGGCGTGACTTCTACAAACACGTCCTCGCTCACTGGCCTTACATTTGCATGTCCAAACCCTTCAAATACGAATACTCCGACGTAGAATGGGAATACGACGACGCTCTCTTCGAGAAATGGACCTCTGGCATGACGGGTTTCCCCATCGTCGACGCTGCAATGCGTCAATGCAAAGAGATGAGCTGGATGCATAACCGCTGCCGCATGATCGTCGCTTCGTTCCTCGCCAAAGATCTTCTACTCGACTGGCGACAAGGGGAGAAATATTTCATGGAGACTCTGATTGATGGGGATTTTGCGAGTAATAATGGTGGGTGGGGGTTTAGTGCTTCGACAGGTGTGGATCCACAGCCTTATTTTCGGATTTTCAATCCGCTGTTGCAGAGTGAGAAGTTTGATCCGGAGGGGGAGTATATTAGGAAGTGGGTGCCTGAGTTGAGGGGTATCAAGGGTAAGGCGGTGCATGAGCCTTATGCGAGGGGCGCGGCGAAGGAGGCGAAGAAGAATGGGTATCCGGAGCCTTGTGTGGAGCATGCGAAGGCCAGGGCGAGGGCGCTGGAGAGGTATAAGAGTGGATTGGGGAGGGGAACGGCGAATGTTGGAGGAGGAGTGCATAATTGATCTGATGGGATGGTAGAAACAGATGTTGAAGTTTGAGTATGAAGCTGCAGAGCGAATGGGCTCAATGATCAAAAATCAGTCAACGTTATGCTTCTCTGAATTTCTGGTCTCTTATCGAAACATCGAAGTCAATTGAATGTATGCATGCGACTAAAGACTGCCCTCGGCCTGCCTCGTCGGATCACAGAGCCCTAATCTTCCCCCACCTTCTGCGTTCGAATAACATACGCGTGGATGTTCTTCGGGCATCTCATCGCAGAGACTTACGATCGGCTAGCTTCGACAATGCTGACCTCGTGCCCGACATGTCAGAGCTCGCGAACTCCTTACGTATAAGACTTGGTGATCAAGTAGCAAGGGGGATGTTGGAGACATTCCTCAAGTGAATCAATTCTACGCAGTATCACGAAGGTTAGCGTTGCTGTCACTCCACAACGGAATTCTGAAACGTCAGGGAATGGAATGCAGATCGAGGAAGAGAATATCATGAAATCCGACGACTCCATATCGGGGCTGCCCACCTTACAACGAACGTGTTTTGAGGAAACAAACGGCAGCAATATGTTCCACAGAATGTACGATGCAGCTCTCGAGATCAGGAGAGCTGTCCAGCCTTCCCATATCAACAACCCCCTTGAGGTCATCCTTGCGAGTGACGCAAAGCTCTTCTTCTCATGTGTGTTTCGGCAAATCCTCCTCTTATTCCAGCGGCAGCCAGCGACTGCGTGATCGCTTGTCGCAGGACATCTTGACAGCGGCATTCGGTCAGGTTGCCCTATCGTGTTTGCGTATGGACCGGAAGTGATGGTGGTCTGGAGATCAGGATGGACGTCGAATTGCCCAGTGGATTCGTGCCCGCTCTGGGGAGTTGCTGTGCCAGTGCGGCGAGGTTGGTGCGCGGTCGCCATTTGCTGAGGCATGACAGCAATTCGCATTGGGTAAGCGTTTCTGGTGGGTTGTCTCTGGCCATGTCTTCTTCACCGTGGAAAGACACGGAGGCGAGCGCTGCGTGAAGCGAGTGTTGATACAAGCGAGAGGGTGCTCTCGTTGTGTACAGCCTTACAGGCAGAACCAAAGCAGCGTGCATGGCGATTTGGACGCGCGACTTCTAGCCGTTCGAGGGCTGATTGTGGTGACGGCGATGTGCGAGGAGGGAATCAAATCCGACAAGGGCTGCTGTCGAGAGCAGAGAGGCGTGCTTCGCTGGGCTTACCTAGGTACCATACAAGCCGGTCACACATTGCGATGTTGTCAGGGGTGCTGTACTTCGTCAAGATATCTTCCATTGAAAGGTATTGGCCCTTTACGGTGACCATTGCGCAATGCTGCGGTGCATGTAGAACCTTCAGCGCCGTGACTTAGACCTCTGCTTGCTGTTAAGCGCCCTGGGAAATGGTACGGGCTGCAGTCACGCCCAGTAGATGAATTGAGCAGACCTGGCTTTCAAAATATGCCTAAGTAGCCCAGATTCCGGTTTGAGATTTATATATCCCAGATACCTAGCAGCAACCAATGCGAGTACCGGAGATGGGTTGCCGCGCCCTGCCTTCGAGAAAGCAGTGCTGGTGCAGTCGTTAACATCCAACAGACCTATCATATCAAACAAGGCGCCCCTCCCTTGTCACATAGAACACCGAGTTCATCTTTTTTGCTTCCCGGACCAAGATTCATATGTGGACCGCGACGATTTTTTTGCTCTATGCCACGGTGCTGGAAAGTGTTTGGTTCGATATGCTCGTCTTTTTGCCTTGTGATCTGCCTTTGGAGCTGGCTGTTGACGCTGAGGGTCGGAGTTACGGAGGTGGTGTGGTACTGATCGTTCAAACTTCATGACCACAACACTACCAAGACCATCACATCCAACGCAGCAACTTCTGTTTTGCGCCAGCAGTCTCTCTGACAGTGCATTGGGCAATGGCACTGCATGCGCAGACTCTGTCCTGCACTGCAACTCGTAAATCCGTGAGAAAGGCGGCATCAGTGCATTGATTGATGAGAATCCACCACCGGATCGCAAACATGTGCTGGCAAACACTCTTTCCATCTCTCTAACGCAGCGCTAGACAATGGCACCGCGTGCGCAAACCCCGACTTGAAATGCAGCTCGACATTCCGTGGAAACAGGATGACAGTCCATCGATCGGTGGAAAGTCCTCGGCCACGCTGGAGAACACCACCAGAACCACAGGTTTGAGCGCAGCAACTTCTCCCCTGCACTGAGAGCCTCTCCGACGACAACACACTGAACAGTGGAACCGCCTACGCGCATGCGGACCTCAATGGCAGCTCGCGATCCCACGAAGCAGGCGATATCAGCCCACCGATCGAGAAAAGCGCTCCGCCGCTATCGCGAACGACATGGGCTGGCAAACCACACGGAAATCTGCGAACTGAGCGCAGCAACTTCTCTGACGATAAAACACTGGACAGTGGCAGCACGTACGTGTATGCAGACTTGAGCGGCAGCTCGCGATTCCATGAGAAAGGCGACATCAGTCCCGCGATCGATGAAAACCCTCCGCCGCCCTTGCGGACAACGTGCGCCGGCAATCCACACAAAGACCAGGGGACTGAGCGCAGCAACTTCTCCTTCACGCCGACGAGCTCTCGAAAAGAACACTAAGCCATGACACCGCATGCGCATACCCCAACCTGAGCCACAGCTCGAGCTTTCGCGAGAACGCGTCCACAATCCAGCATGAGCGAAGGTCTTCTGCCACTATCGCGACTTCCCCGAGAAACAAACGACCGTGAGCGACTTGGACATGGCTGTCACCGATGACCCCATAATCCATTGTCCCCGATAGCAAAAAGGCGCACTGGCAGTATCGTTGGAAGAAGAGCGGATGCTGCGTGACTTAAGTGGGGTGCGGTGATGACAATCTGGCTCGTCTGACAACTCGCTCGGGGCTGAGCTTTATAACGCGTCTCCATGTCCTAGTATCAACCGAATCGTCTACCAGGATCGACTGGACAGGAGCATTCGCCTTCCAGTGGACCCGACTTCGTCCCTTCTAAATGCGACCCATGTCTGCTCCATCGCCGAGCCCAGCCCTTCGTAGGCGAGAGCAGATCAAATTTCGCAATAATGCTGACTTGACACAGTGCCTGACCTGACCCCGATCACCATCTTCCGCCCGCTTCGGCTGAAAAGGCATCAGAAACCGCGACAGGCACGTTGCCTCCACTCGAATGAAGGTGAACTCGATCGCGCCTAGAATCGAAGCCAACACGCAGCGTCCAGTAAGCCACATTAGATCTTGCCTCGAGCATAGATCGCCCTCTGAACGAGTTGGTTTGGTAGGAATCGGGCAAGAGATGGTGAAGCGGCCGTGAAAGAGCAGAGACGCTGAACGCAGAGGCACATCTTTGGGTCGTTGTGGAAATGATAGGTCCAGTCATCGGGTAGCTCAGAATTCTGGTCGCAGATACAATGTACAAGCCGATAATCTCTTAGCTAAAGGTGAACACGCCTGCTGACAGGTGCCTCTCGATCGTTCCTAGTGCGGAAGACACTACGCATACTGCTAGCTTCGGGACCGTGCGGGAGAGCTAGGGCAGCGACTTCATTTTCCATGCTATGCTCCATCGAATAAAATTCCTTGGAAGTCTGTATCTTCGGCCCATTCGTTGCGGGGACGTCCATAATTTGCACCTCTATCCAGTCGCATTTCCACGACGGCTATGCTATCGAGAACGTGGGCATCTTCTCAACCAGGATCGGACGGTACGAGGGTCTTCGAGAACAACATGACCTCTACGAAAGCCATGATAGAAGGTGATGAGCTGAAAGCACATTGTATGGGAACCAGTTTCACATTCGAAAAGAAGGGAGGAAGTCAGATGCGCTTGGCGCAAATGTGGATACCCTGCCACGGTCTTGTCTGAAAGAGGGAAGCCGCTAACTAGAGCTTCGCGCTGGCGTCAAGGAAGCTTCGCAATCGTCATGGCCGCTTGGTATGGCGAAGATGCGCAATAGCTTCGGCCAAGCTATAGCGCAATCGTTGGCCGTGCTTCGGCCAGCAAGAGGATATATTGAACCGAGGGTGAGTCTTTCTATCAGCCACTGCAAACCTATACTGACCATGGCGGAGCGCGACCTAGAGAAGCGGTCCATGATGGCGGGCGAACGTACGCCGCTCATCCAGACGGTACCAGTAGCTGAAGAGAGGAATCGCTATCCCCATGCTAGGGTAAGTTCAGAAGCATCGAGAGATAACCAGAACCTTGGCTGAATGCAACCAACAGGTGCGGCGTATCTGTACCACGGTCATCAGCTCCGTAATCCTCCTAGCCGCGCTCGTGTTCCTCGCCATCGCTGTCACGGGCAACGGAGACATACTCACTGGCAAGCCTCGAACACAACCCGAGCACTTCGCGACCGCCGAACTTCCGCATCCAGCGTGGCCTCAGTCGCATGGCCTTGGCTATAAAGAGTTGAAGAAGGTGCTGCTTGAAACACCGGACGCAAAGAAGGCAAGAGAATGGAGCCAATACTACACTGCGGGGCCACATCTGGCAGGGAAGAACGAAAGCCAGGCACAGTGGACCAAAGACCTGTGGAAGCAGTTTGGAGTTGATCATGCAGAGGTCGTCTCTTACGATGTCTACATCAACTACCCGCTGGACCATAGATTGGCGCTACTGAAAGACGGCGAGGTCGCATTCGAGGCTACCCTGGAGGAAGATGTTCTCGATGAAGATCCAACCACAAACCTCACGGACAGAGTGCCGGTCTTCCACGGTTACTCAGCGGATGGCGACGTGACAGGACAATTCGTATTTGCCAATTACGGCACGTGGGATGACTATGAAGATCTTGTCAATGCTGGCATCGATCTGAAAGGCAAGATTATCATCGCGAAGTACGGCCGCAATTTCAGAGGCCTCAAGGTAGCTCGTGCTTCACAGCTGGGTGCAATCGGCGTCGTTATGTACAGTGACCCTGGTGACGATGGCGAAATCACAGAAGAGAATGGCTACAAGACTTATCCCGAAGGTCCCGCCAGGAACCCGAGCAGCGTACAGCGAGGCAGTGTCCAATACCTGTCTTTCGCGCCTGGAGACCCAACTACGATCGGTTATCCCTCAAAGCCTGGTGTGCCTCGCCAGTCTGTCGAAGGTCACATCCCGGACATTCCATCGATCCCAGTTTCGTACAAGGAGGCGCTGCCGATATTGAAGGCACTCAATGGACATGGACCCAAAGCCTCTTCTTTCTCAAAGTACTGGCAAGGAGGTGGTCTTGGCTACAAAGGTGTCGACTACAACATTGGTCCCTCACCGGAGTCGCTCACGATCAACTTGGTCAACAGGCAAGATTACGTGACGACTCCCCTGTGGAATGCCATTGGTGTCATCAATGGTACCGTCTCAGATGAAGTCGTTGTGATTGGTAACCACCGAGACGCCTGGATTGCTGGCGGCGCAGGTGATCCCAACTCTGGCTCTGCTGCTCTAAACGAGGTCATCCGGTCCTTTGGCAAAGCCCTCGAGGCTGGCTGGAGACCACATCGAACGATCGTGTTCGCGTCATGGGATGGCGAGGAGTATGGCTTGATCGGCTCTACTGAGTGGGTCGAAGAATATTTGCCATGGCTGTCGGCAAGCACTGTTGCATACATCAATGTCGATGTTGGTGCTCAGGGACCCAACTTTAAGGCCTCCGCGGCGCCTGTGCTCAACAAGGCCATCTACGAAGTGACGAGTCAAGTGCAGTCGCCAAACCAGACTGTCAAAGGCACGACTGTTCGCGATACTTGGAATGGCCATATCTCCACTATGGGCTCCGGTAGCGACTTCACGGCATTCCAAGACTTTGCAGGCATCTCTTCCATTGACATTGGTTTCGGAAATGGTCCGAATGATGCCGTCTACCACTATCACAGCAACTACGACAGCTTCTATTGGATGGACAATTATGGGGATCCTGGCTTCAAGTATCATATCACGATCGCGAAGATCATCAGCTTGCTCGCAGCGAAGCTTGTTGAAGAGCCAATCGTGCAGTTCAATGCTACGGATTACGCCACTGGAGTGCAAAAGTACCTCGACAGCGTGAAGAAGGTTGCGGAGGAGCAGCAGTGGGACTTGTCGACGGTCAAGGATGCTTTCAAGCAACTCGACGAAGCTGCGTCATACTTTCACGACGCATCCGTCGAGTTCGACGCTTCCGCTACGCGCCTGGAGGAACACTTGAGCGATGCGACGATCTCAGACAAGAGAAAGAAGGCCATCTATCAAGCGGTCAAGAAGACGAACAAGAAGTACAAGTTCTTGGACCGTCAATTCTTGCATGCTGGTGGGTTGGACCAGAGGAGTTGGTTCAAGCATGTGGTGTTCGCGCCCGGCAGATGGACTGGGTATGCAGGGGCTACGTTCCCGGGACTCGTGGAATCTTTGGAGGATCACGATGAGAAGAACTTGCAGAAATGGGTGGGCATCATTGCGGCGCGCATCTATGCTGCTGCGGACCTGCTGCTCGAGAAGTAGCATCAGATATGTAGAGACTGTATCCATTCGCAAGTCGCTGCGGCTGCGTTGTGACGATCTCGGTACGTTGACTTCCAGCCAACCTCGACGCGCCTTCTCATAGAGGAGCAAGTGCTATGTGAAGTAGATCGTGACAAAGCTAGTCTTCATGATTAACCTGCGCGCCCTGAATTACAGTATCGCTTGCCCATGTATAGCATTCGCGGAGGACCGATGATGGATTGAGGCAGGAACTCGAGTTTCCCTGGCTGAAGTGAAGATACTCGCGCGTTTGCTCAGCAGCTGCAGCATTTCCGTCGTTGCACAAACACCTCGCAACTCTTCTGTCCTTGACCGTCTCCCACTGCACAACGACGACACGACCATCATTCCAGTCTTTGCCCGTCGCGCCATCTCACAACACAACCACCACTTCAGTCTTTGCCCGCACGACGACAATACCACCATCTAGTCTTTGCCCGCACGACGACACAACCACCATTTCAGTCTTCGCCCGTCACGCCATCTCATAACACACCAAGGCACGACCATCCCAACCACAATACACCAAGGCACGACCAGCGCGTACCACACCACTCTCCTCGCCATCATCGTCGTCGTCGACACCACTACCGCCAACCCATCACCACCACCATAACCACTTCCACCGTCGACATGGCCTTTCTTCTCTACGGCAACGCGACCGACCCTTTCGTCGGCTTAAACGTCAGCGAAGGCGAACAGTTGATCCACACCATGCGCACCGTCGCAGGATCCTACCAACTCCTCCCCGGCCCCAACATCGAATACGAAGACCTGCGCGACATCATCGAGTGGAGCGCCTGGATCTACCAGGGCCGCGGCGCCCTGAAGATGGCCAAGGTCCTTCGGGACACCTTGTGGAGGAGGAAGCTCTGCGGAGCGGAGGAAGACATGTGGTTCCGCTTCACGCTGGAGAAGTAAGTAAATCGATTCGATTCGATCAATTGGTAAAGGACATTAGGCTGACAATGTGTGTTTCTCTGATTTAGGTGGCTGATCCACGGCGCCGGAACTCCAAGCGGCCTGTCGTGGACGGAGCGCGACAGATTGGCGGAGAAGATGGACGAGCTGTACGCCACCACGGCGTGATTTTGGTGTTGCTTTTTGCTGGTTGTTTGTTTCTGCGGAGCGTCTATCGGCTACGGCCACAAAAGTTCAAATGCAAGCGGATCGCTTTTTCTCTGTGATATCGAGACAAATCCCCCTTCTTCTCGTTTCTCCTGCTGACGCTGAAAATCCGAGCCCAACGATTTGAGTCTCGGTCACAGAGAGAGTCGTGTCGTTGACTGGAGAGCGTAATGATGCAGTGACACACTTACAGATGCTCTGGCATCTTGACTGCATCCCAGGTGCCCATGAACGCCTCGCCAGGAGAAATCTTTCAGTGGGAGTATCGGAGTCTGCGACAGCCATTGTGTCGATCTCGATCACACTCTCATTCTCAACAAAACAAGCAAGCTGAATGCCACTGGATCTCCAACCGCTTCTCAGCAATAGATCTTCCAATATGTGGAGCAGGCGTTGCCAACTGACAGCTTCTCAGCAGTGTTCCACCCCTAAGCCATTGCATGTACAATCGTTCGCCAGCATCGAGGCAACCTTTGTGAGAAGCAAGTGTTACAATCTGATTCCATTCCGCAGACAGTTCAACATTCGAGCCATTGAATATCCTAACGCTCCAGAATCGCCGCGGTGCCACAGAATGGAAGCATGCGATGCTGCCTCCATTCTCCAGTAAAAAGTCAAGCTGCGAGCCACTGGGTATACGGAAATGTGCCAAGCGCATCATATTCATCTAGCGGAAGGAGGATCTGCTTGACACCTTTCTCTATTGGAATTCCAGATTGCAAGTCATTAGGCATGCAGAGATATCCTGACTGCACGAGAATCAATCAGTGGAAGCAGGGCCTGTTCAACAGCTTTCTCTGTAGAGCGTTCCGATCGTGAGCCATTCGGCATAAAGAATTGCCTCGAGCGCATGCGAATCGTCCAACGGAAGCAGGTGTTCTCTGCAACCACTCTCTGCGGGAATCCTAGGCTGCGAGCCACTGAGCATACAGAGATGCCTGGACTGCGCGAGAAAAGTCAAACGGAAACAAGTGCTGTTTGATAGCCTTCTCTGTTGGATGCGCCAGTTGGGAGCCACTGAGCATACAGAAATTCCCCGAGCGCGGACGAACCACCCACCAGAAGCAGCTGCTGTCGACCACCGCTCTCTGCGTCAAGTCCAGGTTGCGAGCCATTAGGTCTGAAGAAACGCCCCGAACGCTTGCGAATCATCCAGCGGAAGCAGGTGCCGTCTACCACCACTCTCTGCGCCAGTTCCAGGTTGCGAGCCATTAGGCATAGAGAAACGCCCCAAGCACACGCAAATCGTCCAACGGAAGCAGTCCTCGGGGGCGGCCTCACCCACAAACACTGCTCGTACACTTGAAAGCAGTAGCAAAAAACAACATTCCCACCCACTGATTACATCTCGTTTCCCACTCCGGATTCGTAATATTCTTCTCAGGAACACAATCCCCGACATGCGCTCCATCCTTATCGTTCACCGTGTAGCCTCCGTCATTCCCAACTTTGACAAAATCCAGCTGTCCAGATCCACAAATCCCCGCGGCAGAGCTCACAAAAAGATCGCCAGTGAAAGGCGCCATAGTTCCGTTGTGGATGTAGTTGTTGTCTTCGGCGTGGATCAGATGCGAGCAGGTGAAGGGAGCCTCTTTGGTTGTGTTGGATACGTTGGAGAGGACTTTGGGGCCGCGAGCGCAGCGTTTGAGTGGGAAAGCGCCCATGCAGACGGATGTATTGGAGACGAAGAAGTCGGCTGCAATTGGAGTGGCGAAGATGAATGTTAGCAGTGCTGCTGCTTTGTACAGTGGGGATCGCATCCTTTCGGCGGGGTTTCTTGCTCGGATCTTGATTCTGGCTTCGCTGAACGTGAGGTCAAGGTGATATTGGCGTTGAAAGGTCGTCGTATTTAGATCTTCTCGATTCAGTCCTGCTCGTAGATCAACTTGCGGGCGATGGGCTACGCTTCAGTACAAGATGCATGCCCTGCAAAGTGGCGGCCAGAGCACCATACAAGTAGTCACCCACTCACCGCAATCCTATCATGCCACCCCACCCCGGGCAAGATATAGCTCCCCAATAGAAAAGCTGCCATAAGCCAGCCTGCATGTCGTAGACAGCACTAAGACCTGCATAATGGTGTTCGTGGAGGCGCAAGATTGATTCCTCGAAAGTCTAAATTGTCAGCCTTGCCAGCTCAGCCTTGCATCAGCTCATTGAGACATTCGATTATTACACTGTGAAATGTCTTTCAGCATCGTGGAACAGGAAATGAGACATTCTTGCAGTGCTGTGCATAGCGTATGCGGCATGAGTGGCCATTTGCGATCGTATATTGCGAACATCCAAGCCCGTCTGCTGTGCGCCGACCACATCACGCGAATGCGTGCGCCAAAGTATCTCCATCCTACGAGGCTACGCCAGACGCCTCTTTCCAGAAGCAGAGCTCTCAGCCCCGAGGTCCAGATCCGCTCCAGATTTGTCATCGAATGAGAAGACAGCAGCACGCTGCTGCTGCTATTTCAGGAGGACGGCATATTGAGGTCGACGCCAACTCCATGTCTTGATAGCCAGTGTGGTATTTGCGAATAAAACTGATGAAGCCAGGAAGACGTGGGAGCGGAAAGAGTGAAGTGTCGCTGGAAGGCCCAGGCTCCTGGGTCGCGGGTCGCAGCTCATGGGTAAAAGCGGTGGGACGTTGTGGTTGCGCAGGCGGGGCTTAGTCCCTCTGCACTGGAACCAGGATATCCTTGAACACAAGATTCGTGAAAGAGATGGCAAAAGGCAATTGCTTCGGGAGATGAGGCAAGTTCTTAGATGAAGACTGACATCACGACCGGTCGCGAAGACTGTTGTCTCATAGTTTCATACTACTGTGGACATCTGCTCTCAGCCGCCTGAATATCCGAACCATTTGTCTGATTGGCCGAAGTCCTTCTGTCTCGATCCAGAAATACCAACCACGTTCTACATCTGCACTTCTTTACTGTAGAGCATGTTGGCTGCCAGTGCCGATGCTTCGGATGGCGGTCCTTGCACAGGAACACCAAGGCTGACTCATGCGCTGACCAAGCTTCTACCCGCACGATTCGCTCAAGGCCATGACGCGTGCTGATCGAGGGACGGTCTGCGGTAGAGGAGCGCCTTATTCCTCGGCCGAGAGTGGATGCTGTGAAAGAGGATCAAGAAGCGTCTGATCTCAGTGCTTGTCAGCATGTTTGAAGAGCTTGAATTGCTCGTGGTGACATGCGGCGGGACATATACAACCAGTCGTGCTCCCGGAAGTTGTCTTCATTCACCTCATCGTTGACTTCTGCGGCCATCCAGACTCACATCGTCTCTGCCGATATGCGCAATTTCTTATTGTTGAGTGCACTAGCATGTCTTCATGGCCTAGGTTCCGCGCAGGAGACAGTCAACCGTACCTTGACTCAAGGCTGGGGCACTGTGCCTTCGCAGAGGAGATATATCAATGCTGCGCAAGCACGAGCTGTGATTGAGGCTGGTGTGCAGCAGTCTATGGCCATCGGGTACTGTCTTCCTGTACTCGCTCCGTGTCGTGGTCATGAGCTGATTCCTACTTACACAGAGTACCGAACAGCATCGCTGTGCTCGACCCTTCAGCACAACTGGTCGCCTTCTTACGAATGGATAATGCCTTCTTGAGCAGCATGGATATTAGCATCAAGAAAGCCAAGACTGTGTCGTTATTCAATGGGCTTTACCCCTCGAGTGTCCTGTACAATCGTTCTGAGCCAGGTGGCGATATTTATGGCATTGAGCAGACGAATGGCGGACTAGTTGTCTTTGGGGGCGGCCAGCCAATTGTTGACCTTGAGGGCTATTGGATTGGCTCGGTGGGAGTTAGCGGAGGCACAAATGAGCAAGATGTTGATGTCTCTATTGCAGCCGCTCGGAGTGTCGGTGCAAGGAGCGCTTGAGTGGTTGATGGTGCAGTTGTCTCGGCACGCTAGGACTTTGGTATGAAGGGAGAATAGCGCGAAGGCTGTGGCTGTGAAGGCATACCTTATTAGACAGCTCCAAGGCCCGATTCTGGTCGAGCGGGGAAATTGGCGTACACTTTCATGAGCCTTTCAACGCCATACTGCCAATGATGAAAGCTTCTGCTTCCTTCCCCAGCTGCAGTGCTTCGCCTTTCTTGAGCGCGTCTAGACGATAGATTTTGCGAATCCTGGCGGGATCGTGCATGGTGGCTAGGCTTTCATCTGAGAGTGTCGTGGGCTTGCCTTGAACGTTTTGCACGAGGTGCTCCTCAATGCTGGACCTTTCGCCGCCCACTTTGATGGCAACGATGTTACTGCTGCTGTCCTGCACGCCGAATCTGCGGAACGATTCTCCGATCTGGCAAAATGAGGGTGAGCATGCTACTGTGATAACATGATATATATATCACCAGTCATGCATTGCCTCACTTACATTGTTGTTTGGTGACATGGCAAAGACTATCTCCGAGTGCACATTGTGACTCTTCATGCGGCCCTCGAGCTGGTCGTTGATGGCTCTCCAGCACGCCGAGAGCACATGAGTCCTTGAGAGCAGCACCGACGCATCGAGGAATGCATATTGAAAATCGGTATTGCCGTCGAGCAGCTGTTGGCGCAGGAATGAGGCGTTTTGCACATCGGTGAACAAGACCACGTGCAGCGGGTGGTTGGGCAGGTGAGGCAGCTGTATGGTCTCCATGTTGGAGTGCTGCAGGCTGGATTGGAAGGGCAAGAGTCTCGATGCGGGCGGTGCTCTGGACGGCATGAACTGGTTGTGGGATAAGGTGCGGCTCGCGTGCGCAGAGAAAGTTGCGATTCCAATCAATCGTGAGGGCCACACGGCAGAGCTCCCATTCGGGCCCTAGTTAGCGCAGCGAGTGCTGAGCGATCTGGACCGGCCGAGCAGCGTGTTGTTTTTGGCGGCCAGAATCGACGCCGCGCCGTAATGGGCACGCAGCAGGCAAGAAAGCGGCGCAGAGGAGGATGGGCTACGTCTTGGGAGGGCGAGTCGAGGCAGCATAAGCATAGCAGATCATATCCACCCCGACTGCTGCGTCTCTGCAACGCACAATTTGGCTCGGGCATCTCTGGCTCCGCGTTGTGAAAGGGCTCGCTTCTCTATACGAGGTTTCGAACCACGCCCATAGATCGGCAACTTCCACCGCGCCCGGAGCATGTCTTCGTCGAGCACGCTCAAGCGGCCGGGAGACTCCGACGACGGTGGCAGTGGAAGGGGCAGCAGTGGCAGCAACTCGCACAGCACGCCGCAGCCTGCCAGCAAAATCCCGCGGACGGAGGGCCACTCCAATGGCACCGGCAGCAGCACCACGTCCACGGCTACGACTAATCACGCCGCCCTGAACGGCACTGGCCACCAGCATGACGACTTTGCGGCCGCGTCCAGCGCTGCTCCGCCGCCCGGTAGTTCCAAGAAGAAGTCGGCGGGTTCATCGCGGACAGGCCAGGCCTGCGACCGCTGCAAGGTATGCGACCACTCTCACCCGTGTGACTTTGAGTCTATCGCCGTGCTCGTCGGATGATATATATTGATCCATGCTGCGTCCACCAGGTGCGTAAGATCCGCTGCGATGCGCGCCCCGGAGGCTGCTCGCCATGCATCCAGAACAACACCGAATGCAAGACGACCGATCGCATCACGGGTCGCGCGACATCGCGTGGCCACACCGAGAACCTCGAACATGAGAATACTACGATGAAGATGTACATTGTCGAGCTGCAACAGCAACTGCGGGACGGTGGGCTAGAGCCCAAAGCAGCGCCGTCGGCTCAGAATTCATACGGACAGTATTGGAGCCAGCAGGCAGAGTGGACGGGGTCATATTCAGGACAGAACGCGCTGTCGGTCAGTCCGCAGATCCGCAACGAGCGACAGACACCCCAGGGCTCCCTCCTGCCCGACTTCCGCTCAGGATGCATTGGCGACAACTACCTGGGCGTCTCGTCGGAGAATAGCTGGCTGAGTCCCATCGAGGGCACATCACTCGCTCTTTTCGGCACCAAGATCGACCTGGCCGAGTTCATGCCCGCCGATTCGGATCCCGCCTTCAGTGCCATGTCCTATCGCACATTCCTCAGTCATGCATTCGGGCGACACCAGGTCTTCCGACCAGAGCTGCCCGCCTACGAGCAGTGCAAAGTGTATGCCGAATGGTACTTCCGATCGATAGGACAGTTCATCCCGGTCCTGCACAAACCCGACTTCATCGCGCTTCTCTACAAGATCCACCATGAGCACTATCAGCCCAAGCCGGCAGAGAATGTCATGGTCCACATGGTCCTGGCCACGCTCAACTTCCAGTTCGCGGCGCGCAATTCCAACGAGCAAGCGCGTCAGGACTCCATGAGCCACTACCACTACGCGTGCAGTCTCATCCCCGACCTCATCACAGGCCATACTCTCGCAGACATCCAAGCATTGGCTTTGATCTGCTCCCAGCTGCGGAACCAGCCCAAACCAGGCGCAGCATGGATGTTCACGAATCTGGTACTGGGCTTGGCTGTGGAATCTGGTCTCCATCGCTCTGCCAAAGCGTGGCCGAACTCAGGCGTGGACCAGGATCCACATCATCTGGAGATGCGAAAGCGAACATTCTGGTCACTCCTAATCTTCCACGTGCACATCAGTGGAAAGCTGGGTCGCCCGATGCCATTGCGCTTGGAGGACTTTGACATCGAAATGCCGGAAGCAATCCCAGACAATCTGCCTGAAGAAAACTCGACCAAATGGAAAGACTGTTCCTTTCGCGCGGCGATTGAGGGTTTCAAGCTGCTGAGAATCATGTTGCAGGTCTACTCCACTATCTATTCGATCAAGTCGACTGGACAGTACGAGATGAACGTGCGTCACCTGGAAAAGGAGCTGGAAACATTTCACGACCAGCTTCCGCCTGAGTTCCGCGGAGGCCCGCAAACACGAGACGAAGATCGCGTGTCTGCGTATTATCTGGACATGGGCGTCGCAGAATGCCAGCTTCTACTCCACCATCCAGCACTGTGTCGCTCGGCATCAGCGCAATTTATGACGAGCAATCTCGATACCTGCTTGCACTGGAGTAAGAAGCTGCTTCACGTTGCGACTGCTCTGAAGACGCTGAACTCGTTGGACACGACCTGGTACTCCACCACAAACTTCTTGGCGGCGATCTTCACCACACTTTTCGCGCACACTGAGCGTAGGGAACAGATGACCACGGCAGATCTGCAGACTTTGCGACAAGATATGGATGCATGGATGGAAATCATGGCAGAAGTGGCGAATCTTCTGGGTAAGTACGCGCGCTGAGCTTCTGGAGACACGCACTAACGTTTTGACAGGCCTGAGCTCGCGGCTACAAGCAGCTATTCGCACCATTATCGACTTCTCCCTCGGCAATATTCAGCGGCATCTCGCTGCCAAAACGGCTTCAGCGGCGCTGCCGGCCACGTCTTCTCCTACGGAGCCACAAGCTCAAGCATATACGAACGGCTATAGCGAACAGCAGCGGTACACAAATGGACACAGCAGCGAAGATCTGAGCAGCACAGCGAGCCGAGCTTATGCCAACACACATGCACATGCAGACCAAAGCCACGCTTACTCACAATCTGGCCAATACACGTACCCGTCCGCGCATGAGAACGGCGTGTACCCACAAGCGAGCATTAACGGCTACAGTCAATCAGCCTATGCGGAAGACAGCAAGCCGAATATTGAAGACCAGCTCCTTCAAGCAACGTCCATAGCACAGCAAGCACAACAGGTCAATGCAAACAACTTCGTGGCAGCATACCAAGCGGCCAGCACAGCAGAGACAAATGGCTACCATCAAACGCCGACCACAGCAGGAATGAACGATCAAACATACCCTCAAGCTGGACCGGCAGCATGGAGACACTTTGCGGACTCGATTCCGAACTTAGGCGGCCATGAGTATATGAATTCTGCTGCTAGTCTTATGGCTCTCGGCGGGGGAAAACACACAGATGGGACGGACATGGTCGCAGCAGCTCAGATGAGCCATATGCATCTGCCTCACGCTGATGGCGTGCAGGCTCCTTGGCCTTTACTACATTACACCGGCGGAAACAATGGACACGGCTAATGAAGCTGTGGCGGCGTTCTGCAGTACGACTTCGGATTGTGAAGTTGTGGACGGAGTTTTCGGGATGGTGAAGCATTTCCCGCGGAGGAGTCTTTTTTCGAATGCTTTTTTGTTGTATACCCCATGAGAAACGAAGGCGGGCAATAAGGCAGGCGTGACACGTATTCAGAGGGAAGCCGCAGAGATACCAATTTCACGTTCATCGAGCCGATCGAACGTTTTCGGATGCTGACCCAATTGTTCATCCATCTTCTTCCACTACCCTGCACGACACGTGTATGTTGTGCCGTTTTGCCATGCTAGCTTGATATCCTTGGCACCGATCTCGTTTCTCCACTTCTTGAGACTTGTCTCTTCGTCAGCCTGTATCCTTCCCGTCCTATTCTCGCCAGACACAAATGCGATCGCGCATCGAAGACCACGTGCAAGCTGACAGCGTGCACAGTGGCGTTTCTACGAGAGTTCAGGAGTGTGACGGCGTCCACAAAAGGCGTCTGGCCCGTTGCAACGCTCGAGCGGAACACTTCGATGCCGTCGCCTTGGCATAAGCGTGGTCTCCATGCAGGAAGTGACCGCTGCTTTTTTACAGTTCAGACGCCAGCTGTGACGACGAGCACGTTCCTGCACGTGCAGACTCGTAGACTGCCCAATCGAAGCTCGGTAGGAGGTATGGTGGCAGCCGTCAACAGCTATAACGGCTGGAAAACACCTCACGCAGCTCCGGTTCTGCCCGTTCCCATATCACTGTTTCGTAATTCGCCAAGTCGCAAGCGTAAATGCCAAGTGTAGCTTCCGAGGGGCAGGACCGTACGAGGAGCGCGGCCGCAATGAAGATCTGGAGAAGGGCCAGAGTTTGTGGCGGCTTCTCTCGATTTTTGGGGCACCTCACCGCACGCATGCCAGCACACCGACCTCGACATTCATTGGAACGGGGAAGAAGGGACGCCCATGCGTCGTTCATAAGCACTGATCACTGGCCTAGTTGACAGCACTGCATGGACGGACCACAGGACAAGAGAATTATTGCAAGAGTCTTTCTTGGGCTTTCGTCAGCTGCGACCTGAGTGAACCATCGCGCAACTCTTAAGTGGAAGTTAAAGGAACTGGTACGCCAAGGACGTCAGATTCCTTTCAATTCGTTCCTCGCACAAAGGACGCCATCTTCACCAGCAGCACCTCGTGGTGGAAGCATCATACGAAGCGGAGCGCCATCACAATGTCGACCTGCGGTTCCGGAACGCGTGCAGAGGACTACAACCTCTCTCTGCACGTCGGCGCCCTCTTTATCATCCTGGCAGTGTCTGCTGGAGCATGTGCACTGCCAATCGTGGCATTGAGAGTGCCTCAGCTGCGAATCCCAGCCAAGGCGCACTTTGGCTTCCGACATTTCGGTACTGGAGTCCTCATCGCGACAGCGTTTGTGCATTTGATTCCGACTGCATTCATATCATTAATCGACCCATGTCTGCCACCATTTTTCAATGAGGACTACCCTGCGTTGGCGGGTGCGATTGCGCTCGCAGCAGTATTCATGATTACCATTGCAGAGATGATTTTCAGCCCGGGGAGATCGCTTTGCTCGGGACCTGGGCACGATGACCTCTCAGAACCGGCGCAAATTGATCGAGATGGAGGCGCGAATGTTTCCAATGGCACAACGGAAGCGACAAGGAGGCATTCTTTGGCCAATGATGAGATCACACCAGGTGAGCCAGCGAACTACAAACCAAGCATCGTTCTAGGAATTGACAGCATGCCAGCTGAGAGCACCCCGCAATTTGGACGATCACGCTCTGGGCGATCTCATAGTGTTATGAAGACTGTGGGAAGACGCAGCAGCCTGATGTTCAATGAGAACACTTTCCAACTCACGGGGGAAAACAAGCGAGGGCGCAGTGTCGATGATGTTGAAGATCGTCGTCCCAGCGAAGATAGCATGACCCTCGCTGAAGAGAAAGAAGCTGCCCAGCAACGACACAAACTGCTGATGCAATGTGTACTTCTCGAGTGCGGAATTCTATTTCACAGTAAGTCTGGACTCCTCAGCAAACAGGGCATCCTGGCATTGCAAGTGACTTTTGCTAACCTGACATCCAGGCATCTTCATCGGTCTCGCCCTAGCCGTTGCCGTAGGAAGTGAACAAGTCATTCTCCTCATAGCCATCGCCTTCCATCAAACCTTCGAAGGCCTTGCACTTGGATCACGTATCGCGGCCGTTGGCTGGAAACCTCGCGCTCTGCAGCCCTGGTTCATGGCTCTCGCGTACGGCTGCACCACACCTCTAGGCCAAGCCATCGGCATCGCAACCCGGAATCTTTACGATCCAGATTCTGCAACAGGTCTCGTGGTCGTGGGAACATTCAATGCGTTCTCAGCAGGTCTCCTGACGTACACGAGTTTGGTGGATTTGTTGAGTGAGGACTTTTTGAGCGATCATAGCTGGAGGACGTTGAGAGGACGGAGGAGAGTCGGTGCGATGTGTCTGGTCGGATTTGGGGCTTTCTGCATGAGTTTGATTGGCGCATGGGCATGAGCGTATTGTGTGCGTTTCGGGTTTTGCTGCATGAGAGGAGCGTCTCAGACAGGCTGCTCTTGCACAGACAGGATGTCCATATTTTCAAAAGCGTTGCGCAAGTGGTCCTTCGAAATCTTCAGGTTACTTCTTGGCCTCCGGGTCCTGAGCATAAAGGATGCTGGTTATCGCACGTGTCACCGCAGTTTTGGTAGATTGCCGTGGCACATGTCTGTAAGCTGTTGTCAAGAAACAGCTCCGTTAGAGGTTTTGGCAGCTCGTCTCTGCTTGACCATCCCTCGTCTCGCCGCTGGCGATCCCCGCCCCTTTGTCTTTTCCTTCTGCAGCTGGCCATTCAACAAGTTCTTGCAGACCGCTCGCAACCTCCTATACATCATCCACAGCCATCTGCTCCACGATTGCTCATCTCGACTTTTCCATATTGGTTGCCAAGCTGCTGGTTTCAGCCCCATCTTGAGTTGCAGCTGCAGCCTTCTTTTGCCCTGTTCAGCTTCTGCATTTCCAAGCAATTGTGCTGTGCCGTCTGCCTTCTCTCGCTCATACTTCTCCACCACACCTTTCACCACGTCCTCGTCAATTGCCCATCTGCCGCTGACTCCCCTTCCCGTTTCTCTCCACACCAGATCGGCAATCTCAACTTTCCCTCCCGCTTCTCGCTTCACCACATCCTGCCACCTTAACCCAAAAAGCAAGAGGGCCATCAAAGCATACGCAGCATCATTCCCAGCATTGTGAGCTCCCACCAATTTAGCGCCAATACCATCGACCGACCCGTCATCTTTTGTTAATCGATACTTCTTCTCGATGCCCAACCTGTAAGCAATTCCGGCTAGCTTGAGAGATTCGTATTTCATCCCTTGCACCTTGGTGTGCCTCGCCAAATAATATGTGTCGAAGATCTGATAGCCTTTCCCGATCACAGAGTCCAAATCCAGATTAAAACAAGGGTCTTCCTTCAATTGTTTGATGTCGGAATCGATGGACTGTCCGACGAGGACAACCCGAGACTTCGGATACCCTGTGGCCGGAGGCATGAAAGATTCGAGAGTCTTGATCAGGAAACCCTTGGCATGGGAAACGTGCATGTAGCGTGACTCGCCGAAGAGCAAAGTCGAGTTGCGTGGGTTGTAGTAAGAAGCGGCGGAGGTGACAATATGGACTGCCAACGCTTTCTGTTAGCTCTGCAATGCTATTGAACTCACTGCTTCACCTCACGTCCATGAGGGAGAACAGTAAGTTGACACACATAGGAACGTCACAAGGGAAGTATCATACCATGGCCCATCTTTTCTCCCCAACCTCTCGCCCACACCCCCGGATCCACATCATTGATGTCTGCAACCTTCATCCACGCAAGCCCGATTTCCGTGATCCTATCAATGGACCCTCGTCGTTCCCACTCCAAGTCCAACGACACGAGTGTGACATGCTTCTTCACCTGAGTCGTCGAAGAAGCCTCTAACCCTAGAATGTGTTGCAATTGCACACCGTTCCCATAGTTGTCAGGGAAGTAGTCTTTGAGTCGCGCAAGTGCACGACGCTGACGACGTTCGAGTAGGTGCTCGGCGCGCCGTTCTTTGTCGATAGCATGACCGGGCTGAAGCGGTATCTTCGGCTTCACGATAGGACCTTGCGGAGAGGCGATCGTGATATGAGGAACTTGGGGCAAGGATGGTCTTGCCGCGGCTCGGTTGCGTGAACGTATTGCTGAGATACTCTGCCGTAATTGACTAATCGGCACCACAGGCAATGCTCTGCTGCCTGTCCCAGTGAGAATCGGCTGCTTTCTGGTCGAGTCGACATTCGCCACTTGCAATTTGTTCTTGATCTCAGCGGGAGTCACAGTTTGTCCGGCACCCAGAATCGAAGCGCTGATGGAATTGTTCGCTGCATTGTTTGGTGCAAGCAGCGGGCGTATGTTCTTCTCTTTGGCTGCCCGGAGTCCAGCAGTCCTCAATCGCTTGAGTTGCAGTTTATTCTTGAGTGAGTTGACCATGCTATCCGAAACGGCTCAGTTCTCCTTGCATTCGCCATGCTGTATTTTCAATGGCAATGAGTCGCGAACATGATCTGGGGAGATGAGAAAGGAAGAAGTGCTCAAATGTTGTGATGAGAAAGGATGGTTTCAATGTCATCGGGAAAGCCCAAGTTCGCCGCCCTTGCAGTGGAAAGCGAGACCGAGACCACATCTATAGGCTATCTCGTACGCTTCAAAGTGGACAATCGTTACTGTTTTGTACTTTGAGTGCTCTGAAATTGTTCTCTTGTTACATTGACCTATACTGACACATCATGGTAAAGAAAGCTGGCTGTACATCCATCGACCAAACCGGAGAGACAGCCAATCATGCTACCACATCCCTAGGAGAGAAAACCCGCTAAATGCAGCACAACTCAACTACAATACTTTTGAAGAGCGAAGAGTCTTCATCCATGCGTTCCCTGCGTTCTTCCTACTCCTTCTTACCGCCGAACCATCCCAGCGCACCAGACTTCATCTCCTTCATCTGTGCCTCTTGCGCTTTCTTCAACTCTTCGGCCTCCTCCTTCAACCACTGCTCTCCGTGCTCGCGAATCTGCTTCTCCAAATGCTCGTATTGTCGCTGACCTTGCTCGCGGATTTGGTCGCTCAGCATCTTGCCTTGTCGCAGGCCTTCAGCGACACTTTGCCCGTCAGCCAAGACCATGCCGCCTCCCATTCCAGTTCCGCCTTGCACGCCGAGACCGGAAGCGATAGAGCCCAGAGAGAATTTAGGCTTCCGTTTTCGTTCCTCAGCGAGTTGAGCTTGGAACTTTTCGCGAGCAATTTGCTCTCTTCGAGCGAACTCCTCTGGAATCGATTGACCTTCGAATGATTTCAGGACTTGACGGACATCGTCGGTACCCATAGTTGCGACATATTCGAGGAAAGGAATGAGCGCGACGAGGTCCTTCGTGTGGGGATCTTTTGGATCGCCACTCCACTTGGGAATGATGATGGCGTTTTCTGGCTGGTTCTTGACGTGCGGTGCGTGGGTGTCTACGATGATTGTCTTCTTCAGGTCCCGGTTCAGGTACGACAAGTCTTTGACATATTCGCCCTTCTCGTACTTGGTAGCCTCACGACCCAGCGGCCACATAATGAAGTGGTATGGGTCCAGCTTGGCCACGATGGGGTCGGCCATGGCGCGTGGAGCAGATGTGAACAGGACAAGCTCGTAGTACTGCGACAGGTAGCGGATGAAGTAATCGATGCCCGGGCGCTTGGCTGTGCGGTATCCGTGCTTGGTGTCCCATGTGGTATGGATCATGAGATCTTCCAAGGACATGACCAGAGTGAAGGGAGGCCGTTGCGATTCCGGAACATCAGGGAGAAGTTTTGGGAAGGCAGGCTCCGTGTAATGGCCGACCTGGCTGCCGAGTCTCCCACGCATCCGGTTCCAGATCTTTTGCGGTGCCCAGCCTGATGCATCGTCCGCCTCGAGACCCTGAGGAATTTCCTCCTGGGAGCTGAAAGGGCGTCCGAGGTAGAAGCCGGTGAGGACTGTTCCAAGTACAAAGGAAGCGTACAGGTAGTTCATGAGCAAGGCACGTCTTCGGTCAAGCGAAGTCTCATATGCCTTGCGATCGTACTGCCTCTCGCCTTCCTCGCCATCGTCTCGTGACCTACGCGGGCCTTCTGATGTCAAATCCAGCTTGTCCTCCTGTGACTCTGCAGCATCTTGCTCTCTCGCCCGTGCCTTGGCTTGACCGAATTCTAGATCGAATGTGCTCGGAATACCGTGGCGCAAGTCTGGTAGCGGGCCGGTCTGCTGCGGCGGCGTCTCCGGTGGGGGTACAGTGTTCTCTGAGGCAGCCACCTTCTCCTGTGCTTGATCTCGAATGGATCCTGCTACGGGCTCGTCTATATCTGCTCTTTGCGCCACGGGCTCTCGCTCTTGCGCTGCTGCAGCCTGCACCTGCTCGATGGGAACCTCCTGGGCGATATCCTCCCAGCTCTTTCCTGCAGCACGCAGCTCTTGCACTCTTTGGACCTGTTGAGGAGTGAGCGGAGCGGCGGTGGGTGTCATGTCCTTCAGTATTTGCTGTTGCTCCGGTGGAAGTTGTTGCACGAACTTGGCAATGTCTCCAATACCCTTGCCCTCCTGGAACATCTGGAGAATCTTTTGCGTTGGGTCTTGCCCTCCCAATGGCGACTGTGTGGAAGCTTCATCGGTTGTCCTTGCGCCTTCTACTGGCGAAGAAGCAGAATGCCCGACACCCGCAGCAGCTGCAGATGCTGCTCCCGCTCCGCTGGGTGTGGCAGCGGCAGGCTTGCCGAAGTTGATGCCATCTTTTGGCTTCCACGTCTGATCCTTGGGAGCCGCAGTTCCTGGCGAAGTCTGTCGTGCTTGGCCAGTCGCGGGCGTGAAGCCTTTTGGTGGCGGAGGTCTGGCAGGTCTACTCCCCGACGGCGGTGGAGGCGGGCGTGATGGTTTCGATGCGTATGTGCGGATGCGCAAGGCCGAGGGCGATGTTGTCAATGCGCCATGTCGAATGTGTGCCGGTTTCGAGGCCCGCAGAGCTGCTCGAGGCAGCATTTTTATCCGGTGGCCGCTGATGCTCCTATCGCACGCAGCTATCGCCAGTCAAGGGAAGCTGAGACTGAGTGTGAATCTGGGCGATGAAAATAAGAAGCGACAGTGGGTGGATGGATGCTCTACAGCATAGGTAGTGGGTATGTTCGCGCGGGAGATGTTTCCTGCTGCACGCGGCGTCTTTCCCGCGGTGCTTCGGCCGGGCGATGATGTCGTTTTGTGAACACCTGGCGCACACCCACCACTCTCCTCCCCTCGCTCACTTCTCACGCCTCTTGGACGACAGGACACGAGTGCATTCTTGCTGCTCCATATTATGCCGCACAACGAGACCGGCTCGTGACGACGGCGACATCCCCACAACCGCCACCACCCTCCTCTCCGCCGACGCAGCAGCCAAATGACGGCTGATGCGGTGGACTGCACTCCGGCCACTCCCCTCGGCCTCGCACGCGACCGGCACGACGACATGGCCCATGGTGCTCGCCGTGCTGCTATGCGCCTGGTGCGCCGCAGTCGCCAATGGCATGACCGATGACCAAGTCTCACACCTCCGCCGCGACACTCAAAATCTGTTCTATCATGGCTTTGACAATTATATGCGCCATGCTTTCCCCGAGGATGAGCTTCGACCCATCTCATGTCGTCCGCAGACTCGCAATCGCCACGACCCTCGCGACATCGGTCTCAACGACGTCCTCGGCAACTACAGTCTGACCCTCATCGATTCTCTATCCACTCTCGCCATCCTCGCTTCCGGCCCACAGGACAAGAAAGACAGGCACAACCCGCTGCGTGACTTCCAGGACGGAGTCAAGAGCTTGGTGGAATTGTATGGAGACGGCACTGAGTCGGGCAGGTGCGGCACGCGAGCATGTGGCTTCGATCTGGACTCCAAAGTCCAGGTATTCGAAACCAACATTCGCGGCGTGGGCGGCTTGTTGTCTGCCCATCTTTTCGCGCAAGGCGATCTGCCCATCGCGGGATACAACCCAGTCTGGAAGGCTGGCAGAAATGCCGGCATCAAGTGGAAGAACGGTCTCAGATATAATGGTCAGCTGCTCCGTCTGGCTCAGGATCTAGCCGAGCGACTTCTTCCCGCTTTCAGTACGCCCACCGACATTCCCTATCCGAGAGTAAATCTGCGCCATGGAATCCCCTTCTACCAGGACGCAGAGTCGGGCTTCTGCCGTGCTGACGGGACCTCCACCGATCCACGTGAGATTACCGAAAATTGCTCAGCGGGCGCCGGCAGTCTGGTCCTAGAGTTTACTGCGCTCAGTCGCATGACGGGAGATCCACGCTTCGAGGACGCAGCGAAGAAAGCGTTCTGGGCGATTTGGGATCGGAGATCCAGCATCGATCTGCTCGGCAATGGTATTGATGCAGAGACAGGCCAGTGGACTCGCCCTGCGCTTTCTGGCATCGGAGCTGGCATTGACTCGTTCTTCGAGTACTCCCTCAAATCCCATATCCTGCTCTCGAACTTACCCTACGACCCACGCAACTACTCGACTGAGTCGCCGGAGAGTTTCCTGGGCGTATGGCAGCAAGCTCACGCGAGTGTGAAACGTCACATCTATAGAAATCCACGAATGGTGAAGCATCCATTCTACGCCCAGGTCGATCCAGATACAGGCGGTGAGCGCCACAATTGGGTGGACAACCTCTCTGCCTATTATCCAGGGCTACTCGTACTCGCCGGCGAGCTCGATGAGGCCACCGAGTCGCACCTGCTGTGGAGTGCATTGTGGACCAAATTCGGCGCACTTCCTGAACGCTGGCCAGTCGGGAGCAACTATCTCGAACCACATTTCAAGCACTGGGCAGGACGTCCGGAGTTCATCGAGAGCACTTTTCATCTCCATCAAGCCACCAAAGATCCTTACTATCTCCATGTGGGTGAGATGGCACTGCGCAACATCAGAATGCGATGCTGGACCAAGTGCGGTTGGGCGGACCTTGGTGATGTGAGAACGGGTGAACAACGAGACCGCATGGAAAGCTTTTTTCTCGGGGAAACCGCCAAGTACCTGTACCTGCTTTTTACAGCAGATCATCCTCTCAACAGACTTGACTCACCCATAGTCTTCACGACCGAGGGCCACCCTCTCATCATTCCAAATGATGTGAGGATTTCTGATCAGGAGCATCCATTCAAGGTTGCCAACAGACGCAATGAACGCGCGATGTCGGCGCCTGCGCCCACATGCGCTGTTGCACCGACCTCATTGCCACTCACGGTCAGCAACACAGCAAACAGGGGAGATTTGTTCCACGCCGCAGCACTCGCTCAACTTCACACGGAGCGTATTCCACCCAGCCATCAGTCTTCTCGCTTGGAGCGTCCTTCGAAAAATAGCCCAGGCATATCATTGGCAGATGTGCAAAGCCCCACCAATTACACTTTCCATCCATGGACTCTACCCCAATCTCTCGTCCCCGCGAAAGGCCTGTCGTCGCCCATCATCAATCCGATTGTCAGTACCTTGACCTTCCCTACCTTAGGCAGCTCTGCTGCTGAAGTGGAGAAGGGACAGATGCCTTTCAACGCAGTGCAGAAGGTCGAACTCGGAGTTCTCATCAACTCCCTCTCCAACATGCGCATTGGCATGGTCCAGCAGCCGAGGAGTGTGCTGCTCCCTGATGGTCATGGTGTGCTCGTAGAGAGCATCATGGGTGACGAGTATCGGATCAACACCATTGGCAACTTCGCTCTTGGCAAGGATGAAAGAGTGCTATTGACGAGTACGGCACTAAAAGATGTCAGCCCTGCGGATCCTCACTTTACGAGACAGCGAGACCTGGAGATGATCGACCTCATTGTCGACGTGCCGACCTGGGTTGACGACAGGGACGCGATGGACGTGGAGCTATCAGAGAACGGCACCCTAGATGCACTGTGGGATGAGCTTGACAACATGTTGAATAAGCTCCTCCCAGGATCTGGCTCTGACTACAAGCTGTCCGACAAGCTTCGTGGGAATACAAGGACTGACGGCGTGCCTTCAGTGTTGAGGTACGCAATTCCCGCCATTCTACCTACGGGTCCCGGAGCAAGTGCCCCAGAGTCTGAGATGGACGTGGATGTCATCACTACCACCCTTGGTAATTTGCCGCAAAAGTCTGTATTCTTCCTCGATGACACTTTGTGTGACAACAGACTGCCTATCAATGTCGCCCGGCAGTATCAGGTTCTCGTTGTCATGCGAGGTGGATGCTCCTTCAACGACAAACTCGCGAACATACCCTCATTCGTGCCCTCTCCCGATGCACTACAGCTAGTCATCGTCGTGAGTGGGCTGACTGCCAACGAGAACGATATTGGCCATCAGGGTGAACATGGTCTGATCAGACCTCTGCTCGACCAGATTCAGCGCATGCCTTCTGGCATCGTTCGACCGCACCCTATAGCAATGTGCATGCTAGACGGGACAACTGTGCCAACGATACCGCGCAACAGGGCCGCTGCTAACGACGATGGAAAGGAGCTCGACGCTCTTGCGTTGCTTGATCTTGTTGCTACTGGAAAAGGTACTTTCGATGATCGCGGACAATTCCAGAGACTTCCTGCTGCCAACGGGAAAGGCAGTTCGGGCGGGGGCATTGGAGTGAAGAGGCGATATTGGTTCGAGAGTCTTGGCGTACCGATTGGCAATTTGATGATGTTGTAGCTTGACGATTCCATATTGCCTTCTGGGAAGTCCAGAGACTCGTATGGGACTGACGCGAGCGACATTTGAGAGCTTGCGATATTCGTGAGCGCGTTGCGAACAGAACATCGTGATTGATCTATTTGGTCTCACACGACTGCAAATACAGGAATAGAGGTGGACCAGGGCCCATTGATCTTCACTTGTACATATTTTGCAAGAAGGTACGGATTATATCGGTTGGACCATGTCTCCCGTGGCCACACAGCAGGTGACTGGCAGATGCTATTCCATTCTTCGGATAGAGAATCGTCGCTTCACCAGGAACAAAGCACATCGTGCTTGTCACCTGCGCACTCCGCACAATCCGCAAAATCCGCTTCGCCCCAGACTGGTCGGCCCATAGCTCTCTGTCAGCATCTCGTGTGGACTCCCGACAGCAATGCCGAAACCGCCGCTTTGGTAGTTTGTGACCGACCGAGCGAGCGGCTCTCGCAAGCTCCGTTTAGCTTTCTGCCAAGTCTCGTGGCTTGAACGCCTCTTGCTCAAAGTACGCTTTACGCCTCGGCTTGCCCTGCGGTGAGTCAAGGTTCCTTCAAGCGCAAAAATAAGAGTGCAAACTTTCGAGCTTCTTGTGACGTTGTGATGTTTTGCCATGTGCATGGAATCGTCACTGAAAGCACAGAAGGAATGTAATGGGGAGTCTAGAACGTGAGAGATGGTAGCACGACAGTAGGTGAGGGGAGGGGGATCGGTAGGTACTTGGCATGCATGTGGTCGACAGCGGAAGCAGGAAGGACATGACGGGTCTTGACGGACATTCGTCTGTATGCACCCCAGAGGATCTACGATGCTACGATGTGTCCGGGGGCCTCCGGTGCTTCTTGTCCCTTTGTGGTAAGTTCTCCTTGCGTAAGGGAATCTTGGCGGTTTGTATCGTGTTCCTAAATGAGTATGTGGACGAGAGCCTCAACCATTCCCGCAGGCATGCCAATAGATATCATGTAACGCCTCAGTGGACATCACTGTGACTAGCAGATGTCGAATCGCATCGTGTCGTATTTCTCGGAACCGGAAATCGATTGGCAGTCTGTTTCCACGTGGCAAATCTGCAGTGCAACGTGCTTCGCAACCACCACATGGGCGTGTCCACACTTTCTGCATTCGTTCTGCGATTGCCCTTGGTTCGGGTATTTCTTGGCGAGCAGGGGCAGAGTGACAGGTTCTCCGCGATTCCCCTCATTCGTTTCTCCACACATTCTTTTAGCCCTGAGTCGTGTTTCTCTTCAACCCCAATCCCCAAGTTCTGCTAAGACGTAGCTTGTTGTGCACAAGCGAGCCCCGGCAGATCATTCTGCCTGCACAGTCGTTGTACCACTTACGAGCAAATGCGAGCTGTCGTGCAGCTCACTTACACCTCTCGCGTGCAGCTGTCGCCCACCAGCCGCCCGCCGCCGCCTGTCAGCAAGCCTACGGCGCCACATTCGCACTTGTCCTCTCGCCTATTATGCACGCTTTGCGCTCGCGTGGCCAGCGAGCCAAGCACGGGGGTCTTACCAGGATCTGTTGGGGAAGTGTCTCACTTTCTGGGCATTCCTCCTTTCAACTGGGGCTTCCACCGAGGCTTGTTGTGCATCACAGATTTGGGAATCGGGATACACAAAGATTCGTAGATTCCCCACCATTTTCCTGTTTTCTGTTCTCCAGCTTCGCTCGGGGCCTGTTTCTCTCTATCATATTTGGGGTTGTTATCTTCACCTCTATCTTGGGCAGCTGAAGCTTTTGTCAGCAGCATAGCTTAAGCTACCTTCCTTTCAGCTGGGAGCAACTCAAAGCGAACACAAGCGCTCTTGTGCAACGGCACAGTCCAATCTCAACATGGCTACGCAACGCCCATCCTCATCCCCAAGCAATAGCAATCACATCAACGAGAAAGATGGCCTTTACGGCATTCAGCTCGAAAACGCCCCCAGCGATGACCACGAGAAGCAGCAGATCATCAACGAGAAGAATGCACGACTACGAGAAATCGAGAGCGAATTTACTCCCGAAGAGCAGAGAAAGATCATACACAGAATCGATCGCCGCCTCATCATCACCGTTGGTGTCATGTACTGTGTCAGTCTGATGGATCGCACGAATTTGTCGGCGGCGGCTATTGCGGGAATGACGACGGATCTGGTATGTTGTCGATGTGGAGTCTTCGTACTGCGGGGAAGAGGGACTATTTTGCTGACGTGTCTGCTGTGTGATTGCTTCAGGTCCTCGTGGGATTTCGATATGTAAGTTGCTGAGGCGATGCCATTCGGAAAGGGAAAGAGGATTCTGACTTTGGCGTAGTCTATTATCACCCTAGTGTTCTTCATCAGCTATGTCCTGTTCCAGCCGCCGGCGACTGTGCTTTGCAAAAAGATTGGGCCAAAGAATTTTCTGGGTGCTATCTGTTTCCTTTGGGGATGTAAGTGTCATCTGGTCTTGGGAGGGAGCGAGCAAACCGCCTGTGGAGACAGGGTTTGGGAAGATAGTAGAATGAATGCTGACTGTGAATTAGGTGTCATGATCGGTATGGGTTTCGCACCAGCCTGGGATGTTCTGGCAGGTCTGCGAGTCGTGCTAGGATTGTTTGAAGCTGGTCAGTACCCAAGATTCAATTTTCGAATTACATGTCTGACACACTTCATCCAGGCTTCTTCCCCGCTTGCGTGTATCTGCTGAGCACGTGGTACGTGCGATGTAAGTTCATACTCGAGTTCCAGCTTCATGGATAGTGTATTGATTACCATGCTTTCCAGATGAAATGGGCAAGAGATACTCCTTCTTCTACCTCATTGGCATGTTCGCCTCGGCGGCTTCCGGTATCTTGGCCTACGGGTTGATGCAGATGGCAGGGTAAGTAAATATCAGGTCGGATTACACAGGGCGGCGCTGACGAAGAAAACAGCTTGGCCGATCTCAATGGATGGAGATGGATCGTAAGTCCCAGTGTTCGGTTTTCTTCGCCATCTGAGGTTTACTGACATTTTTCGTAGTTCATCATGGAAGGCATTCTCACTGTCATAATTGCCGTCGTTGGCTGGTTCTTCCTCGTGCCTTTCCCAGACGACCACCCGGAAAAGAGCTGGAACTTCCTCAATGAGCGTGAAGTGGCCTGGGTCATCGCCCGCGTCGAAGCCGATCGTGCAGACACTGTGACCGAACCCTTCAACCTGGTCAAGTTCCTCAAGCCTGCCTCTGATCCGAAGGTTTGGGGCTTTGCAATGATCTTCTGTTGTCTCACCACCATCACCGTAAGTTCAAGCACCCGTGATTCTTCGAGCTGTCTCTAACGTTGTATTCAGTACGCCCTCGCATACTTCTTGCCCATCATTCTCCGCAATGGAATGGGCTTCTCGGTAGGCGAGGCGCAATGTCTTGTCACCCCACCTTACGCTTTTGCCGGCATTGTGATGTTGATCTGTGGCTGGGCAGGCGACAAGTACAAGATGCGTGGACCTATCCTCTGCGCTAACGCCGTCTTGTGCATCATTGGTCTCGCCCTTATTGGTTGGACCAAGATCCTGGGAGTCCGATATTTCGGTGTCTTCTTGACTTGTGCCGGCGCGAATGCAAACATCCCTATCTGCATGAGTTATCAAGGAAACAACATCAGAGGCCAATGGAAGCGAGCTTTCTGCTCTGCGACTCTCGTCGGATTTGGTGGTATTGGAGGTATTGCAGGCTCACTCGTGTTCCGCACACAAGACGCACCAGCATACCTGCCTGGCCTATGGGCTTGTATGACGGCCTGCCTGATCATCATCGTGACTGTCGGGCTCCTGGACACGTGGTTCATTGCTCAGAACAAGAAGGCTGACCGAGGCGAGGTCATCCTGGAAGGAGAGGCAAGTGTTTCAGCTGAATCGAGAAACTTGTGAATCCTCATACTAACGTCCACACTTGCAGTCTACATTCCGATATACCATCTGAGCAAGGACCTCTGGAACGAAATTTGACGAAGACGATGACAAATGAGACAATAGTGTACAGTCTTGTCTATACTTATGAGATATGCAGAAATGAATACGTACTACTGCATTTCCAGCTCTGTCGCCTCGTTCAGTCTGCATTCATCGGATTCGGCTTTTGAGCTCCGGCGCTGGGCGTTTGTGGGCAACAATCTGTCAGTGAGCTGCAACGACCCGCAGTATCTGCTCCACGCTGGTGGGTCAGAGACCTTGGATTCCAGACTCCAGCCTTCCACTTGAGGCCTACGATGTCGAGTCTGCTCGTGGTCCTCGAAAAGCTGACTTGTGCGCAGTCCCATCGCTAGACAGAACACGAAACTGGCTCCGTGAAATCACTTCATGTTCGGATCCTTCGAGATATCATCCAAGAATCCTTCCAATCCAAATGCTAGAAGACATTTCTCCACCAGCGGCAATGGCTCTTTCGCAGAGTTGCAAAGCCAAGAGAGCCGGGTACTCCACGCGGGACCCCAGAGAACGATGTGGAGGACATCTTGGTATATCAATGCCAATGCGACTCTTGAGCCAGCCAAGCTGGGATGCCCAGATGCGGCGAGCGAGAATTGTGATTTGAAGCCGGTACGTGTCGGCGCGAAGCGCGGTGATCCCAAAGTTGAGAAATTCTGGTTGTTGATCTGAGCAGAACTGAGAGTGAGTACTCTTCTTTATGCGACTCCGCGTAGTCCTCGATCAAGGTTCCCGAACATCGATTTGGCCTGCAGACCATGCGTGCAGCCTCCACAGTCTTCACTGCAACCTCGAAAGTTCCACCATCTGCGGAGGGTGTTCGAACCAAATCGGCCAAGATCGACTTGCTTGTCCAATTTCTAGCTTCTGGGCGTCACCTTCCATTCGTGGAGTAACTCCATTCCTAACTTCTTGGCTTCCCTCGCCCAGAATCGCCAATGCGACGTCCAAGACCAGGTTTAGCCAAAAGATTTACTAGAGAAGAGCGTTGTAATTGGTGCAAACATGTCGAATAAGCTCTTTCTGGGATGCAAAACGCACGCCACCAAGCTGCACATGGGCAGCGCATGTGAGTGCGGCAAGGGGAGCTGGTATGGACCCATTGTTGGGGCCGATAGATTGTTTTGATTAGCTCCTTGCTTTGCTAACGGGCATTGACGAGGTTGATCTTCGCCTCGTGTGGTATAAGATATAGTTCACCACGACCCACGCTGCTTCTCCTCGTGTGCTTTGGATGCAGGTCCGCTTTTGCTTCTGCTAGGACATTTGCTGTGACTGCAGGTTTGGATACACCATTGGGGTGTCTTGCAACGATGAAGATCCCAAAGACGTATAACACTTACTTCGTGGCCTTCGTGGCCACGGTGGGTGGCATGTTGTTTGGCTTCGACATCTCATCTATGAGGTCAGTTGAATATTACGTGGCATCCATTTGCCGGGAGTATGCGAATGCATGCTGACTCTGGGACACAGTGCCATCATCGGAACGAATCAGTACAAAGACTACTTCAACAACCCAGCGGGAATTATACAAGGAGCGATCGGATCTGCACTTGCTGCCGGATCCGTTGTCGGCTCGATCATTGCTGGTCCAATATCTGACTGGCTTGGGAGGAAGAATGCGATTTTCATTGCTGCCTTGTTCTGGTTGGCCGGAACAGCTGTGCAAACTGCCACTAATGGCTTCGGTTCCCTCGTCGCTGGCCGTGTCATCAACGGTATCACTGTTGGTATCACCTCTTCGCAGGTTCCGGTGTACTTGGCCGAGATTGCAAGGAAAGAGAAGCGTGGATCCTTGATTATTATTCAGCAACTGGCAATTGGTAAGTTCAGCATGAATGTTGTGACACATGAGTTGTATGGCTGACATTGGACGGCTTGCAGAATGGGGTATCCTCATCATGTACTTCATCGGCTATGGCTGCAGCTTCATTCCTGGCGACGCCTCTTTCCGCATTGCCTGGAGCATGCAATTCGTCCCATGCGTGTTCCTCCTAGCTGGTCTGCCCTTCCTGCCGGAGAGTCCCCGTTGGTTGGCCAAGAAAGATCGAGGCGCAGAAGCCATCCATGTCTTGTCGAAGATTCAAGCAGGAGGCAACAAGGATGATCCGCTCGTGGTGGCTGAATGGGAAGAAATCACTGCGACTCTCGCTGCTGAACGTGCCGCTGCGAAGGGCTGGAGGAAATTCGTCTACAATGGCATGTGGAAGAGAACGTTGGCAGGATTCACTGTTCAGATGTGGCAGCAGAACAGCGGTGCCAACGTCATGACTGTAAGTTGGCGCCCGTGGAAAGCTCCAATACTCGACTGACATGCTCGCAGTACTATGTCGTGTACATCTTCCAGATGGCCGGCTTGACTGGAAACATCAACCTCATCGCCTCCGGAGTCCAATATGCACTCTTCATCGTCTTCACCACAGTTATGTTCTTCTACATCGACAAGACTGGCCGTCGACCACTTCTCATCTACGGTGCTCTGGCCATGGGATTCTGCCATTTCGTCGTTGGTGGGATCTTGTCTTCTGCAGAATATGTCCCTGGAGGTGTCGACAACAACCCCAATGTATTGATTCGTGTCACTGGTCCAAAGGCAAACACGGTCATCGCATTCTGCTACCTCCTCATCATCATCTATGCTCTTACGCTGGCACCAGTCTGCTGGATTTATGCCGCTGAGGTCTGGTCGCTGGAAACCCGCGCCACAGGTATGGGTATCGCATCGCTCGGAAACTGGCTCTTCAACTTTGCGCTTGGCCTCTACATCCCACCTGGGTTCATCAACATTCGGTGGGGCATGTTCATCGTGTTTGGTGCTATGTGTGTTTTGGCTGCAATACAGTTCTTCTTCACATACCCAGAGACGGCAAACAAGTCGCTGGAGGAGATCGAGGAAATGTTTGCGCCTGGAGGACCGAAGCCATGGCATACCAAGCCTGGAGAGTCGAAGCTTGATATGTTGATCAATGAGGCTGCTGAGAAGCGTTTGACGATGGCGGATGCGCAGGACACTGACATGAACGCGAAGAGGTTGGGCAGTGTTCATTCCGAGAGTGTGCGGGCTGAGAAGGTCTAGAATGTGTTTTCAACCGGTATTCGAGCTGCACACTGAAAGATGTCCCAGACTTCGAGCTAGAAGAGCATTGGCATATGTCTACAGCCCAAACGTCTTCTGCGATTGCCTTCCGACAATTATATCACTCATCGTATTCGCTAGATGCTCTATGCATACTACTCAGGTAGAATCATGAGGCAATGAAGACTCAACGTGGATGTCCATGACAGCCCACTGTCGCTGCGAGAGAATTGTGAGGCCTGGTCGGGTGCATACGTAGCGTGAACAATTGCCATGCGAGAGTGAAGTCTGAAGTCTGAAGTCTGTCCCGGGTGTTCGCGCCTGAGGCAACTGGAGGCATTGGCATTGTCACGAGTGGACGTGGCAAGGACGCGGCACACTGTACGCGACACCCCAGCAAGCACCCACAACACCGTCGCCGCCACGCCACGCTGTCTCTCCGCTGCATCCGCCGCACACATGCTCGTCTCGTCAGCGAGACGATGGCGCAGAGCCCCGTAATCATACCCTCATCCTCGCCGCCGCCCTTTCGTCTGCCCTCCGAAACGCCGCCCCAACCAGCCCGCCCCACCGAGTCCTCCTCTCCCGGCCTGCCAAGTCCGTCCTCGTTCTTCCCCAAGTCAGCAGCTGGTCTGCAGGAGAAGGCCAAGGCATCGAAGGATGTTACAGGCAATAGTAAGGGCTTTCAAAGCGCGGCGAGTCTGCCAAAGTCGAATTACTTTCAAGATCATGCCGCTCTGGACAAGACCTCGACATCGGCGAGACCCAACAAGGCCAAGATAGTTTCTCGGGCACGCGATAGACCAGGCGTGTCCGACAGCGTCGGTAAGGTCGCGACAGGTCTCGGGGAGGCGAGAGCGTTGTCCGCGAAGACACCTCGTGGCGTAGCAGCCAGGAGCCCATTACAATCGTTCGTCCATCGACGGCCCTCGAGAGAACGACAGAGTGGTCCGAGTTCTGCGAGAGGTTCCTTCAGCCTTGCAGCATCTGGCACAGAACAAGACAAGCAACGATCAAGGACGCCTAGCATTTCGCTCTCAGTGTATAGCTTCGATGGCGGTATCCAAGAGGACGCGCACGAGTTGCCTTTTGTGAGAGAAGTGGCCAAGCCCCCACTGCAAGGTCTGGACAACGATACTAATGCGCCCGATGACTGCGCATCTGCTCAGCAGTACAAGGCTGGAGTGCGTTTGGATTCAATTGAGACGATCAAGCAGCCACGCAAACGCTCTGCGAAGACGTCCGAGGCTACTGCTGCGCCGGCAAAGAAAGCGCATGCTAAACGTGCCCCCAAATCAAAATCTGGCGGCGACGCACCCAGTAGACAGTCGCGGAAGCCATTGGCCAAGTCAGCATCATTTGTACTGAACTCGGATGACCTTGCCTCGACACAATTCGCAGGCCTCGATGCTACGCAGGTACAGGGTCGCAGACCTCCTGAATTGGATAAGTCCAAAACCGAGAAGTTACCCACAGAAAAGCCAAAGCGAGCACCGAGGAAACCCAAGAAAGCAGTGCAGCCAAGTGGTGACCCCGGTCCTGGCCTTGATAAACGTACGGACAGTATGACTGGTAGTGAATCTACTTATTTCGCCAAACCTCCTATAGCTGCTGATGATTCGGCAATGGAACTGGGCGTACCAGTCGCGGATCCAATATTGTCTGAGGAACGGGCTGATCAGCCAGCACAAGCACACCGCCGCAGACGCAGCTGGACTCCAGTGAAAGACACTTTGCCACAGCCGCGTGGTGGTGAAACGAGTTCGGTACTGACGAACGTAGAAGGCCGCGAAGGACCTGCTACTTCGCTCAATGCAATTCTGGGCGATCTTGCATACTCCAGAAAAGATCTACCTGTCCCTCAGCGGACTGCATCTGGAGAGAGCCTGCTCAAAAGGCGCAAGATCGAGCTCGCCGATGAGGCAACAGTCGCGCCAAGGGCCAGGAAAGATAGCGAAGTTGTGAAAGATGCCCCCGCGGAGAAGACAAAGAAAGGCAAGGTGCCCAAGAAGAAAGCACAGACGATTACCGAGCTCGCCACCAAAGCCTACCGGCCTGAGGATATCCCACAAGCTGCGCAGGCTACAGTCTCGTCCTTTTTTGCGGCAACCGGACACGGCGATGCGGGTCTTGCTGTAACGATTACGGCAGATACTGCGAAACCGCCAGCTGTGTCGTCGAAAAAGCCTCGCAAACCACGATCGAAGAAGTTGGAAGATGGAGCCCCGCCAGTCGATCAGCCGAAGAAAACTGTCAATTCAAAGGCGAAAGTGAAAGTCCGGTTTAATGAGGATGACTTGTATGGCGAGCTTTATTCTCCCGAGAAAGCACGACTTGGGGAAAATCGCCAGAATTTCCTATTTGGCACATCGAGCCAGCTGGGCACCGAGGACTCACCAACATTCGTTCGACAGATGCAGCGTGCGCTGCAGGAATCAGAAATAGCTGCAACTGAAGGGGATGTTGGGAGTCCTTCGCGAAGGAGCTTCATCAGGGTCCCAACCGCGCCGCATGGGACCTCCTTGTCTTGCGGTCAAGCGATGCGCGATCTGTGGCGATCCGCCGCAAGGAATTTTGAGGACGACCTACTGCCTGCAGAGGCACGATCAGCCAGGATACGTGAGGCATCTGGTTCGGAAATAGTGGCGGGAGTTCGCTTGGCCACCAGCCTCGAAGCCGACCTGGAACCGACCGGACACAATAACCCGACGTTACTGCAGACGACCGATTCAGTCGATGGAAGCGAAACAAGCGAGAGGCAGCATGACCTTGTCGATTTGTGCTGCACATCGCCCATTGATCCTCTGGGCACAGCGCATGGGGTGGACGAGCGATCGAAGCACAAGCCGGGGCTGAGTGCTACATGTACAGATACCAATGAACCATCGGCCTTCGTCGATCAAGCGCCTGGGTCTGATGATTGGAAGGTGCTTGGCTCTAGCCCAGAGTCTCCACGCCCCAAACAAGGACTCACGACAGAAGCGCCAATCCTGAGGTTTCCACCCCAGCTCAAGCGAGCAGCAACCTCGCCCTTTCGGGACCGGACAGCTCTGCAAGCACTAGACGTCAATACCTCACCGCGTAGAGCCCTTCTCCATACTGGACTGGCATCGACAACTCGGGATCCAGTGCACAAAAAGCCACGTGGTAGGCCTCGAAAGGACACAGGAAAGGATGAAGGCGTTCAAAGATCGCCTAAGCGAGGATTGGACACGGCAACCAGAGTCACACCCGGCCAGGCTAAGCAGACAAAGACGTTCTCAGCGTCGCAACCTATCTGCAGTTCGGATTTTGTCAATATAGATGAGATCTCAGACCCAGACGCTCCGACTACGCCTTCCCCACCTCGGCGGCGAGCTACGTCCAGCCCACCAACCGTGCGGCCTCTGGATCTGAAAGCGGTCGCTTCCCCTTCGGTGATTGCAAGAGCAAAGTCAAAAGGATTGGAGCCGAAGGACACCGATAGTGCAGCAACAGTTTGGTCAAAGCTGAAGCCAGAGGATGCTTCGTGGACGAACGTTATGCCCGAGCTCTTTCCTCAAATCACAGCAACTATCAAGTCTACCGCACCAAGTACCGATCTCGCACATTCGACGTGGTACGAGAAGATATTGCTCTACGATCCGATTGTCTTGGAAGACCTGACGGCCTGGCTGAACGACAGAGGGGTACGAGTCGAGAGCAGAAGATTGAAGCCGAAACCAAGACTTAAAGGGCGCAAAAAGAAGCAGGATCAGCATGCCTTGAATAAAGATGATACTACGCCTACGGAAGACGAATATGAACTTGTACGGGAGCCACTAAAGCCTTGGATGGTTCAGAAGTGGTGTGAAGATAAGAGCGTCTGCTGCCTTTGGAAAGAAGGCTTGCGAGGAGGCGTTAGAACCAGGTACTGATCAATAAGATCTCGTGAACAAGGCACTCAATGGCCAATGTGCTTCGCCGCCTGTCATTTCACAGCGCTTGTCGCTCTGCGCCTGGAAGAATACGACTTTGAGGACTTCGCCGTGCCAGCTGATGTGCATACAGCCAGTGCGCGGCCCTCTCCGATAGCGAGATTGAGGAGAGCGGCGGGAAGCTTGAATCCGAATGCAAGTCACTGATCGCCTGGAGGTCGAGAAGTGTCTAGTTCCGCCTGCAGCAAGTGTACCCGTCAGCCCTGCACAGTGCTAATGTTGCCTGAGGTTTCAAGGCCGCGGTAAAGTCGGCGTGAGTGAATCGGACAAGACCCCAGAAAAGGTCAAGCCGGAGCCCACCCTGTTCGGACGAGATTTCTCGCAATTGGACTGATATCATTGGTCCACTTTCTTATCTTTGCCGCGTGTCCTGGTTCTCCTGTGCTCCCAAAGACCGAATTCAACACGCGAGCCGACACAACGTGGCGTGCACGCGACCAGATCTACAGTACATACTCGAATTAAAGCTCAAAGCCAAGACTTCCAAGCAAGGCTTGACTACTCAGATGAACAACGCAACAGTCCAATACTGATGAACTCACAGTTCGCATGAATCAGACCGCTTGAATTGCTGTCCGAGACAGTCATTCTTTCCTTCGTCAGCGGTCCATCTTCTGAAGTTTGTATAATTCAGATTTCGGGGAGAGAAATGTCTGTCGTAGATTCGTTATCAGAAGTGGGCACCAGAAACCGATACGGGAAGATACTCGGCGATATGTGGCGCCGAACATCTGTCGCGCGTGCAGATGTGCGAGGTTGAAGTATCTGACGCACCTCGATCCGGTGTCACTCGGTTTCCTCTTTCTCTCTCCAAGCTTCCTCCATTCTGTGGGATCCCAGACTCTTTTTGCTGGCATTTGCTTGCCAGGCCGGAGTAAACTTCTTCGTGAAGCCGGACCAACCGAAGTTGCAGCTACACATTCTCACCTCACGCCATTAACTTGGACGGAGTTTTGAATGTGCTATCAAAATGGCATATCAATACGATCAAGATGTGGAGAAAACAGGAGGCATCGTTGGAACAGGCAGCTCTCACAGCAGCGCGCAGAAGAGACCGAGCAATCAATACGAAGACGGAGCTGTACCGGGCGAAAGTTTTGAATATGGCAACGGCTGGTATGCGAAAGTGCAGCGCTTCGCAGGGAAGTTGAACGTCGAACAACGCGGGATCGAACGAGTGCCCGAGGATGAACGAACGGATGATGGGTTCAAGGCGTTGTTGAATGTGTCGACGATGGTACGCATACCATGACTCTTCAAGGAGTGCCTTGAACAGGCAATGAAGAAGCACCAGTATCTGACGATTGTGCTACAGTGGCTGTCGGCAAATATGGTCGTCTCGTCTTTCGCAATTGGAATTCTGGCCAAGTCGTTGTTCTTCCTTGGAGTCGCAGATGCAATGCTTGTTTGCATCTTCTTCAACCTCATCGGTATCACGCCCGTCTGTTTCTTTTCCACGTTCGGACCCAAATTTGGCCTCCGACAAATGGTACTTTCGAGATTCTGGTTCGGCTGGTGGGGTGTCAAGCTCATTGCCGTGTTCAACGTGCTCGCATGCATAGGGTGGTCTTCGGTTAACTCGATCGTCGGAGCGCAACTCATCAACACGGTCAATCCGTCCGTTCCTGGCTTCGCTGGGATCCTCATCATTGCGTTCTGCACTTTCATAGTGTGTACGTTCGGCTATAAGGTTGTCCACGCTTACGAATTTTACTCCTGGATTCCCGCAACAATTATCTTCCTCATTGTTCTTGGACTCTTCGCCCACAGCGGCGACTTCGTGGACATCCCTTGGGAGACCGGCAAATCGGAAATGGGAAACGTCCTTTCCTTTGGAGCGACAGTCTATGGCTTCGCAACAGGTTGGACATCTTACGCAGCAGACTACACCGTCTACCAACCCTCCACCCAATCCCGCCGCAAAGTCTTCTTCTGGACCTGGCTCGGTCTGATCGTCCCCCTCCTCTTCACCGAACTCCTCGCAATCGCCATCATGAGCGCAACATCCCTCAACAACGGCGACAACCGCTACGCCTCCGGCTACGAAACCTCAGGAACTGGCGGTCTCCTCGGTGCAGTTCTGATCTTTCACACAGGAACCTTTGGCAAATTCTGCCTTGTCGTTTTGGCGTTATCAATCATCGCCAACAATTGTCCAAACATCTACTCCGTTGCCCTCACAGTCCAAGTCCTATCCCGCTACGCCCAGCGCGTCCCACGCTTCATCTGGACGGGCGTCGGAACAGGTGTATATATCGCGATCGCGATCCCGGGATACAGCCACTTCGAAACCGTATTGGAGAATTTCATGAATTTCATCGGATACTGGCTCGCCATCTACGAAGGCATCTCGTTGACGGAGCATTTTGTCTTCAAGCGAGGCTTCGGAGGTTACGTTCCTGAATTCTACGATCGTCCGGAGAAGTTGCCGCCCGGGTTCGCGGCTGTGGCAGCTTTTGTTTGTGGTGTTGCTGGTATGGTGACGGGGATGTCTCAGACGTGGTTCGTAGGTCCAATTGCACTGCATGCGGGCGAGGCGCCGTATGGAGGTGATGTTGGTTTCGAGCTGGGCTTTGCGTTTGCTGCTGCGTCCTATTTGGTCTTGAGGCCTGTCGAGTTGAAGTTCTTTGGAAGGTAGTACCCAGCAACGATTGCATTGCTGGCAGAGCTGTATCATCAGTGTGTCTAATAATGACTAAAGACGACGTTACGAATCGCTCACACTTCAAATCCTCTCCTCTAACGCTTCAACCTCACCTTGACACACTTTGAGACACTCTCGAACAGATGAACATTTCCACGTCCACTTCATACCAGATAATATGTAAAATACAAGAGACACTAAGTCTTTACATATTAAGATTTCTCGCTCCCGATTTTGCAATCCTACTTTCAAGATCAACCGTAATCGCCATATCAGTGTGACTCTCGCCTCTTGTCGTAGATATCCATCCCGGTCTGTATCCAAAGGATTTTCTTTTCCTCATCTAATATGAGACTCGAAGCGAAACCCATCACCCAGCTACTCATAAGCAGCATCCATTCGAAATAAGAGACGATCCGAGAAGTCCATGTAAAGACAAGCGGGGTGCGTTTATCGCACAAGGTCGTCGATAGAAATATGCGTGAGCAGTTCGGCCCTCCAAAACGTGGGCCGCGTTGTTGCAATCCGATGCCCCATAGGTGGCCAACGCCGTAAGTAAAACAGGAAAATGTAGGGACCTCCAAAAGATGTTACGCAATAAACATTATGCTTCCAGGGAAGGGCATGGGAAAAGAGATTCGCTCATCCTTTCTCTTTCTCCTTCCTCCTTGCAGTCGGGTAGCCAAAGTTGGCCGGATACCGAGACTACCGGTACGGATCGTAATCGCTCCCACTACTGGCGATGGAGGCCTTGTGTGCGTGGCCATTTGCTGTGGGTGGATGTGGCCCGCCATTTGCCGATGGAGCTTTGCTGTCGACCTGTGGAGGGTGGTCGTCAGTGGTGCCGTCGCCCCATTTTCCGGCCCAGCCAAACCAGCCTCCATTGCCTTTCTTGCCAGTCGGAGTGCCCTCGGTCTGTGCAGGTTGTGCAGAATCGCCCCGAGGTCCGAACTGTGGAACGGGAATCGTCAGGCTTTTGCCATCGACTGGCGACGCCCCATCGTCGTAGAAGGAATTCAGCTCATCCACGGCATCCAGATCCTGGAACTCACTCTTAGACGAAGGTCGAATGCGGACAGATTTGATGAGCTCTACCACGGCAGCAGTACAATTGCTCGCCGCGGCATCTAGCAGTGCAACAGGCGAGAGACCATGTGCTGCAGCGTGTTGTTTTGTAGCAGTAATGAGACTGTTCGCTGTGCCATTAACTCTGGCCTTGAGTTTGCCAACGCTAAGAGTCGGCGCACTAGATCCTGGAGAGAGTGGTGATGGCGCCGGAGAAGGATAGCCTTCGTCGCGCACAGCAGAAGTGATAGCCTGGATGCTGACCACGACCTGCTTGACGCTTTCCAGCATGTCGTCGGTGCTGTGCTGGCGTGCCACCTTGAGCAGCTCATCTACCGCCAACTGGAAGCTTGCGACATCCGTATCGCGGACCAGACCGCCTTCCGAGATGAGACCTTCTTGACGAACCAGACTGCCCGTATCGAGACCCGCATTTAGACCAAGCCCCATTGTCGAAGCGCGGAGGTGTTTGTTCTGGGCCTTGACCTTGGCATATCGTTGCCTCCAGCTCTCGTTGTCTTTCTGCAATTGGGCAATTTGTGCTGCCATCTTCTCCTCTTGCTCGACAGCCTCGTCGTGTTGTCTGCTGAGCTCGCGCATTTCCCTCAAGTACACCATGGCTTGGTCTTGGACTTCCTGATTGAGTTTCTGTTGTTTGCGGAGCTCTTCTTGCATTTCAGCCATTTGCTTCTCGTGCTCGGCGGAGCTCAGCTGGCTTCTGTTGTTCGACAATTGGTGTCGAAGTTCGTCAAGTTCCACCTGCAGCTGATGTAATGCTGCGGTGTCTTCGGCACCCTCTCGTAGCTGGAGTTGAAGCTTTCCATTCTCGTCGCTCTTGGCTGCGAGCTGTTCCTGAAGATCTTCAATTTGCTCTTGAAAGTCTTGCAAGTTGCGATCATGTTGATCGCGGATCTCGTCGTCATCCCGTGATCTCGATTTCAGCTCGGATATTTCCTGCTGGAGCGCATCGTTGAGATTCTGCGCCTCGGTGTGTTTCTGCTCCAGTCCTACTCGTGTCGTAGCCCATTCGCCGCGCTCGGCCTCTATGTCTGCAGTCTTCGCCAGCTCTTTGTCCTTGATGGCTAACTTGCTCTCGAGCGCTTCCAATTTCTCTTTCAATTCTGCAATCTCCTCTGCTTGAGCTTTCATGCGATCTCTGTCTTCCGCGCTCGTCGCCTTGCTATAACGATCGCTGATGCCTGGAGAGACATGGTCCAGTCCGAACTCGTCATCGTCCATATCGTCGTCTTCCACCATTGTGCTCTTATTGGGTACGATCGTATTGCTTGCGAACTGCTTGGGCAGAGGCCGCCCCAAGGACGCTGCTTCGCTCGGTCTGCGCTGGCCGGGTGCCATTGGGCCGTTGGGACCCGCAATATACGGCGCTCCTTGAGAAGCGCCCCTCGGTGGTGGAGGGCCGCCCATGCCCATTCCGTAGCCGGGTCCTGGCGGCCGCATCCCATTGATCGTGGGTGCACGACTCCGACTGCTGACGTTGCTAGCGCCGCTCATTGGTCGTGAAATGTCTCCGCCAACGAATCTCGGTATGCGTCGTTCGAGCTCGTAGAACACATCAGTTGCGAGTTGGCGGAAGCGTTCCGGAGGTAGTGTGCTGAGTTTCTGTCGCGCCTGATTCCGTTTCGGATGGAAATTCTGCTTGGGCAGCAGGAATCTGGGCACATTCTCCACGCGTTGTAACCTCTCGTCTTCTCTTCGAACCAGCTCGTCGTACACATCAGTGCTGAGTTCCATGAATTGCGTAACACTCAGTCGCAATAGCTTGTCCCGCGCTCTATTCGGTCTCACGTTGCCCTTCTCGTCTTGCAGACTGTCGGCCAAGTATGCCTTGAGTGCACCATAGTGTCTCGCCAATGCCTCTTCGCTACCCGGTGCTATCTGACTCCTGCTGCTGTCTCGATTCGGCGGTCTCGGGAGACCCATGCGCCCATCATTGGACATTCCTACGGAGCTCGCAGAAGAGGGCGGTCTCATGCTCGACCCGCTCGCGGAGGGACGCGACACGTCGGTCGAGCTGCTCGGGTGTTGCGAAGAAGGTGGCGAGGACTGCAGAGGTCGGGCGGCGCCATAGGGTCCTCCGCTACCGTAAGGCCCGTCGCTGGGATTCCCCAATGTCGCTGCACCAAGGCTGCTGTACTGGCCGACGAAGGACGAGTCGTTGCTGCTCATCGAGAGCGGTGACATGGGCGGGCGCTGCATCGTGGGCGGAAGGAAGGAGAGACTCTGCAGAGCCGCGGCTCAGGGGAGGTGGTGGAGTAGCAGTCGCGGCTGTCGACCATGCGGTGGGCGATGGATGGGAGTAGACTTCCGAGTCTCAAGGGAGGAAAGACGGTGCACTGCCCAGCACCACTGCCAGATGAATCGTATGCAGCGCTGGGGCGGTGTTGCACTGTGGGCGCACTTGCACTTGTCGAGCAGGTGTTCGCCGGGAATTAGACCCGGTCGTGGATGCAAGGGGCTTCCCTGGGATCAAAATCTCGAAGTCCCGTTTCGGAGTGTGTATATCGAGTGCCTTTGCTCAGGAGCAGCGGCGTGTGTCAGCCGGTCTTTGGTTTATTCTTCTTCTTTGTTGCGGTCCCGTTGCGAGCCAGCCGCGCTTACGTCGAGCAGTGTGGAGATGGGCCACGACCCGCGTGATCTGGGAGAAGTCGTAGGGACAGGCTGTGCGGGAGGGTGCAGCAATACGGTCGTCGTCACCCAGCCATGCGTTCTCGTGCACGACCCGGATGTGTGAAGTGCTGCTGCAGTCGTCCTGTACGTAGGAGAAGGGCGTCGCAAGCGCCCCGGGCGTCGGGCGGCGGAAGGGTGGTGGTGGTCGGTGCCCCTTTGCGGCGGATGTTTGGCGGCGGCCACAAGAGCAACGGCGCTTCGAGCACACCATGCCCTCTTGAGCCCACTCTCCGGCCACTCAGGCCTCGCGCTCCGCCCAAGGCGCCACACGATCTGCAGGAACAGCGGGAGAAAGGCGTTAGCGCCGCATGCCGCCGTCGGTTGAGCCGCGAAGCAAAATCGCGATCTCCCATTCACAGATTGTCCTGACATTGCCCAAGTCCACGCGGCGCAACACGCCCAGCGTTGCTCACACGCGCCGCTCGTTATTCGCACGAAACCGATCAAGAATCGCGTGGCCTGCAAAATTTGCTGGGGCGCGCAGGCTAGTTCTGGGCATCGCTCATCCTTGCAAGAGTCTGGATTTCCCAATCAACCGACGACCAGGGAAGAGCCTGTGCCGCCGCCTGACGCGAGCTTTTCGCGATCCTGAGATCTGCTTCCGCTGAAGAGTGCAGGTCGTGTCAGTGTATCGTGGGCAGTGTTCCGTTGCTTGTACAACTATTCACTTGTTCGCAGCAACACCTGTGATCCTCACCGCCCGGAAACAGACCATAGACACGTATTGCTGACTGTTGTAGGCTCGCGATAGCATCTATTCTGGAATCCTTCGAGCCCGGGACACCCGATTTACCGTAATTGTCATACGCGTACCACCGCGTCATGGCCGGCGGACAGCAAGATGCCGCTGCGATCCTCGACGTCGACAGAAGAACAAGTACAGAAGATATACGAGTCACTGGAACGACGCAGTCGACTTCAACAAGCTCAGGACCTGAATCGCGAGCCGATACGCCACAACGACAACTCGCGTTTTGGAACGTCAACGTGCCGCCATCCCAGCATACCCGAGAGTGTCCGGTCTATCTGCGATACGCTCTCGAGAATGCCAAGGATCAAGGTATCCTCAGTACACCGGATGCCTTGTATCGACGTCAATCGTGGGAAGATGTTTGTTCGTTTGTCAAGAACAATCGTCTGGACTTGTTCCAGAGAGTGCCAAGCGAGTTGCGGTTGTATCGGGAGTACTGCCATCAGCTTGTCGAGAGGTATGGCAGCGTCATGGAGTTCGTGATGAAGGAGCGGCTTGGGTGGACGAATCTCACGCCTTCTGGTCCGCCCTTCTCCAATCCAGGTAAGCGCTCGCTGACTCCAGCAGCCTTTTCAGTTTGCTAAACTAAACATGCCCTCCAGACGATTACATGATCCTTTACAATGACTGGCCATATGGCATTGACACACGCTGTGTTCACCTCGTAGTCTGGACTAAATTCTCTCTTCCACCTGATCCTACGTCAGAAATCGGTGACTTGTCTCCAGAGACTCGGGCCATGATTCAACATTTTGTTGATAAGACGTTTGGCACCAAGGACGTGATCTGGTTCCTTAATTGGGCCAGTCTCAAAAGTATACATTCGGTCGAGCATTTTCATGTTCTGATGTACGATCCCGATCCGCAATTCATCGAGCGGATCACGAACGGTGATGTGCCATTGAAGGACAAGGTGAAAGAACAGAGGGCAGACTGAGTGGTGCTTGCCTCTTCTTATCGCACGCTGCCCTTTCCGGAGCCCGCTCGTAAGGAAACTCGGCGATTCTCACGAGCACCGCCGCGTGAGTACAGAAGCGATGACTGGACTGGCCAGGGTCATCTGACCTATCTACAATGGCGCGAAATGGCATGAACCACGGGCATCCTGTGGCATGGATGACAGCGTTCCAGCACGATGGTCGATCTCAGAGCAGCAGCCTGGCCCGGCGAGCACACATTCTGCTCACCAAACAAAGCCTGCGAGAGCTCGTCAGCTGTTTGCATGATGACCTGCGCCGCAAGCACGAAAGGTGCCCACGCCTTCTTCATGCACAGGCTCTTCGCATCATCGCGTGGCTTGCGGCTCTGTGAGCTGCCACCGAACTTGTGTGCGCTTGCCGGAGAATCATAGCTAGCTGTAGAGCAGATAGACAACCCTGAATGCTGACCTGAGATGCATTCGGATTACGCACATCGTCCACCTCCCGACGCATTTTATACAATACGTGAGCGCTCGTCAATATTGCACAGCAGCGAAAGTGTCTGTGAGACACATGCCAGAATGTCACTCTCGCTTCGTGTACGCAGGTACGCAGATCCATGTCTCATCGTGAACCCATCGCCTGGGAACACAACTCACAGATGGCACAGCCACCCGTACCCATGTGACGCAAAAGTCCCAGCAAGCAGACAATTGTGCTGCCTATATCACCGCCACGAATTGCGTGGCCTTGCGCAGCTGCACGGAATCAGGCAGGCCATCCCACGTGTTCAACCTAGGATGTGCAAAGAGTGTGTTCAATCACAATCGCGCGAAACAGTACTCGGTACAAGCCTCACATCGTACGAGTCGGCCAAGATTTCGACTGCTCTGCTGCGCCATTCGTGATGTCCAGAGCGCCACAATAGCTTCCCTGCTCACATCATCGCGACAGCAGTACGTATGTACCTGGAAGCACATGTGAACTGATGAGCAAACAGTCACTTTGATCCTTCATCCGATCAACATTCCATTCACCCCAGATCGCGAAATTCCTCAACTCCATCACCGACCGAGTGCCTCATTTTACCACGAAACCTCCGCTCCACAAATTCCCAGAATCTGACTTTTGCGGAGTGCAGCCGGGATAGGTCGCCAGCGAGCTCTCGAATCCTGATTGGCGCGGCGGTCCTCCAACAGCTCCTTTTTGCCTCGACCCAGAGGACGACCGAATTTGGGCTAAAGATTCTTGGGCCGACAGGCGGTCTGGCAGAGGGAAAATCGCGTCTGTGTTTGGCGTGGTCCAAGCTGCGTTGACCGCTGCTTGAAGGGCGATAGCGCGCGAAACTAGGCGTGGAAAGTGTTGAGGGGGAACGGCGGACAGACCCTTTTCCAACTAGAGCCACTGGCTCCTACTTTGCGAAGTTGGAAGTCTCATTTCTCTTTGTCCTGCGATCAACTCGCCACGACGACACCGAAGCAAGGCACGACTTGTGACGTCGAGCAATTCAGTCTCGAGCGTATTTCTGGTTTTTTTGTCCCTGTGTGCGACGACAGGGATTTTGCCGCGACAGCACCAGTTTTTTATTTTGGGGCGAAAAGGTGGTTCGATAATCTTTCGTGGCCAATCGTCGTACAGGGACAGCCATTGGTCGCAAATTCAAGAAAACTGCCAAACACCCCCACGATAACGAGCGATTGTCCAAAACAAGGCACTTGTGAGCAGGAGAAAGAGCAGAGAGGGAGGACAAGAGCAATGGGACTTGTGGCTGCCTTTTGAGACGTGAACCTCGTTGGGTGGCAGGAACAATACTTACCACCTTTGTGGACAGCCATTGGGACGAATCCTCGACTCGACACCTGAACCACCGTCATTCGACCGCCGCTCCACGCCCCCCGAAGCTCGGAGCATATTGCAACTCGCACCATACGTATACCCTCCTCCCGCTCAGCTTCCCACCTTGTCGCGAAACGAAACGTAGCAGAGCTCCTTGCCTGCTGAGCGTGCTGGCAGCATAGCGGCTCCCACGCAACACCGCTTCAACATGCTCGGCAACCTAATACCTACGCGTTGGCGTAGGAATCACGACATCACCGACCCGGATAAACCAGGCAAATACAATGCCGCAATCACACCATACCTGCAAACAGTGTCGCTAAAGGCATGCACACATCCCATCCGGACAATCGCTCTGGTGGCGGTGCTGGGCAGCGCATTTTATGTCAATTTGCTCGAGACAGGTTTCTTCCGGCCGCAAGCTGCAGTGAACAAGGTGGACTTTGATGCGCTCTCGGCAGGGAGCAGAAGATTACATTTGGGAAAGGACACAGCGTGGAAATGGCAATTGGAGGAGAATGGGAGCAAGAAGACATTTCGCGCGGGCGAGAAAGAGCTTGCTTTGATCACATTGGATTTCCTGGACGCGGGCAATAACTCGCCAAATGCTGTGCCTCCGCCGCAGGACTTCGATGTGGAAGGCGTTGATCTCGACATGGTGCCATCGAGCGCGAACATCCTGTCTGGCTCGGATAGCACACTGGCTTTCTCCCTCCCGCTCGAGCAGGCTGCGCCCTTCCTGGAGAATATCAAAGAGATTGCTTCAGAGGGAGGATGGGGAGTCGATCCGGATGCGACTAGCGACGATGAAGGCGAGCAAAAGAAGTGGCTCATGGCAGTGTCCAAGACATCGACCGCGTCTGGCGGCGGCATGGCGGAGTGGGCGCAGAACTCGTGGAATGCTTTCCTGGACTTGCTCAAGAACGCGGAGACCTTGGATATCATCATCATGGCGCTCGGATACATCTCCATGTACCTGACCTTCATCAGTCTGTTCTTGAGCATGCGGCGATTGGGCTCGAATTTCTGGCTTGGAACTACCACACTCTTCTCCTCCGCATTCGCATTCTTGTTCGGCTTGCTGGTCACTCTCAAACTCGGCGTTCCCGAGAATGTCGTACTGCTTTCCGAGGGCATCCCATTCCTGGTTGTCACTGTGGGATTCGAGAAGCCCATAATGCTTACTCAGGCTGTCCTGTCTGCCTCTGTGCAAGCCAAGAACGGTAATGGAAATGGCGAAGGTCTTGCCATTCAGAACGCTGTTCAACAGGCAGTTCGAGACCGCGGCTGCGAGATCGTTCGCGACTACGCCATCGAGATTGCGATCCTCTGCGCCGGTGCCGCTTCTGGTATCCAAGGTGGGCTACGACAATTTTGCTTCCTTGCAGCTTGGACACTTTTCTTCGACTGCGTTCTGCTGTTCACCTTCTACACGTCGATTCTGACCATCAAACTGGAAATTAACCGCATAAAACGCCATGTCACACTCCGCAAGGCATTGGAAGAAGATGGCGTAAGCCGCAGGGTCGCCGAGAAGGTAGCATCGAGCAACGAGTGGCCATCTGGCGACAGCGTTGGCGAGGTTGGCAACAACTGGATCAACATCTTTGGCAGGAGAGCTCGTGACAGCAGCATTCCTCGCTTCAAGGTGCTCATGGTCACTGGCTTCATCGTGATCAATGTTGCCAACCTCTGCACTATGCCTTTCCGCGGACATGGCCACAACACTCCTGTCTCTACCGCTGGCCTCTCAAGCGTGGTGACTTCACCCCCTCTGGATCCATTCAAGGTCGCAGGAACCGGTCTCGACTTTCTGTACCAGCAAGCCTCCAAGGGCAAGCAGCCGCTTAGTGTCACGGTTTTCAATCCGATCAAATACGAGCTACAATATCCTTCGCTGCACTACGCTTCGCCTGGCGACGCAGACTGGACGAACCTGAACGGCGATCTACAACAAGGTCTTTTCCATGCTCTTGGCGGCAGAGTCGTCGAGAGCTTGTTGAAGAGCTTCGAGGATCCCGTCCTCAGCAAGTGGATCATTTCCCTTCTCGCAATTAGCTTGGTGCTCAACGGCTATCTGTTCAACGCTGCTCGATGGACCATCAAGGAGCCTGGTCATGACGAGGCAGCTGGACAGACTGCCACTTCCGCCGATGCGCCCAAGACTAACGGTCATGCAATCCCACCGATCAAGACGCAGCCCGCCGAGGACGTCCCTCCACCCGTCGCGCCGGAAGCACTTGATGGATCGCGAAAGCGCACACGTGAGGAATGCGAAGCTTTGGTTGCCGCCAAGCAGGCGCCTCAACTCGACGATGCCGAGCTTGTCGACCTTGCTGTTCGTGGTAAGATCCCTGGATACGCATTGGAGAAGACGTTAGGCGACAAGACTCGTGCTGTCAAGATCCGACGAGGACTGATTTCGCGTACGCCGGCCACTGCTGATCTGACATCGAAATTGGAGAAGTCGAAGCTGCCATACGAGAACTTTGACTACGACCGCGTCCACGGCGCGTGCTGCGAGAATGTTGTTGGATACCTGCCTCTGCCTCTTGGTGTCGCTGGCCCTATCACTATTGATGGCAAAAGCTATTTCCTACCCATGGCTACCACTGAAGGCGTGCTGGTCGCCAGTACGAGCAGAGGTGCAAAGGCTATCAACGCGGGCGGCGGTGCTGTGACTGTTCTCACTGGCGATGGCATGACACGAGGACCTTGCATTGGATTTGAAACACTTGCACGAGCAGCAGCGGCCAAGGTCTGGCTTGACAGCGCCGAGGGACAAAAGGTGATGAAAGATGCATTTAACTCAACGTCACGATTCGCTCGCTTGCAATCTCTCAAGACTTCGATCGCTGGCACATACGTCTATGTTCGCTTCAAGACGACAACTGGTGACGCCATGGGCATGAACATGATTTCGAAAGGTGTCGAGAAGGCACTCAGCGTCATGTCAACGGAAGCAGGATTCACTGATATGGCCATCATTTCCGTCTCTGGCAACTTTTGCACAGACAAGAAGCCTGCTGCAATCAACTGGATTGACGGGCGAGGCAAGTCTGTCGTTGCAGAAGCCATTATTCCAGGCGATGTGGTGCGAACCGTGCTCAAGTCCAATGTGGACGCTCTTGTTGAGTTGAACATCAGCAAGAACTTGATCGGCTCTGCCATGGCGGGTAGCATCGGTGGTTTCAATGCCCACGCGGCAAACATTGTTACCGCGATATTCTTGGCCACTGGTCAAGATCCGGCGCAGAACGTGGAAAGTAGTAATTGCATTACTGTCATGAAGAAGTAAGTCTGTTCTGGATCTGACACTCAGCCAACTACATACTGACGTATACCTCTTCATAGCTTGAACGGAAACCTCCAGATCTCCGTCTCCATGCCCTCCATCGAAGTCGGCACAATTGGCGGCGGTACAGTGCTCGAACCCCAAGCCGCCATGCTCGATCTCCTCGGCGTCCGAGGCGCGCACCCTGCCACACCCGGTGCCAACGCACAACAACTCGCCCGTGTTATTGCCGCTGGTGTCCTGGCCGGTGAGCTTTCGCTTTGCTCAGCACTCGCAGCCGGCCACTTGGTTCAGGCACACATGGCACACAACCGCTCGGCCGCTCCTACGAGGGCGCCCAGCCCGCAAAGAACGCCGGTTACCCCGGCCCTGTCAATCACTAAGATGGACGGGCAGTCGAAGAGGTAGTGCGAGAGAAGCACAGGATCTTGATTGACTGCGAAAGCAAGGATGTGAATCAAAGCATCCAGAGTGGCCGAAATCGACATGCATGTAATGTTTGGAGCCGCAGGGAGTCATTGCACTTGACATACTGCATATTCGAAAGCCCAAGGACAAGGGACAAAACGATGGAAACAGATCACTTCGCCTCAAGGCAGCAGCATAATCGCATTCGAGTGCGATGACGATGTGTATATATTCATAAGGACTTTTCTATTCGGCAGAGAAACATCGTGGAACGACAGTGGGAAGATAGATCGAGCGATACTATCCTTCCTTTGCAGTGGTCAGTAGATGGTTAACAGATGCCTAAGCGGCCAAAGAAGAGACCGACTTATAAATCCATGAACTCACCGGTGCTCAGCGAATCCATCTCGGCTGTTCAATCGTCTGTGCATGTCTTCTCCAGGTGTACTGCATTGGTGGTAGAGTGGCAGCAGAGTGGCAGAGGGATGCCAGTGTGGACCAAAGGCCGAGTGCAAAGTGTGATGTACGAGGAAATATTTCAGTAGACGTCCAGATGTATCAGAGATGAGTTCGTTGATCCATGAGCATCTGGAAACTTCCTTCCGAGTGAGGTCAAACAGTGTACGCGGTAAGGCAATCAGACATGGTATCTCTTCAGCTTGGCGTGAATGGCGGCAAGACTGATGCAGTATGGTTCGAATACAACGACGTTCGTAGCAGCACGATGGATCGAAAGGAATGGCTGGCATCATCACTGTGAGGAGTCAAGTGACAGAGCAAATCGAAACTCAATTCATGTCACTCAACAAGTGATGTGATATACGTTAAACACTTTCTTTGATCGTACAGTACGTGTCGCCGACATGCCATCCTCCGACAAGAAAGTGCGTGTCTCTATGCGATTTGCTCATCGTCACCAATCAACCTGTCCGCACACGTCGTCGAGCCGTCGCAGACTGTCCCTTTCTGAACAACCACCGCCTCATCCCTCCAGTTGCTGAACTCGAGGCAGCCTTCACTCTTGGTCACGACTTGCTTCTCAAGCTGCTCGCCTTCGTGAGCCCCGGCACGGATGGACTCGTCCTGGACCGCAGATATCTTCGCGACCTCGAGAGGGTTGGTGAAGATGACTTGGCAACTCTTCAGATCTCGAAAGCGAACCGCCAGCGACACCAGTATTGCCAGAAGGATCTTCCGTTCCCGTGCTCTGCTATGCTTCCGCACTTGCAGAGCGTCCCAATGCAGAACTCAGCTTCGACCCCGTGCTTCTGTGAAACTCTTTTTCCTGGCGCCCTTGGTCCCCCATCGCCGCCTGCCTGCCGCTGCGCTGATGAAGAAGACGAAGAAGCAGCACTTCAAGTCAGCTGCTCACTGCCATTAGACACGCTGCCAGTCGGAGTTGGCTCAACACCACTATCACCTCCTACGCCGCCAGCGTTGCCACTGAAATTCGACTCTGTCGCACGATCGTAGAGTGTCGGCTTCCATAGTGACCGGACAACTTTTCGGAGAGTAGTGATCTCGTAGCGAGCGAGAAGTCTGTTAATCGAAAGACGATCACCAGCGTAGCGTGCAGTAGGGTAGATGAAGGGGGAGCTGGTGAGCTCTCCTATGTCAGAACGGATTTGGAGACCCAAAGCCTCGGAAATGGCGCGATTTGCTAGTGCGGAGCTGACAGGTTTGCCCGAGAAAGTCGGTGAAGCATTCTTCTTTGTTGCGGAGCCCTGTTTGCTGGCCACGAAGCTCTGTATGATAGTTCAGTGATTTGGTATTGTAAGATCAAATTCAGAATGCTGACTGGTATACCTCCACTCCTTGACAGCGGCCTTCGTCGTAGCTGTAGTTCTCGAGCCTGTGATCTGGCTGCGAAGAACGGCCAGTGTGATCAGGGTAGCCGCGGTACAGGCTCTCGTCGTCCAGCTTCTCGATGCGGGCCAGAGTAGTGCAGACAGCGGCGCCGGCATACTTCCAGCGGAGGCACAGCTTGGCGACGCCCCTCCGGCGGTGTCCATACCCACCGCCGGAGAGCAAAATATGTCGTGTGAAGACACAGTAGCAAGCCCGAATCCTCCTTCTGTGCGGTACATTATCTCCATTGTTGCGAACAACCAGATCCTGCAGCTCCGACTCGATGAACGCCATGATCGCCTCCACATGCTTCGGGACCAAGTCCCTGCCATCCTCGCGAGACAATGTTACGTCGAACTTCGTCGACACTAATTTCCGACCGAACGTGCTCGACGTGGGATAGGCGTCGATGGAGAAGACTTCCAAAGTCTTGTTTACCCACTTGCGCTCAACCTTCTTTCTAAGTATCGTGCTCTCCGTTCTAATGTACCGCAAAGGGATTCGGAGACGGCAGCACAGCTTCAAATCCTTCCAATTCGATGCGCGGTGGCCCGACCACGGAAGTGGGAGTTTCATACCTGTGATGGCCGAGACACGCTCGTCCCACCACACACAGCACATCGTTCCGGGGGAAGCCATTGCGTCGACGCCCCTCCAGTGGTGTTCCTACCCACCACTGGAGAGCAAAATCGGACGTTTGGAGTTCGTCCTCGACTGCGAGTAGCGTTTCCTTGAGTCCCTCCTTCATCTTCTCGGCCTTCTCCTTGATGTCGTCCGTGACTCAGAGGCGTTGGCACTGCAGCTCGGCCTGGTGCTGCTCTCATCGTCAGGGAGTGTGTATGTATGCCGCGAGTATTGACTTACGCCATTCAAAGTAGCGGCCACCGAGCCCGTTTTGGGGACATGGGCTGCAAAACCGCGGGAACAGGCACAGCTGATCGCGTTGCCGTCGTCAGTCTTGCTGTCAGGGTCTTCCTGGCTACACGGTGTCAGATTGTCTCTCGTGACTCAACAAGACCGAGCTGTGTGGAGCAGAATGGGGCGGCGACGTGAGGAAGGTATCGGATGAAGCACTGGTCTAGTTGTTTCCCTGCTTCTGATGCACGTTTGTTGGTTGCGGTCCGCTGGTTGGAACGTGGGCCATCGAGAGGAAGGCACGATGGATCGAGTGAAGGTGTGAGTGTCGATGTGCATCGACTCATCTAACGAAGGACACGCCCTCAAAGGATGTCGAGTGTTATTGATCGGTCATGGCAATGCTTTGACGTCGTGATGTCTTGCTGGCTTCTTGTGCGTCGAAGCCGTCGGTGCCATCGACGGTGATGATGGGGTGCGAGGGCTGTTTCGGTGACGGTGCGGCGGTGGTAACGATGACAACTTCTGTGAAGAGTTAGTCACTAAGTCTTTGAGGGCTCTGGGGTACCTGTGATGGATGTGATGGAGGTTGGCAGTCAGTGACTGACCGTCACTTGTCGCTCGCTGCTGTTTGACAACGGAGGCACCCCTGAAGGCGACAACGATGTGCAGACGGATGGCGGCGATGTGGGTTGAATGATAGGTGACGGAGTGATACTTACACCTGCATGTCTTTGATGGCGGGCGATGGTCGTGGTGGTGTTGGTGTGGTGGGTGGTGGTGTCGAAGTGGAAGCAGAGGAGCGAGCCTTGTTGTGGCCAGAAGCCCCGGTTGCCTAGCCGCAGCACAGCTCGACAGTAGACCTTCTGCTTGAACTCATTGGTTGTTTCCAACTCTACGTTGCAATCTTGCTGCTCTTTACGAAACTCGTGCTGTTCACTCCACAAGAGGCGCCCGGAGCGACTGCCATTGGTACAATGCCAAACCAATCTTTGCCATGAGCTTCTCTTGTCCAGTGGCTGGATGTACGTTGGTGATATGGAGTTGGTGCTTCGCTCTCCGAATGAATCTAGAATTGACCAGCACGTTCTATGCCATCTTTACAGATTGCCGAATGGCCCACCTACTCACAAGAACAACGGCTTTGGCTGACGTTCGCCCTATCTCTCAATTGCACGGACAATTGCTTTCCATGCTGATCATGTCAAAGAGCTATAATCTCCACTCGACAATCTACCAGCAGTACCACGCACCAACACAATCCCATATCGAGGGGCCCTACGAGACCCGAATTTGCACCAAATTCGATAGCTCAACGATCTTTGTCGTCGCGCACCGCCATCGCTGCTTATGAGCCCAGCTCAATCTCCGTTCGAAGCGGCCTCCAATTTGCCCTGCGGCGCCCGTTTCTACTCACGATGGCCGCGTCCATAAGAGCGCAGCAACCACGTCCAGCACATGACCAACAGCGCCGCCATAGCAGTCGCTGCCATGAGCGGAGAAGAGAAGGTTAGGCAATAATGTCTTGTTCCATCACGATAAACGCGACACCTTCTCTTTCCCATTCTCATCACCTTTGTGTCGTCAGCAGCCATCTTCATGTGAGCATCAGGACAGCACTAGCCGAAAAAGAAGTGCTGCAGCAGACTACAAGAGATGGGCATTGCATACCGTGTGTGCTGTTCTACCACACGCACCATTGACAAATAGAAGCTCAAAATCAAAGACATTTCTCATCACCTTCCCTCATCCCTTCGCAATCTTCACCTTGTTCTTTGGCAAAGCTCGACACTCAGGGCATAACCACTCCCCACTTGGTTCCTCCGTGACTCCGACACACTTGTAATGAAACCACTGATATGGGCAATTATCGTTGTCACATCCCACCATATCTCCAAATGACACTTTCTGACATATGCAATAGATGGTATCGTCGCCGTCATCCTCCTCGGCCTCTCCGGTGCCGTCAAGCCCAGTAGGAGCATTGGACGCGGCATTGGAGGCGTAGGAGACCTCTGATTCAGCGTCGGAGTCGATGGAGGCGTGACTGGAAGGTGTGGCGCGATCGCGGGCGAGTTGGCGATGGCGACTGCTCTTTTTGTTATGGCTGGGACGAGAGCGGCCGCCGGAAGATTTCTTGTTGTGTGGAGGAGGGGCTTTCCGGTTGCCCGGCACAGCGACTGGTTGTGTGCCTTTTTTATTGGCAGAGGGCCGAGTTGGCTGGACGGAGCCTGCACGAGAAGAGTTGGCCGCGCCGGCGGGGACAGGCGTGCCGGCTTTGGGCGTGCCGGCTTTGGGCGTGCCAGGACCAAGAGACCCCTGCCGAAGCCCTGAGCTAGCGACTGGAAGAGTTCCAAGCGAAGCATTGAGGCGGCGGCGCTTGGTTCCGTCGTGACTGCCTTCACGTTGGGATCGCGAAGCAGTTACAGGTGTGACGGCGCCAGAGGCAGAAGCACTTCGCGCGCCACCAGCAGCATTTTGCGCCATGCGAAGCTGAGCAGCATTGGCAAAATTGGGAGCTCCGCCGACGGATCCGATGTTACCAGACACGGCCTGAAGAGGTCCAGAGCTAGAAGCAGGGGCGGCAGCAGGTGTTCCAACAGCAGTCGTGGCACCGCTCCCAGTGAGCAAACTCGGTCCTCCCCATCCCTCGGGGAATTGTTCAGTCTGCGCCAGACCTTTCAAACCCAGGTCAAGCCGCCTGATCTGCCGGTCCAGGACAACCTGTGCCTTCTCGGACAGCCCCAGCTTCTCGGCCTGCAGAATCTCGCACTTGTCGTAGCAGTCGTTGATGGTCTTGGAGAATGCCTCTTCCTTTGGATTCAGCACATGGCCGCCGTTGACCCGTACCCATTTCTGCAGTTGAGCATCGCGCTTGATGATTTCGTCCTTGAACGCGGCAATCTGCAGATCCTTGGCCTGGACTTCTTCGAGCAAGTGGCAGATTTCGGCGGGAATGTTGGCAATATCGTGCGTGAACTGCTCGAGCACCGAGGCGGCGTCTTCCGGCTGCGCCAAAGCGGCCATTTTCAGCGCGCTCGACCCGCGAGTAGTCTGGTTAGTTGTACGCGACGCGCACAGTAGGTGTTCGAAAACTGGCGATGCGAAGTGAAGGAGTCAGACGGTTGTCGATGGAAAGTGCTTTCACATGCGAAACGCGCAGTGGCAAGCGGTTGAACCTTGTTCCCCCCGCAGCGGCGCCTCCCGCAGAGCCGCAAGCACCATGCTGCAGATCGCGGCTTCACTTGCATTGCATTTCACGTACCCGACAGCATCTTCACTGCGAACAGCATCTAACCACAGCGGCATGACACGCCTATGGCTCCGTCGCCGTACTACGCCGCCTTCCCCGGCAACGGCGGGTACAGCCCTCGACCGACCAACGAATCGGTAGTGCAGGAATACACTTCACCGCAGTCGACCTCTTCTACACCGGCCCGTACGCCCGAATACCGTGTCAATGGACATCAGGCCAGCGCAGCATGTGGGCACTACGATATGCCCCCCACGCCTGAATATGCGAGGGAAAATGAAGAGACGGAGTTTGAGGAAATGACCAACGCCAAGATCATGAATCTGGTCGAAAAGCATGGCATCAAGCGGCCACAGGGCACGCGCGTCTCATATCACTACAACAGTGGCGTGGAGGACATGCATTTTGGCAGAACACATCCCATGAAACCCTGGCGTCTGACATTGACGAAGCATCTCGTGCTGGCATTCGGCCTACAGCACACCATGGACACGTACGAAGCCATCTCTGCCGGCAAAGACGAAGTCTGCAAATTCCACGACCCCGATTACGTCGATTTTCTCTCCAAAGTGTCGCCCGAGACGTTTAACGACCTCTGCCAGGAACCACGCTTTCGTAAGAAGATTCCTCCAAAGCACGAGGGAGACACGGTCGAGCTCGGCCCCTACAATCTTAGTACGAGTCCAGGTGCCGACTGTCCAGTCTTCGACGGGATGTCCACGTATTTGTTTCTGTATACTGGAGCCACACTCATGGCCACATCCCAGCTGACATCCAACAATTCCGATATTGCCATTAATTGGTCTGGAGGGTTGCATCACGCACACAAAGGTGAAGCCTCCGGCTTTTGCTATATCAATGACATCGTCCTATCCATTCTCGACTTATTGCGAAAATATGCTCGTGTTTTGTATATCGACATTGACGTGCATCATGGTGATGGCGTCGAGGAGGCGTTCCAGCGACATCCACGAGTCATGACACTGTCCTACCACCGCTACGGACCATATGATGAGACGGGACATAAGTTCTTCCCCGGAACAGGTGATCTGACAGATGTCGGTCTCAAAGGCACACCCGGCGAGCGCTTCGCCATGAATGTGCCCATTCCTTCTGGTATCGACGATCGCCAATACAGCAAGCTCTTCGAATCCATTACCGGTTCCACTGTCGAAGCATTCAACCCAGGCGCCATTGTTCTCCAATGCGGTGCCGACAGTTTGGGCGGCGATCGCCTTGGCCAGTTCAACATCAACATCAAGCAGCATGGCGAATGCGTCAACTTCGTCAAATCTCTCGGCAGACCTCTCCTTCTACTTGGCGGCGGCGGATACACAGCACGCAACGTCGCCCGAGCTTGGACTCACGAAACTGCACTATGCACACAAAACACCCTTCCAGACAAGATCCCGCTCGACTGCGTGCCCAGACCTCAAGCTTTCCAGGGAAGAGCTCACGGCGATGGGAAAATGTACCCCAGCTTTGAACGATTGCATAAGAACGAATGCAAGGACTCGGATCTGGAATATCAGATCAAGATGTTGCAGGAGAATCTGAAGTACGTGAGAAACAGTCCGTGGGTCAAGTTGGATCAGTTGCCGACAAATAGTCGGATGGAGGAGATCATGGAGGAGTGTGACAGGAAGCTAGCACAGAGGAAGAGGAAGACTTTGGAGAGAAACCCGGCGGGTAGGGGCGAGTATTGAGCGAATTCGTGAGAATATTTGACGATCGTTCTACACGGAGATCGACTACTGCGCGATGATTCGATACGCACATGACATGAGATGATCGGCGTCTATGGCGCTTTGAGGATAGGGAGATACCAGGTCGTCTATTGGCTCTACTTTGACTGAAATGAAATGATGATCATCAGGTCTTCTAATTCGTACATGTGTTCGTTTCTGCATTGTGCCTCGGACTGTTGCTCTCTCGTCCCCTTCAGTCATTGTCACGCTTCAAAGTATGGGAGAGCTATAGTACCTCGGTGATCGATGACATCCAGCGACCTTGGGCACACCTATGTGGAAAGCAGCCTCTCATTGATCATCGATGACTGTGATTTCGACGGCCATGACAATGAAGCTGCCTTCAGCAGGCCTCGATCTCGCGTTGCGAGTTTGAGTATGACTTCAGGTTCGATCGAGATATTGGACATGGAAGCAACCTTGTCAGGCCAATGCGATCGCCCTTCCGCTGGTAGAGCCTTCGGCAGCACCTCTCCCTTTTTTACACAGCCATGTTCCGTAATGTGGTTGGAATCAAAGCAATTTGCTAACGTCATCGTCGCATCCGAGGAGTCGTTGTATTCGTTCGTTCGCGCACGTTCCGTGTTGCATGTTGGACGAGGTCGCGCTGTGTAGGCGGGATGGTCATGTTGAAAGCGACTGTACCTGCTGCCAGTCGAGCTGCGGGTCCGCATGCGCTCAGTCCCTCAGTGTGACTCTGTGGTCCCCTGTGCTATTCCACGTGCATCTTCTTCCGTTCGCTTGATTTCACGTCACGGCCCTCAATCTTTTATCCTTCTTGTCTTAAGATCACAGCTTCGTAGTCCTCGCATATAGTGTCATCATTCAACGTCCATGGCCATCACTCGTCCGTCACAAATGTTTTGCCGCGAGATCTCGCTGCGAGGACAATTTCCAGACCCCTACCTCCATAATGAGCGGCTTTTCTCAACACGTTTGCACATCCTGCCGGGTCGCCTGGGCTGATAAAATGTGTTTGGGATGTCTGGTATAATCCACTTGAGTCGTTGCTGGTGTGCATTCTTCGCCAGCGATTGTTAGGTCTCACTTCTCAGCTCCAGAACGAATTTTGTTTGCGGCATCTTTGCCTTTATGAAGCTCAATGGCTCAAAAGTTGTCGGCCAATTTGGAGCGCAGAAGCTGACTACGATCAGATTTGGCGGGCTGCTTGGCTTCCCTCGCACTACTTCTCCAGGTTATCTTCGTTCTCGTGAAGGACCTGGACGTAACTCTGGAATCAGATTACTGGAGCTTAGGGTTGGAGCTGCTAGCTTGATGCCCTTGCTGATGATCGATTGATGGGCAGTGTAGAAGAGCGGACGTGTAGCAGACAATCGTTTCGATGAAAATCGCTGGACCGACGACGAAATGGGGAAAAGGCTCATGTGATTCTGGCCAATTATGAGCTTCCAGCGGGTCTCAGCTGAACTCTTTGCAACGTCGGATCTGGCGTTGCGTCTTGGTTGGCATTGCTCTTCGCCGAGGACTGGAATAGCACAGCTGCATGGACATCACTTGACTGAGTCTCCAGCCTCACTGGGCCTCGATGTTCAGGCCGTTTTCGTACATGCCGGCTTTCGGTCGTCACTTCCATTGAGAAGCAGGTGCTGGGAAGTCGTGTCTCTTGTCATTCCTGCTCTTGCTTCCATTTGATCATCTTGCCCCTCTACTTTGCTACCTGTCCACCATCAGGCATTGTCCGGAACCACCACGAGGAGGTGTAGAGTTGGCCTTCGATTCCGTATAAGAGAGGAGGCCCAACTCTCTCAGACACCGACTGCACGGATACAGGGCACGATACAGTCGTTAATAAAGACGCCCCGGCGTCTGCTCCCATGGCTGAGACTTCCCGCAGCTTGCTATCGCTGACCATGGTACCTGTCAAGGATTTGGAGAAGAGTGGTAGCATTCCGCCAGCAGAAGCAGCGCACTCGTGTCGAACCAGTTCACTCAAAGCCACAGCTGAGCGCCGAAAGATGACTCTGACAGTAGCTCGAGCAGATCTGCGAGGTATGTCCATGCCTGGCCGTGTCCAGCCGGACCGATTTCCAGAACACGTTGAGCTATGCAGGCGCTGTCTGCGCAAAAGTTGTTCATGCAACTGTGCCGGCTGAACATGGAGTGACACATCTCGTGCAGCAGCGTCTGAGCGAAGTGCTCTGACAAAAGGGCCGTCACTCCAGAAGGGAAAGGATCTATCCACATCATTGTGCCCATACCACACCCAGTGGTCGCTCCAAAGGCATTGTGATCGGTCCCCAACGTCGTTTCCAGATACAGGGGCACGGAGTGCAGCTGTCCCATAAAGAATCGCTGGCTCATCAACTCTCGACCTTCTCGCAGCAGGCCCAGCAGGTTGTTTGTCGTCCAGTTGCCTCTGTTGTCCACCAAAACCGAGAGATCATCCATCCAGTGCTGCAAGGCGCTGTCACTCAGCACGTCCAGTGCACTGGCAACAAATGCCATCAGGTGCATTGGCTGGTGTGCACTCGGCACCAAAGGCAGAGAAAGGGCCGGGTGAGGCATTGTGACGGAGCTTGCTCCGAAGAACTGGTGCTGGTGATCGCGACAATGTTTCTGGTCAAGTGGCAGTCATCAAGTGCAGCCGCGCGAAGCTCTTCAGTGCGACATCCTTAACTTGCATAACGCTCAGACCACTGACAAACAGCTCGTCGTCACCGACTACGCGCGGAACATAGATACTACTGCCTCTCGATCGGGTTGCAAGCCTCTTGCGGCTGGACTAAATGCTTGTAGCTGAATAGATATGCGGATATATTGGAACGCATGTTCGAAGTCGCCGATTCCCCTCTCTCCTCGGCTTGAGTGCTGGCAACAGATGTCTACTCTTGGAACTACTGCAACCCACGTCTTTATCTTCAGAATTCACGCCACACCCTTTTCAACACAGTTTAGACACGTGTGGGAAAACGCCTGAGTGATTGTGCTTCCTGCCCTCCACAATTCGATCGAGCTGACAATAGTCGCTTTCCTCTCAACGAGCATCAAGAGCTTCGACGCCTGTCCGTGATGTGAAGACTGATGAACTGGTACGACTTGTGTGATCAAGTAGATATTGAGCATTGCTGGAATTGCGCGGCGACGAGAGGCGAAGCACTTTCGATGCTGCATGACTTTAGTTCGCTTTGAGCAAAAAGACTGCGAGTACAAGTTCAAGAACGCCCAAACTCTACTTATGCCAACTCGTCGTGTCAGAGATATCTCAGCCACGGTTGCCCAAGCTGCACAATCCTGCCATAGTTCTGAGCCTGCCATGGACGTTACTGCAGCGTTTCGCAGCTAGTCGCCGAGTGTGACAGGCACCATGCAGCGCCTAGTATATTGATCATAAGTGATCTTGTTGACTGACCGCAACCAGCCCTCGTTCAATGCCAAAGTATATGGATCAAATTGGGGATCCTCGATCCTTCTGCTCTTGTGCCTGCGCTGGACGATTGAAGGAGCAGCCGATGCCAGTCCCGACCCTCTTGAACCTTCCCATACTACCGCACATAAACAAGCCCTTCCGTGGCTGTAATGCTCTCCGCGGTTTTGATCTCCGACTCCCAGCTCGAATGTCTTCGCGCAACATGAATCGAGACCTGTGGCATTTCCAAGACCTGCCGCTTCCACCAAGAGACACTCATTTGTGACGGCCCAAGATGCCATTCTTGCCAGGAGAAGGCTTTACTTGTCTTTGTGCTCTTTCCTGACTCCTGCTGAGGCCGAATCGCAGTTTTTCGAGACCACGCTGGACAGAGAGGTTGTCTTCGGTGGGAGACGGCGGGGAGTGATCGCGTAGGTCGTTGTGGTCGAACAACGAACGGACTGCGGCGGCACCCGATAGCGCTGCATGGAGGTTTGATTACTTAGGAGTGGATTTGTCCGCCAAACTGGCGATTAGGGCGGTCGAATGTACTGGTAGATGCTCGTTGCGGGAGTGGCATTGACTGCTCGTCGTCGATATTCTCCGCCGGGTAAGAGGAACGGTGGGGACCTCCACTAGAATCTCGTCAGCTTTGGAGTGAGTGAGAATGTCAGGGCTGGCTCGCCGCCGCTGCTGCTGATGACTATCAGGGGGGCAACCATCTTGCCTGTGTTTTCGCCTCGCGACTGAGCTCCACGACCGATGGGACAGCGCAAAGACAGCCAAGGCGGCTCACCGGATTGTCTCGCTGATCAGAGTCGCTGATTTCATGGTTTTCATCGGCCTCGCGGTCGACTGGTCGCGCTGAACACCACCGTCTTCGTGATCCTGCCCGCGATACCTGACTTCGACAGCCAGCAACACTTTGATCGGAGAATCACGTTTGAAGACATTGTACAACAGCACGAAGCAGAGAGAGACAAGTAGCAAGAGGATGAGGCACAGTCAAGTTCATTGAGGAGACTACAGAGAAGCTATTTGTGTGATGGTATGTACGCATTAATCACGTTGAGTAACGACCACTGACAAGTCGCACTCGTTGATCAGGCGAATTTTTTGTGCAGATCGCTTTCACGTGGCAACTTCCATTGAGGGGGCAGAGGGAAGCTATGTTAGCAGGCGAAGGGGTGAGAGTAAAACAAGGATAGGTGAAGCCAATGTGAAGCGACCGCGACGGATGAGAAAAGAAGGAAGAAGAGAGGAAGAAACAGTGGGAGAGGAAGGCATTTATAGTGCGTGCCAAGCCCCGAAATCAACACCACGCTAGCGAGCACGCACGTGAGTGACTTGTCGTGAGGCGAGTGCTGCCTGGAGAGCGTTCCTGAGGCGCTCAATGTTCTGTTGATCCGACAGTCGCGCTAGCGAGGGGCTGGACTACAAATATCTGCCCCTCGCCCTCCAAAATCTCTTCCTTTCTCCTTCATGGTCGAGAGCATGCCCTCAGAGACTTGTCCATCAATGACATTTCTCTAAGATGCCCCTGACCTGAGATCAATGTGGCACCGGCTAATGACAGGTGTTGGCGTGGTTCATCATCAGCGTCGACACCGCCAGAGGCCAGAGGCTCGACCTCTGCGACCTTTGCGTTGTTGCCTACATTCCTCCATTGAACGTGCATTTCCGATGTCTCTCTCACCACTCACTGTAAAGTCGTTCTAATGTGCTGTTTGTGCCTGATCTTGTCTCCATCCGC